GGGCTCGACCCGAGTCGCTCAATACTATTTCTTTACTCGATGAAAAACCTATGATACTGTCCGTATAACTGTTAGTGAAAAGCACGGGACCCAACCGGGGGAAAAAAAAACCGATTAACGTGGTAACAGGTGTTCCCACACTTAATGCTGGTTTCGCGTTAATTACCATACCCCCCGGTGGGATCGCTTCGCGAACCCACATAAATCATCATGACCCGTCAAATCGAGCGGGGAAAAACCCACGATGCATGCCCAAAATAATTAGGCGGACCATCATTTGATGGCCCGTGGGTGGAATCAATATTAACGCGCCCGTTGTCCAGTGTTTGACAAGAACAAAGGATTGCGGATCGATAAGTAACAGATGTGGTTAAATGGATGTTCTATTTTCGGTAACCGTTCGTTGTGTTGCTGAATGGTCCTTATACAAAGACTGTTCTAGTACATGCTAGTGTTAGTCTTTTATTTAAAACATACATACAAGCAAATAAATAAACAATATTAAACAACAAAGTAAACAAATAATCAAATTACGTAACTAATTAAAAACTAATTAAAATTTAAAAATTAAATTCAAACTCATTAAAAAACTCATTAAAATTACGTAACTAGGTCAATAAAAATTACACAATATAAACAAAGTAATTAAATTAAACAACAAGTAAACAAACTAATTAAACAATCAAAGTAATTAAATTACATAACTAGTCAATAAAAATTCAAACTAATTATAAAATAAAATTAAAAATAAACAAAATAAAAATAATTAAAAAGTAAACAAATAATCAAATTATGTAACTCGTTAATAAAAATTACACAATATAAACAAAGTAATTAAATTAAACAACAAGTAAACAAACAAATTAAACAATTATGTAATAAAAACACATTAAAATTACGTAACTAGGTCAAAAATTAATTAAAATTTTAAAAATTCATTAAAACTCATTAAAAAACACATTAAAATTACGTAACTAGGTCAATGATTACGTCACAAGGTCACTGATTACGTCACAAGGTCAATGATTACGTCACAAGGTCACCAAAAGGTGACTCACCCTTCACTGCTCCGCCAACCCCAGTTGGCGTAGTATTTTACTATATGTCTTTGCGCCTGCGGTGCATCCTGCTCACCCACCCTGCGGCAGCTGGCGTAGTATTTTACTATATGTCTTTGCGGCAGGCTGCGGCAGGCTGCGCATCCTGCTCCGAGTATTTTACTATATATCCTTTGCGCATCCCCACCACCTGCTCCGCCAAAAAATCGCTCCAAAAGCGACCTAATATACTACATATATATATATATATATATATATATATATATATATATATATATATATATATATATATATATATATATATATATATATATATTGTGGCTCTGTTTGTTATTTTTACACTTGCAGCGATTTGTTGTGCACTTGGTTGTGCAATTGCAGCGAGTGCAGCCTTGGCCGCCGGTCAGTGATTGTGAAGATTCGGTGGTTCGTGGTGATTTTTTTCTCAGTGCCAACAGACGACAATGAGAGCAGTTTTTCGTGAAGAATTGAAAACTCACTTCTAGTATAAAGTTGTTTTAGAACACCATGTTCCGTTCCTAGCCTGTACAAAGCGCCCTCGACGCTCATGACAACTGCAATGAGGATCACCGCGACTTCTGTTAACATCTGGTGTGCGGATGCAAACACTATCTCTCACAACATCTTGTTTAAAATTTGTATCTGATTTTTTTAGCATCTTAGCACCTTGAGTTTGCAAGCTAGTATGAGCTGCTGACCTCTTGTCCGTGATTTCTTGTTTATTGTGACATAATCTGCAATTGTAATGTTCCCCCCCCCCCCCCCCCCCCGTACCCTTCGTCTGCTTCATTGGCTACTTCGCATATTGCATGGACATCGTTGCCACAGGATCCACAAGAATGGGATGCACTACAATATTTTTCACAAACTACACATAATCTGTTGGCAATATTATTGTCATGCAACTGGTCTGGACGTTCCGCCACGGCATCATGTGTTAACTGAGGATGTAGTTGAATTTTTGGATACCTCCATTTCTTGTTCAATCTTCTCCAGATCTTCCTCAGTAACTAAATTATGGAGAGCCTCTCTTGGTAGATTTGAAGGTCTAAGTCTCACATTGCTTTGCATCCAAACAAGGCTTCGTATGGCGATTGTTGGATTCCTTGATGAAAAGAAAGGTTTTTCATAAATTGAATGAATTTGAACATCTCAGCCCATTGAGCTGATTCATTTGTCTGCATCCATGTCATCATCATGTTTTGAACATCTTGGTTTGTACATTCTTCTCAACCTTGGCTTTGGCTATGCCTTGGTTTTCCGTGAACTAGTTTAATTTCAGGCCACTTGTTCTTTAGTTCAGAAATATTTTGGTAGCCATCTGGTATGTCTGTCTCTTGGTCTGACGGCCCTTTTGGTCCATGTCGTAGTGCATATAGAACGCTATACAAACAAGAATCAAATGAAATCGCACCCAGAAAAACGAATATAAGGAATATTATTGAATTTGGAATACTCAAGGGAATTATCCAGACTTAGAGATTATTTTGCAAAAAATACTAACTCTGTTGTCTCCCTATGTGCATCAAAGTTCTAGAACAAAAAAAAACGGTCTGGGCTTACCGTTCTAAAAGTAATACCTTAGGTATAAATATTGCCAAAGCACTATGGTGCATAAATTTATTTTACACAGAACGATACAATTTACAATAATGACACGGTGGTACATTTCATTAAATTATTAAGGCGAACCTAGGGCCGTACCCGGCACCCCTGCGGTAGTGTGATCAGTGGCTCCTCGGAGCACCCGCGACGTTCCTGACATATGAGTGTTTGCCGAAGAGTGTCTACCTAATTTTTACGGAGGGTGGCCCAAGACTTGGATACAGCAGACAATAGAACGTCTCAGCGGTAGAGTGGACAACCAGCGCCATAACAAATCAGATCCAAGAAATATAGCACCTCCCTTCTTTACAATTTACATTTAAATTACTCAGTTGTAGAAAACAAATTTAGGTATCTAAAATTACACAGTTGGTAATGGTAATGCATAGATGCAATCTTCTTAAAGTATTACACCAGCCCGCAGTAGCGTGCGGAATGGAATCGCTAGTATATATATATATATATATATATATATATATATATATATATATATATATATATATATATATATATATATATATATATATATATATATGGAAATGGATTTGCCAAAAACTCAGGAAGCCTGTATCCAGCATATATATATATATATGGAAATGGATTTGCCAAAAACTCAGGAAGCCTGTATCCAGCATAACAAGACAGGCCCTCACCTGGAATCAACAGGGCAGGAGGAGAAGAGGCAGATCAAGAAAGACATGGAGACGCTTCACTTTATCCCCCCCCCCCCCTGCATCATGCACACAGACCCATCCCCTCCAGAGGAAATAGAAAAAAAGAATCATTTAAACACAAATTAAAATGTATAGGTTAACCAATGTCCACCCCTGCGGAACTTTTAAGTTACTCGAAAGTTTCAAGTGCCCCTCCCCCGTAGTAAAATTATCTATAATATAAACGGGCAAGTGGTGTGTCAGTCCTTCCTTCCTTCCGTCATCGCTGTAGCTTTTTTTAACCATAAAAGTAAACATCGCACCTTGCTGTAGAGTAGGGTTTGTTTATATAACGACATAGAGCTATTTTATAATTGCCACTGTTTTTTCTTTTTTTGCATAACGTAAAGAAAATATTAAATAACCGCACATTGCTTAAACATATTAAAAAGATCAATGTCAAATATCATTTTCGTTTATATTCCCAGAAAAAGTGGATACATTTTAATAACATAATAACAGTACGGTAGAACAATCAAATTGATTTAACTTTTTTTTTCTAATTTTTACAAAGGAGGTAATTAAAAAAAATTATTAAACTCACGCTAATAAAAAATGTGAATGCAAATATACGGTCGTCATAGATGGAATTAGTGTTGCAATAATATAATTAGCAAAATGCAATTGCAAATTATGCGGATGTGTAAGAGGAAATTATTGTTAGAAAATTATAATTAGCATGGATTGATAAAAGGCAATCTTTTATTTATTTTATTCACTGAATGTACTGTTTATTACTTATAATTTTTAATCAACTATTCCGCACTATTATAGACGCGTCATCACGTTCATTAGGTGCGCAATGGTTTTAGTTATGAAACTCTATTGTAAATTTTTAAAATTTAAAGTACTGGGAAAAAATGTGTAAATTGATAAAGTGATATATGGTAGGCAAAACACGGATATTTTAAATATACTGCCTATTATTTATACTGTTTACTAATTATTATTCTATCTTTCGGTTTGCGGACAAGCTGGGGGTTTTATAGGGGAGGCGTAGCGAGGGGGGGCATATGTCCCCGGGTGCCGACCTTAGGGGCGCCAAAGTGGGTTGGAAAAAAATTGCGGGGGGGTGGTGGTGGAAATCGAAAGTTTTAGGGGGTGCAAATCAAAAGTTTAAGGGGGTGGGGGTGGAATTTGAAATTTTGACGGGAGGGGGTGCAAATTGTAAGTTTGAGGGAGGGTCAAATCGAAAGTTTGTCACCGGGCGCCAAAAAGGGTCGCTACGCCTCTGTTTTGTAGTCATTCACTGTGTCAGACGCGTCCGCCGGCGCTCGGAAAGGGCGCGATTTGGAGCTACGGGCTAGACTGTGAGCAATTTGCCTTTATGATTGCATTTAAATTGTGTTTATGTTATGAGTGTTGTGTTTGTTTTTTTGTTTGTGTTTTTTTTTCGTTCGTTTGTGTTGTGTTTAGTTTTGCTCTGTTCCCAAGTTGGTACACTTAAAAAAAGATTTACCGGATGCAGCTAGTTATAAATAATATATCCCCTCTTTTCGCACCAATCGCTTCTTTTGAACTAGCTTCTGGTCTTATTTTTATGTATTTGGCCTTCCAGCAAATAAATAAAATCTGGCAAACCGTAGCGGCCTTAAAATAATCGACTACTACATTGTTAGGACCGCGAGATGAATTTGGATTTATTAAAAAGAAAGGAGTAAATAAACTAGATTCTAGTTCTTGATCTATTTGTAAATTTACTAGTTCATTATTTTGCAATAAATATTGCTTATTACTCTTATTAAAAATTACATTATATTTTGTAAGTAATTTCTTAAAATTCTTAAATTTTAAACAGTTGAAATCGATTAGAGAAAATATTTTATTTGCTCTTCTTTCATTTTAGAGGAACTTCATTGAGTTTTCAAAATGGCGGCTGAAGCTAAGGCATTGCTCGATGAGTTAATGGGAAGAACAAGAAATCTTGACCCGTCCCAGCAGCCCGAAGATCTCTCTTGGAATAGTCAAGACGTATGATTATATTTTTGATACTTCAAATCGGTAACATTTATAATGACCATCAATTACTAGATCTTGATCTATTGTACTTTACACAGATTAGTAATGATTAGTTTCAGTAGGCCGTCTAAATTTTTAGAATCTAAAATCTAATCCAACTGTATTCTCAATTCTGTAGCATGAATTATGAAATTTTAAAATCAAATATTCTTCTCTTTCACATAACCAATGACAAGCCATACCCTGTAACAGACCATGAGAGGCCACATTTAATTATCTAGCTTACTTAGATGCCAAGAAAAAAAACGGATTTTAAAATTATCCAAAGACCAAAATCATTGTAAACAGTAAACATGAACGCCAAAAACCACATTTTGCCTCCCAGCCCGCATAAAAGGATGTTGTGAACTTATGTACACAAGTTTTAAGGATGTTTATAGATACTGGTGTCCGATAATGGAATCTTCGGTAAAAATTTAGAGAAAACCCTTGCTATTTCATAGTATCCGCCGCCAACCAATCAAATGCGCGCTTTCAACGCGTTTTGGTTGGCGGCTGACGTCACGCGACCCGTAAACACTGCGTTTTTGGAGCTAAAAAGGGCAGAAAAAGCCATTTTTTCTACGTGTAGTTCGGATTTTTTTTACGTTTTTTAAAATGGGCCCGAAAATGACCCTTTTTAGAAATGGACATAGCCATTTTTTCGAAGAATTAATTTTAAAAAGGGCCGTTTTGAGCTATGTTTCGATGTAAACAAAGGCCCATGTCAACACGTGTCAAACCACGTGAAGGCACCCGATCGACGATTTCGGTCAGGCATGAGTGGTTTTCGCCCGTTCTCGTGAACTAAATACCAGTTCTTGACAACAAATTGGAAAACAACAATTTCGTGAAAATAACGACCCTAGAGGAATGGCTTTTGAAGATTATTAAATAAAAATCGATGTATTAGCTACATGTGTTGATTCTTAAGTTGTCTATAATTGACTAGACTCTAGATCTAGTAGGGCATGCTGAAACAACGGCCTTAGGGCGCCGTGTAGTGTGTAGTTTCGCTAAGTCTAAATTAATCAGCAGGGCCGCAGATCAACCGCAAACTGTTAAATTGGTTGAATGTGAAAAGCATACTACTCACAAATTACTTTTGAATATTCACATCACACAAAATAATCCCAAAGAAAGCACAAAATAAAATCCTTTAGAAAAGCATCACCATGCAATTTGAAAACCACAGTATGTCAACCAGCCATCTTTGGCTCGATCTAGAGGTCATTCTTTAGCCTACACATGTCTTGCCAACAAATTTAGTTTCTGATGGTACACAACATTTAGGTCAATATATTAACAAACTAACTGAATTCCAACATTCTATCACTCTAATCCCAAAATGAAACAGAATTTGAAGCACAATAATCTAACGAATAAATCCCACTCTAAGTAAGTGTCGCAGCTTTAATCCTGGATAGAACCGTAGTGTGTAGTCGTGTTGTGAGTAAACTTGCACGAGATGAAACACCGACCTAGACCTTCCTGATGTTGTGTATGGCCCCAACGTTAAATGCTGGGAGTAGGGGAGGGGAATTTAACACCAGAATATTTTTTTTTCAATAGTTAGGTCATCAGTAGTTCACGCATCCTAACGGGGTTGAAAGTGTAACTTTATATTCAACTAGGCAAAAGGTGGAGGGGTGGGGTCATTTAAACGACGGAGCTATATTTCTAGTCGAAGAATACGGGGAAGCCGGCATTTCATTATTGTCATTGCTGTTGAGTACAACACTTTATTTTAGTTTGATGCACGACTAGGCTACTCATTACAAAATCTAAAAAATGTCGTTGTGCTACCATGCAAAAGTAGCCTAATATTTCTACTGAATGGGGTAGGTATTTGACTTTGTTTATTTAAATGCAGATCCCATTAGCCTAAACATATTTGGATGCACATTTTAGTTATATCGTAAGGATTAATTTTATAATACAATGCATATATTCTGGCAGTCCTTCAAGTATTAGTAGTTATTGCCTATTGGACTATCCATAACTTGTATTTCAAAGATTTATAATGAGCGGGATGCACTCGATGTTTTAAGTGCTACATTCGGTAGCTGTTACTTTGTGCATGACAGCATCCCAATAGTTCACTGTAAACTGAGCTTGATGAGACTCCCATCGCCAAGCAATCGTATGATAGACCCAGCAAGCATCACTCGTTAAATTCGACATCATGGCTATACCAGTCCTTGATTTTCATTACTGCCTTGAAACGCCTTGTACTTGGTTTTTTAAAAAAAAAGTCCCCCCCCCCCCCCCCCCCCATCCCTTCCCGCCGACGTCATCATAGGCCAATACCACGGTGCATTTTTTTTTTCACCAAGTATAACACACACCTCTCTCCCCCTCACAGCAAGCGCCAACAATGGTCACCCAAGGCCAATAACACGCACCACGGTGGATTTTTTTTAATGAGTATATACCCTACCCACCCGCCGCCTTACAGCATACCGCTAGTCTTTACAAACGGGGTTAAAAGTTTAACTTTGAGCTCAAGAAGGGGAGAGGGTGGTATTGAAACAATGATCTTTAATATGTTTAATAGTACAAATACATAAAAAATTATACTTACCTACTTCTATAGCATCATACATAATTTTATAATTAGCAAATTAATTAATTCATTAAATATATCTAATGATAATGAAGGGAGATTTATTTTGGTTAAGGCACGACACACAACACTATGCGTGCGTGGTATGTGGCCTGACCGACCGAAAGGAGATTGTTTATATTATTGTTTTGAGTTTATATTTAACTCAATGCAACGAGCCCGCCGGTTGGTTGAGGCCACGCCGGGGGGACGATCTGTCCGGGATTCAAAGGGTCGATTCTAAATATCATCCGAATCTTCTTTTAAAAAGGGGTGTTGGGTTCTTAGTAGTATTGTAATTTCGACTAATTTTATGGTTAGAAATTAGGGTTAGTTGTATGGTAGGACCAGGGTTAGCATTGACATTGTGTGTATTTAGTTAACTGCCTAACACCCCTTTTTCAAAGAAGATTCTATTATCTGACACTGGTAAAAAAACTTCCCCCGAAATTTGAAATGCATGGTTCTGTTTGTAGGTATTTTGACGTCTGCAGTTTCGATCACTTCCAGACTTTTTCATTGTACTTGTAGAAATTTGCCATTTTTTAACATTAATTCTCACCACAGGAATTGAAAATTAAAATGTATTAGATATGAAGATTTGAGTTGTATTTAATCTTTTATAGGCCTACATATTAATAAATCAGTTAGCTCCCGTTTTATATTGTCCGATACCGAAAGCGATCAACGATTATAGAAAATATTTGTATAAATAAGCATCTAATTTGCATGACAATAGGACTAAATAACATGCCAACCATTTGGATAAATAGAAATGTCGATTTTAAGGGTTTTTAAGCACAGGGCAATGAGTAGCGCGATAAAATTTGTAGGGTAGAAATGAAAGCCTGCGTAATGGCCGAGTTACGAGATATTAATAGAAAGAATGCTCATACTGTTTTATATTAGCTGTTTTCAAATGGACTGTTACATAATAAAATGGGCTTAAAATAAATATACTGTATAGGCTAGGCCTATCTAAATTATTAAAATAAAAATATAAGAATGGAATTAATTACTGCCTAAATTATAAAATTAAATTAGCCAGATTGTTATTAGGGCCTAACCTTTTTAATACCAGGTTAACCAGATCTAGTTAACTAGTAAGTATCAATGAATTATAAATAGGATTTCTGGGCAGATAGGCCCCTAAATACAAAATCATAATTTTCTATAGCCTATCGCTAAATCCGTCTTAAGAGTAATATTGTACAGAATTTCTACCAACACAATTATTACCTGTTATGCTCCGTATAAGCCATTGACTTCAATTACAGCCTGCTTTTCTTTTTGGATTTGCTTCTCTAGCCTTGTCTACTAATTTAGGCCTTCCATTATAATCATGCTTATTATGATATATCAGACACGCCAAAAGCGGAATTATTCAGCTTTTTTAATTTAAAATTTTTTGTCCTTTTCCGCTGTCCAGTTTTCGTCGAAGTTTGTCCCTTTATTAAAAAAAATTAACAAAGAAAATTAATAAATCGAATTGAAAATAGTCGTCCCTTTGGCACACATTTCCGTTTCCTAGTTTACTTACAATATTTACAAGTATGATCTAATATTCAGCTTTTTTTTAATTTAAAAAATTGTGTCCTTTTCCGCTGTCCAGTTTTCGTCGAAGTTTGTCCCGTTATAAAAAAAAAATTAACAAAGAAAATTAATAAATCGAATTGAAAATAGAGTCGTCCCTTTGGCACACATTTCCATTTCCTAGTTTACTTACAATATTTACAAGTATGATCTAATATTCAGCTTTTTTTAATTTAAAAAATTGTGTCCTTTTCCGCTGTCCAGTTTTCGTCGAAGTTTGTCCCGTTATAAAAAAAAAATTAACAAAGAAAATTAATAAATCGAATTGAAAATAGAGTCGTCCCTTTGGCACACATTTCCATTTCCTAGTTTACTTACAATATTTACAAGTATGATCTAATACAATATCTACTAATAGTTAATGTTGACAATCTTTTGAACGTTCTTTATAGTATTTGCAATTGAATTGAAATTTTAATTATGCCTTAAAAACATGTATGGAGAAAATTTCTAGATCTAGACAGATAGATCTACTAGATACTGATCTATCTAGTAAGTTGTAACTAGTAACAATTATGAAGAACTTAGTATTAAGAAGTAACTAGGACTTATACTATTAGATCTAGGTCTTAGCTCTTAACTTATATTTTATATTACATACGATCAGCATTTGTTGTTCATAAAGCCTAGGACATAGCAAGGCAGGAATAATCAAACCAATAATGTTATGTCAAAGCTATGGTTTTTATTGGGGGAGGGAGGGGGGGGTGTCTCAAGTTATTGGTTAATTTTATTTTAAAAATGTAAGCTGACATTAAGCAGTATTTAAATGTAGTCTAGAGACTACTTATATATAACTAGCAGCCTACTAATGTCATTAGACTAATTTTTAATTAATTATTTTTATTTTTTACTTAGTAAAGTAGCGTCTGCGCTTATGTTCCTCATTTTGGCTTCAAATTCCTCTTTTTAGACATAACTGCTCCTACTTTTGGCTGACAGGGGTAGGCATGTCTGTAATAATATAGGCTACTTAAATTTAAAAATCATTTTAAATTCTATAAGGGGATTTTTTAATGAAAACTCGATTCTTTTATTTCTAAGAAAATATTTTTGTGTTGGCAGCCTTAGAAACTATTATTTTCTGACAGCTTAAAAGCAATAGATGTCAGCTAGCACTGTTGTCTTATTTTAATTGTCATTGTACTTTAATTAAAATAAACCTGGAGTGATCTCCCCTAAACTTTCTCGAATATTCTTATATAACTTGGAATGTAGACATGATTTTTAATTACTTAAACTTTTAAAAATAGAATAGAATCTCATAGAAAAAAACATTGCGCACCAAACAAACGCCGAAACAAAATGTGCATAATAGTGCGCAATATTATTAGTACTTTATAAATTTACTTGCGTTTTTTGAGAAATCGGAAATAACGTAAATTAGTACTTCCGGTCAACGAAAATTACTCAAAATTTGATAGAAGGTAGAGAATTATATCTATTACTTACATGTGAAATTTCATTTATCTATCTGAAATAGTACTCAAGTTATAGGCTTTTGAAAAATTCAAAGTAGAAAAAGTACCACTTCCGGTTATCGAAAATCGCTAAAAAGTTGATACGGATCTACAATTTTGATAAAATACTTTTATATGAAATTTCATCAACCTAGCCGTAACGGTACTCAAGTTATCGTGTTTACACACAGACACACACAGACAGACAGACACACAGACATACGGACAAGATTACAAAATTATGTTTTTCCGTATCAGTGAGGTGTAAAACGTCGAGATTTTTGCACGATTAAAAGACTTTCTCTATACTTCGTATATACGAGAAAGTAAAAATGATACTACAGTTGTTGAATAATTTTTATAAATTATTCACATAACCTACTCTTTTTTTTTTTTCTAGGTATGCAAGTATTTTTTATGTGGATTTTGCCCTCATGAGCTGTTCACTAATACTCGTGCTGATCTTGGTAAGCTGAGATTTTAATGTTTACATGATACACGTATAATTACCTAAATTCCAATTCTTAGCTGCTATCTCATGGTAACTACAGGCTAATGTGTTAAAAACAATTTGGTTAAGTAAACATGAAGAGCTTTATAATTAATGGAATCATAAAGAATGTTAAACTCTTTGACCAGAGTTGTTTTTTCTCTTAAAGTAATTAGGCCCTATATGTTGCTTTGAGTTTTTGTCACAGTTGTATGATGACTTGATTTGACAGGGCCATTGCACACTTTTAATATAAAAGAACCAAACAGTTGTAAGAAATAAAAGTTGAATAGAGAGTTAGAAAATGTATTAGGCCCGCATCCTCATTTTTCTTCCTAAAATTTCTTATTTAGGACCCTGTGCCAAAATTCATGATGAGGCTTTACGAAAAGAGTATGTATAGTAGTTTTTTCTCTCTACATTTTATTAGCATAAAGATTAATTTGAAGAAATATTATTCTTTTTATAGAAGTCACCTTAAACATATTTATTTAGCAATATAAATAATAAAATGTTACGAAATAATTAAATTTTATTTTAAAAAAAGCATTCAACAATAAAAAAATTATCGGAGTTTTAAAAATAAATTATTTTGATTCAGGTTTTTTAAATATTAGGGAGTTAACTTAAAAATGAATAGCATCCTTGAACTTTCAGCAATTGATGTAGTTGATTAATAGTTTGGTTTCAAGCTTTTAAATTTGGACTATTCAGCTTGATTTTTAAAATGATTAATTTTGTTACAAAATAGTTTAATCTTATTGATTTATATTTAGATATCAGAATAGTCCAAGGTTTGAAAAATGTGGATATGAAGAAGACTTTGTGAGATTTCTTCAAACTTTAATAACTGATGTTGAGAAACGTATAAGGCGTGGACACCAGAGACTGGCACTTAACAGTCAACAAGGAAGTGTAAGTTTTCTTCTATTTGTAATATAAAACTAAAGTATACCCATCCTGTCAGATTAAATGGGTCAAGTGCATTTATTTCTTTGAGTTAAGCATTTCAAGAATGTGTAGCACAATGCCCAGCTTTCACTTATTGACTATGGTCAGGTAACCGTCAGAGCCCTGTGGACTTAAGCATGTCCTCTGGAACCTGGCACAGATCCAAATTTGAGACTTGTAAATTGGCAATATTTTTAATCAATTTGTTATTCATGCAGATTAATGGAAATGCAAGTAACCAGAATGAAGAAAAAATTGCACTACTTACAGAGCGAATTAATGAGCTCGTTGTGCAGGTAAAATTTTTTTTAATAAAAACAGTTTTGACTAAAAGACAATTTAAAAAAAAATTTATCTATGGAATATTTTACATAATTAAAACACATTTAAATTATTTTATTCAGGCTGAAGAGTTGGGTTGTGAAGGAAAAGTAGAGGAAGCACAAGGTGTAATGAAGCTTGCAGATCAGTTAAAGGAAGAGCGGCACCAGCTAGAAACGGTAATATTCCTTGAAACTAGTTGTCTGTTTTTTGTTTTGGGAGGGGAGGGGTTATTGAATGGTTTTTAATTTTATGAATGTGAATTCCGAAGCTACGTTAAAAATTTTTGTCTATTTTTCTAGGGATGTAATATGTATGATTTCTTTTGTAGCCTACGCAGGAAGAAGTTCCAATGATGAAGCAAATGGAGGTTTGTGAAGTTTGTGGGGCATTTTTAATTGTTGGAGATGCACCACAGCGTCAAGATGAACATTTAATGGGTAAACAACATGCTGGATATGCCCAAGTTAGAGCAGAAGTTGAAAAACGAAAGGTAATTACCTGATGCTTACCATAACATCTTCTATTTACTCATTATATTGAGTTGGTTTTTAAGAATTTATTTATTTTACAGCAAAGGGCTAGGGCAGAAATAGAAGCCAGAGAAGCAACAGAGGCAAAGTTAAAACAAGAGAGAGAAGAGAGAGAAAAAGAAAGACAAAGAGAACGTGAAGAAAGGCGACAAAAAGAGAGAGAAAGAGAAAAGGAGCGAGAAAAGGAAAGAGAACGTAGAAAAGCTAGGAGCAGATCAAGAAGCAGGGACAGACGAAGGTCACGCAGCCGTGATCGGCGGCGTAGGCGTAGTATTAGTCGTGATCGGCGGAGAAGTCAAAGAAGCAGAAGTAGAGATAGGTAATATAAATCCCAAGCAGTTGTTTTTCTATGTGACTTAAAACTTTTAAGGTTTTTTTGTCATGTCAGGGTGAAATTTTTGCAACCAATTCTTCTATTTCTTTTTAATTTATTCAGAAATATAGCTTTTCCAATTTTTAGTGGAAATCCAATTTTTGCCATTTCAGCAGCCATTTTCCTCCACTGATTTTCTTAGAATTTCTCTGCCAATTTTCGATGCTGTCGATTCTTACGCAGTTATAAAAATTATAAATAATGGGAATGACCTCTACGGAAACAGCATTCTACATATTTTTGTTTAAATAGAGTACTGTGCTTAGTCAATTGGTGAAACAGACAAGTGCATTTCTTTTCAACTAGACGATTGCACTAGGTCTGTCAGCGCTAGATTAAATGTAGGTCAAGATTCCGAATTTTGGGGGGTTTCCCATTTTTCAATTCCGAATTTTCCACTTGTATTTCAGTTAAATATTTATCCAAACTACGAAATACCAATCTCGCATGCGTGTTAGTTTAGCTATAGCCTAATATATCTACCACATTTTAACTCCCCCTCTGTTATTAAAGCTACCCAAATCTACAGTTTCTATTTGCTTCTACTTTATTTCTTTTTAGCAATGGTAGCTCTTGTGATCTCACCATGACCCCCAATGTTTGGTACTGCTTGTCTGTGGGAAAACAAAATTACATCACAGATAACAAGCTATGATATATGTTATACGCTTAATGGTTAATCATCATGACCATAACCGTGTCTTGTCCGTGGAAGAAAAAACACAATACCGAATAATTTAAATAATAATCAATGGCTATTCCAAAAGCATAAATAATGATGTGGCTTGGCTATCAAAAAGGTTAATTATGGTTTTAAGCTGTTTACAAGTATTAATTCCAAAATACTTGTTAATATAAATATGAGACCCTTTTTAATTTCAACGAATCTGGTCTAGGCTCTTTACAGCTGAAGACTTACATTTTTACCATGATCATCTTTAAAAAAATTAACTTGTATTAAAAGGAACAATTTTAAATTAAAAACAAGAGTAACCTACAACTAGATGATTGCAATTTAGATTAGCTTTATGTTAAAATACAACTTTTTATATACTTTAGTTAAATTGTAAAAAAAAAAAAATTTATGTTGTTTATAAGGTAGACATTACATAGCAGTTAGACAAGAGTAATATCAAAAACTTCTTTTATGTAGATTTTTAGCTATTTAATTAAAACAATGAATTAGTTCACTAAGAGCGTGAGACTGCTTTAACTACGATAAAACATTGGGTTCTTGTCCAAAAAAAAAGTCCCTATTTTTTTTTCATGGTATGGTCACATCCCTGCTTATTATTTGTGTATTAAAGATTGTTAAAAGGATAAAAGACTAGTGACCAATTGTGATTTTGTTGGGTTATTTAAGCTACATGAATTTTGAATATCTTTCTTGGGTATTACTAAAAGGATTACACCTGTATTTAGTAAATGATTAAATAAAGATCCTTGTTTGATCTCCAAGCACAAAACAAAGTAAACTATTGAAAAACATGTGACCAAAATTAACTCTTTTACTGAAGATTTAATTAAATCTTATTAAAAATGTTAGTATACATTTTTAGTTTGTACTTTTAGTACTAAGTTTCAAATGAAGCCATGTTTAGGTTATGAAAACAATTTGTACGTTACTCTTTCCATCCTGATTTTTTTTTTTTAGTCTACACCATACTCGACTGATTGAAAATACTTAATTAAAACCCAATTAATAGCTAACAAAACTGTATCTACCCTTTTGCAACTACAAGTAGTTCACCTGTTATTTATATTGTAATCTTTAAATTTGTATACAATATAAAACTTAGTTTGATTGGAAATTATATAATATTCTTGTGGTCTAATCAGAGATGCAATTTTCATAATTTAGAAATTGCCATTGTGAGTTACAAACCACCAGATCCAGATACACTATGACCCAAGAAGACCTGGTTAAAATTGAATTTTAGGAGTTAAATGTGCTCCTCCTTCAGTCCTTGTCAACTCGTTTATAAAACATTTGTAATCTCATGAGGACATGTAATCTAACATAGTCCCAAGGAAAAATTTACCTCTCTGGCATTCTCAAATAGGTACTGGGTATGTCAAGATAGATGCTATAGGCTGATCTGTATGCCTTATGTAAACTCACAGTGAATCAACTATCTTATTTGAGAGGGGGGTATAGATTTTTATTATTTTTTCTATTTGCTATTTTTTTATCACACTAGCAGTTAAGTGATTTACAAATATGGATACCATGACTATGTTTAAAATTAAGACATTTTCATGGTAGCTCTGAATATTCATTTAAGGGTTAGGAAGCTGACATATGCCAATTCTATGTCAATTGATACAGTGATATGTTTACTAGGTCGAGTTGCACTATATTAACTTACTAGTCATCGGTACCCATTTCACGTGAATTATAGGCCTATATATCTTAATGTTACTTGTTTGAGCAAAATATTTAATTAAATAGTTATTGGTCAAAACGCAATGTGCTTTACTACACGATGAACAGTATTAGTAACAAAGCAAAGAAATAACTAAATAGCTAAAAATTTGAAAAAATAGGCTACCAATACCTATTAGTAGAAAAACCAAATTATATACATTATTACTCAATACAACACCATATTAAATGCGCACACTGATTAAGAGACTAATATGATTCAGTTAATAACACGACTGTTCAATCGTATTTATGTTGTTTTTTAAAGTGATTTGTATTACTTTTGGCCAAGAGAATTGTATACATTTTATAGCGTACGTCTTGATAAGTAGATCTATAGATCTAAATCAAATTTGAATTAAATACTTCATTTATTCATATTCTAAAATTGGAAGATGGCGGCATTAGTTTTGTGTACTTTCCGTAATTTAAGCACGTCAATTCTTTTTTTTTTTTGTGTTCTTTTCTCAACGATTAACACTTTTCCGGTTACGTAATTAAAATTGCGTTTCTTCATTCGAATATGCTGTTACTTTTATTTTCCTTCTTTCAATAAAATTTAGTTTATACATTTATAACATTTAACATGATTCATAACAAAATTCTGTATCAAGTTCTCCATACATCGCTGAAGATACTATATTATAACCTCTGAAAATATTTTGCGGTTAGAGAGAGAGAGAAGTGCGCACATGGGCTTTATATATTATGAATACAAACTTCTTTTATGTAAGATAATAGCCATAAATTATTGAATACGATACATTATTAGTTAGAGCTAATTTTTGCATGGTTTAGTCACATTGACGAAATTTTCTAGTTAACATTGCTATATAGTTTAGCCAATAGTAGCTTAGCACAACTTACATGTAAAACATAATTTCTACAAATATATTGTCCTACTTTTTGCAGAAGACGAAGAAGTAGAAGCAGTAGCAGAAATAGACGTTCTTCTAGGCGTTCGTCAAGCCGTGACAGGAAACCAGGGTATGGGAGATCAAGAGACCGTCACTCTAGAAGCCGTGATCGTTCTAGATCTAGAGACAGAAAGAGAAGCAGGGATGAAAAGGATAGCAAAAACAGCTCTGACAAAAAGAGAGAAGAGAAAGAAAGAAAATCTGAAGATGTCAACCAAAAGAAAGAGGATGATAGCTCAGTTACAAATGATTTGGTTTTAGAAAACCACAAGAATAATGGTAAGTTAATCTGGTATATGGGCCACTTTTATGCAAATAATCCAGGGATGGGACTCTTCCAATTTTTAGCTATTTGAGCTACACATTTCTTCAGCAAATGGATTTTATTTTCCGAATTTCTCCGACACATTTTTTATTTTTGTTGATTTTTACCAATTTTTAGCTTACAGTGCAGATACTAGTTCAAACAGACAATCTAATAAGCACATTTCTTTTCAGTTGATGAATACTTTAGGCCAATAATGCTAAAGACTACATCTAGGTCAAGATTCTGAATTTCAGAATTTTCTAGATCACAATTTTTTTAGTTCAAATTTTACACTGATATTTTCAGTTAAATATTTATTTTAAAAATATGGGAAAAAGTAATCTAAAATTTTAAATGTTAGCTGTATCAAACAGTTAATTAGTACAATGACGGTTGAGACTACCCTCAATGCAATAAAACATTAAATTCCAGTCTGAAATAATTTACCTTTTTTTATGGTCACATCCCTAATAATTTGTTTAAAAAAAAATAAAACAGTAAACTTGAAAATTTTGGCATTCTAGTAATTATAATATATTAAGCTATCAGCTGCATTACGCCAATACCGCTTACGTTGATTGTACATTATCAACTACTGTGCAAACCTAGAATTAATTAGCATTGTCATATTTATTTTGTCACTTCTGTATCTTAGCTGACACTAATACTTGGTAAATAGGGTGAACGGAAAGACATGCATTGGAATTCTGCGTACATAAAGGGCATTTTTGTTTACTTAAATCAAACATTTATAGACATTAACAAAAAATGACCGCATGTATATTGTTTCATAATAAAACAGGTTTCATTTGTATTTGCGCGTTTTCTTCTTGCACAGTTTACCGTCGCACAGGTCTCTGGTAACCAGTAAATAGACAATTAGAATTGTTATAAATTTAAATTTAAATGCTTTATTCTTTGTTCATTAATCCTGCTGTATTTTGTCATGTTATTTTGTGCTAAAACTACAACATTATTTGTACACATTTAAGGACCAGATTGATTCCAACAATTTGACAATTATTAAGAAAATCTTAATGCCAGATTTTTATGATAGTTGTAAGTAACAAAACAAAGTACGAATGTAAATTGTCACATGTATTTATTACTAATACTTTTACAATTCAAAACAAACTTTTATTGTTTCAATTCAAATTAATTAGAGATCCAAATTTTTTTTAGATATGATTTGATATATATCTTCTAAGCCCGATAAAAATTTAAGTGCTAATTTTTTTATAAGAAGTTAGGTCTGACTCAACAGTGGCTGCGTGAACTTAGAGCCAGAATTCATAGTAAAGAAAGACATTACCGTCAAAAGTAATTAAATCATATTAGTCTTTCTTTACAAATTTAATGAATCAATTTTACAATTTATAAAAAATATGGTGGCAAAACTTTTTTCGTGAAGATATATACCATATTCAGTGTCTTTTCATCCTTGTCCATATACAAAATGGCAGATACCAAAAGTACATACTTAACTATGGGCAGTAGTGCCATAATGAGGGTCTGTAGTTGCGGACAACACCATTTGATACCATCCAAGGTGGTGACAACAAAACAATATAATTAATTTAAATGGGAAATTCAGAATTTGCCAGTTTAGTAGTTTATTATTATTAAATTGCATTCATTATTGGACACTGTTTGTCAATCCGTGATGGGGTTGACAACAAATTGTAAATATTACACATGTAAATTTAGGTTACTTAACGTTGCTGGTTATGGGCTTTCAATAAAAGCCATTAATTACATTTCTTTCATGATGTATAATGAAACTCAGATTTAGTGCAGTCACTGATTTTTTTTCTCGTACAAAAACAATACTTGCAAAAAGCTTTGACACCCAGGTAACAATATTATGATTATGCTTAAAAAGATGCACTTTTGCCTTCTGTAACAATCAAAAACTGCATAAATTAGTTTTTTTTCTTGTGACATCAATGTGATTACTGGGTAATCAAATTTTTAAAAGATTTAGTTGTATTGTATCAAAAGATAATCTGATCAAATATTTAACCATTTCTAGAGGTGTGTAAATCTGTTGGTGATGATAAGACCATTTCTGCTGATAATACCATCCCTTCAAATGCTATGGAACAAGATGCAGCTGCAACTGACTCTAAAGATCGCAACTGTCAAGCTGACATTGATTTGCCTGTTGGACCAAATTCTGAAGGTGACACTAAAATCGATGAATGAGAGTAGCCTTCTTTTTCCAAGTAAGTAATGTACTTTTTATGGACAGAACTCGTTGATTTGTAATCTTCCTTTCCAGCTGGGTTTCCAGGTGAGTGGATTTTTCTTATATGTGAACATAGCAGTTCCATTCCAAGATGTTGAAGAGCTCTGGATGCTGCTCATCTTAACTTATTTAACATAGGTACCGATCTTTTGTATGAACAGTCATCAACAGACTGTTCCATGCAAGGACCAGATTTTTTTCTTACATATATGGAGGCTTGCTTTTTCTTGGCTTTTACAGTGTCCTAGGTATTTGTCTGGGAATGTTCAGTTTGTACATAAATAGAAAGAAAAGCTGTGTATCATTCAAGTTGAAACCATGGACAAGTGGGTCTTTTTTTCTTTCCAAACCCTTGGCTCAGAAAAATATTTTCATAAGTCTTGAACAGTTGTGACAGATACAAGTATTTTACCAAATAGTTTCTCTAACTTGCATTTTTTCTTAGTCTATTTTTTTTTAGATCCTAGTACTTACTTTAACATCTTATAACTTTTTAAAAACTAAATCAACTTCCACTGTATCATACATTTAAATTGCTGAAAACTAATTGCAGTCCATTGCAAAATGCTTCAAATACATGTCCAGTTATTTTGAAAATATTTTTGTAATAATCTACGGTATAGCCAATGGGAGTTGAATGTTACGTAAAAATTGTAGCTGTACAAATTGACAATGTGGGGGCTTTATTTTTCAAAGAACCTGCATTCACGAGAATGTTACTCAAGTAATAGCATTGATGAAAGAGTATGTTAATCATGACTCAATGTTTATGCATACATGACTTTCTTATCCCTGAAGCGATGATACAAATATGGCGAAGTAACTGATTGTTGAGCCGATGCCAACCTAAGGATTGCCAGCAAGGGAACAGCAATCAAATGACTTTAGCATCGTTACTCACTTATATTGTTCAGGTATTTTATTGTGGTAGTAGCTTTTTTTTGTGGCTCATAATGACCCCTATCTTACTAATGGTATCTGTATAAATAAATGCATAAATTTCAGCCATTTAGGTCAGTTTTCCTTGAATGAACATAATTTCATTCTCAATTTAGAATGGAGAATGAGCCACATATGGTATAAAAACTACCAAGTCAAAAATACCCCAGTTGATTGTTTATTTTGAAAATTTTCTAAACAGAATTTTTCTTTGGGCTAATCATACAACTATTTCTTATTGTGCTATCCAACAGTTGAAGTTGTACATTTTCTATACAGAATTTTTTTTCCAGATGACGGCCTGATTTTTTTCTTCAATACTGCAATTTTATATTTTTTCTTGCATTTAAAATTCACAGGAACTTAATGCGGTAGCACTTCAGAACTTAAAATTTTCTCTCTTAAAAGCATAAAACTTCTACAAGAAACCATTGATTTTTAATACAGTGGAACCTGAATAACACCTTAATTTTATTTTATTTTTGTAAATATAAAGGGGGAAAATTCACTAAGTATGATTAAATTACCTGTTTTTATCATTTTAAATAAATCAGTTTATAGCACATGTGCCAAATTTTGGCAATATGATTAATTTATGGGTAACCTTATTTCACTCCTCACGGTACAGATTTTTTTAAAAACTTGTAAGAATTAGCAGACTGTTAAATTCATACACTGATGATACAGCAATCTTCTTACAAAGTTTTTAATAAAAGGTTCTACTGTACATATATATATACCAGCACCTAAAAAAAGTGAAAGAACATTCTCATTCAAATCTTTTTTTTTTCTGTCTGAAAATGTTCCATCACTTCAACCTAATTGCAAACTTTGCAATTAATAGTATTATGAACAGAAAATAAAATAACCCTAGTTGATTTTTTGTTTATTTTATTTTTTCCAGGTACTTCTTTGGATAAAGCACTGGTTCCAAATAAATTTAGAAGTCCAACCACAGAGAAAATTATTAGATTTATTCTGGTTATTTTAAAATGGTAATTGTTTGAAATAAAACATTTTTTTACCTTATAATTAATAACAGTATTTAAAATGTTAGTTTTTATTATAACCTTTTAATGAACATAGTATGTCTTATTAATTTCAAAAATATTCTTGTACTTTCAAACTGAAACCTTGGATTTATTCAAGTAACTTATCATTACAGACATGTATATTTTTTTTTTGGTGTAAAATATCCAAAAAATATTTGATTTATTTGAATTAACCCAGCATGTGCAAAAGTGTGGGAAAATGTTAATAAATGTTATTTACTTGGTATAATTTTCTTAAATGAGCTAGGATGCTAATTCCAAATTTATTTTCATAACCTGAAACATTTGTATTTTAATTAGTATTAGAACATAGACTAAATTCATTTGGGATTATATGCTCAATCTTAATATTTTTATTTACTTCTATAAAAAATATAATTAGAAACTCATTTCAAGTTTTCTTGAAGCTTGTTAAAGTTGTCAATAAATTTGTTAATTTTTTTTTCAAAAATCATTGCTGTTATCTTGATTGAATAATAATTTTAAACATTTGTGTATGTATGTGTATATATATATATATATATATATATATATTTGTTATATATATATATATATATATATATATATATATATATATATATATATATATATATTTGTTATATATGTTAAGTACAGCACATAAGAAAGTAGTACATTAACATAAAATTATATATGTTCCTTGAAGAACAATCTTAATTTAGATGAAAATAGGTCATGATACTAAAAAAAGCAGCCATTTTAGAGCTTTCCATTGATGTATGACACATGCGAGTAGATAAAATATGAAGTACGATTATTGGGGCTCAAAGTAGACGCATAATTAGCTTTCTGACAAAAACTGAGCGATGCTTATGATTTTTAAATAATTTTTAAACACATTTTAATATAAAGTTGGCCATAATTAGTGGAAAAAATGTGTTCCTAGGATGTTGAATTATTTCAATAATAATCGAAAAATTGATATTTTCAAAAGATTTATCAAAAATTCTCATGATGGTCCCCTTAAAATATAGTATGTCCGTCTTTAATGATACTCCACCCAATCTCCAAGAAAGTTTAGAAGGTTGACACATACAAAGGAAAGTTTCTGCCATTAAAATATCTGAGGGCCCTGAGTTGGTTGGCAGTTTGCACCCCGAGTTCCTCTTGTGGGTGTTACCCAAATGGGGGTCAACTACTTGAATCAATTGTCACACTGCACCAGGGGTGAACTCTGAAGACTAAGCAAAATTGAACCTGAGGTCACACCCAACGCTCCTGCTGTTGAATAGCCAGTGCCTCTCAAAGAGTGCCCTGTGTCGCCCCTGTTACATGGGTAGTCGCCAAGAGTTTCTCTACCTCACCATTGAAGGTAGTGTGGTCAAACTCCCATAAAGAGATGCAGTGCAGACATTCTTTACATGGCTTCTTGAAAACAAGGTAGGAAAAACGGGGACCCTACCAAAACCTTAGACTAGCAGGTGGATCACTACATCTGAACCTACAAGACATTGATCAAGCTGAAGATGATTTACCTATCTACTAGAAGATATTTAGGAAGACTTATCTTTCATATGAAGAATAGGAAGGCAGACAATGGTATCGAATTCACCTTCTTGAATTGCAAATTTTTTGGTATTGCACTTTTATGACTGTGTTGACATGGTTGATATCAGAGTTTCTTCCAGGCATCTCTTCGGGGTTAGTGTTAGGGAGCCCCCCCCCCCCCCCCCCCCCCCCCCCGCCCCAATACATTGAAATAAATAGGTCCGGTAATAGAGTTTGAAATTTTGCTCTAAAGTTTCCTACCATGACTGACGAAAAACAGAGGAAACTAGTTGAAAATAATTTCTTAATCGTATGCGTTTTTAGGAAATCGGAAATAGCTTACATTTGACAGAAAACAGAGTTAAATCTTGTATTAAGTTGTATGTGAATTTCGTCAATCTGAAACAGTACCCAAGTTAAAGGCTTTTGAAAACCGAAAGCTGAATAATTTCCACATCCCGTTACCGGAAATCGCTGAAAGTTGATATAATAAATATGAAATTTCGTCCACCTTGCTGTAAAGGTACTGAAATTATGGTGTTCACAGACAAAAATTGTTGCACGATTACAATGCTACAATACGCTTTTCTTTATAGTTATTTAAATAGTATTTATTATTATATATTTAAAGAAAATCATCTATTTTCCCCTTTTTAGTGCATTGTTACATAAAAGCTTGTTATAAAACTATTAAACATCTAATTAGTCCATGTTATAGTGCATTTAAAAAGGTTTGGTAGAAGTGGGAGCTCGTTCAAACCCTCAGGGCTAATTTGCGTTGATAAATCTAAGCCTCTAAAATAGTCTAAAAGGACTCATTTAAAAAAAGAATATAATAATTTTCTTGTACTGTTGTAGTTGTTTTTTTTCGTCCAATAATATGAATAGTTACTCTTTTCTATCTACTCTAATATTAAAATTAATCCACATTTTTTTTATTACCATAAATTTGAATATATATACTATAAAAGACAGTAAAATACGCCCTCTATCCCCGCCCCCCCCCCCCCAAAAAAAAAGCACAGTTCGTAAGTTTGAGATTAATTAGTTTTTAAAATGTTATTTAATATAAAAAAATTAATGTTTTTAAATGGCCTATTTCGTTTTTTTTTGTCGTTGACTGTTAAAATTGCGACTCTGACCAAAATACAAATGATCTAGGAGGATATATGCCTAAATGCTTTTTATAGGCTTGTTAAAAGAGGCTTTTATTTTCCAGTATGGAATTTTATTTTCTAGCGCGGAATTTTCCGTTGATTATCCCAGCGGTGGAGTCTTCCAGGACAAAACTTGACCTTCATAATTGTTTACGTATGATAATTTTTTTTTAACCATCGAAGTTCTCTTATAAGTAAAAACATAATTTGAATTTTAAAAAAAAAACAACTAATGTAATGTAATGAATACCATAGAAATCTTCCCCTCCCCCAAATATGGCCTATTAGTTTTTAAAGTACAACCCCCTCCCCCTTAAAACTCGTGAATAACTCAGGATGCCACCCTTCAATTTAAACATTTTGAAGCAGAATTTTCTTTTTGGGGCGCAACTGCGACTACTGGTTTTAATTAAGCTATAGTCAAATTAGTTTTCGACCATCTAATACGCTGATTATAGTTGTTTAAATGGACAAACTTCGGATATTTACAAGAAGCATACAATGCTTGACTTAAAATACAACTGTAAATATAGCATGCATATATAGATCTATGGATATATTGTTACTGAACATAATCATGTGTCAAATTGCTACGTTATACACTGAGCATGATTTTACGGGCAGTTATGTTTAACAAAGAAGCTCATCAGCTCCTATTGAAAATACAAAATCGAAATGTAGTAACCAACTATTTCTTTACTGATTGAAAAATAATTTCATTACCGCCTAAGCCGTGCTTTTAATTTAAAAATGCTGCAACAGGGTGGCAAAAAGAGAAGGTCCTATTTGTTGCATCTAAGTTTCATGCCACCATAAAAAATAAATAAACCGGGAGTGATCTCCCCTAAACTTTCTCGAATATTCTTATATAAAATAACAGGGGATGGGAACTCGGGCTATAGACATGATTTTTAATCCATTTTAAATACTTAAAGTTTTAAAAATAGAATAAAATCTCGTAGACAAATTAATTGCACACCAAGTGAACGCGAATAAAAAAGCGCATAATAGTGCGCAATATTATTAGTACTTTTAAAATTTACATTAGTTTTTTGAGAAATCGGAAGTAGCGTAAATAAGTACTTCCAGTCAACGAAAAATTCTCAAAATTTGACAGAAGGTAGAGAATTAGATCTTTTACTTACATATCAAATTTCATTTATCTATCTGAAACAGTACTCAAGTTATAGGCTTTTGAAAAATTCAAAGTAGAAAAAGTACCACTTCCGGTTATCCGAAATCGCTCAAAAGTTGATACGGATCTACGATTTTGATAAAATACTTGTATATGAAATTTCATCAACCTAGCTGTAACGGTACTCAAGTTATCGTGTTTACACACGGACACACACACACACAGACACACACACAGACACACAGACATACGGACAAGATTGCAAAATTATGTTTTTCCGTATCAGTGAGATGTAAAACGTCGAGATTTGCAAAAATCTCGATTTTTTTTTTTTGCACGATTACAAGACTTTCTCTATACTTCGTATATACGAGAAAGTAAAAAACAACATTTTTTTAATTTCAAGTATTTCCTTTATATTTTCCTACGTATCATAATCATCTAAGTGAAACCGGCTGCTTGCAGCATGGTACTAAACTTGTAGGTATGCTTTTAGAAGCTTTTACTAAGTTCACATTGTTTGTGTGTGGCAAATCTTGTACCTTAATTACTTTCTCGTATATACGAAGTATAGAGAAAGTATTGTAATCGTGCACAAAAATCACTTGAAATTTTAACTATTTTCACCGTATTACACCTCAGTCCTTCATCACATCCGAAGTATAGAGGACTTATTTTAATCGGGCAAAAATTATCAATCCAGATTTATCAAAATTAAAAGGTTTTATGCGTATTCCAGTCTGAAAAACTGGGCTTTGCAATTCTGTCCGTATGTCTGTGTGTCTGTGTGTGTGTGTGTCCGTGTGTAAACACGATAACTTGAGTACCGTTACAGCTAGGTTGATGAAATTTCATATATAAGTATTTTATCAAAATCGTAGATCCGTATCAACTTTTGAGCGATTTCGGATAACCGGAAGTGGTACTTTTTCTACTTTGAATTTTTCAAAAGCCTATAACTTGAGTACTATTTCAGATAGATAAATGAAATTTGATATGTAAGTAAAAGATCTAATTCTCAACCTTCTGTCAAATTTTGAGAATTTTTCGTTGACCGGAAGTACTTATTTACGCTACTTCCGATTTCTCAAAAAACTAATGTAAATTTTAAAAGTACTAATAATATTGCGCTTTTTTATTCGCGTTCACTTGGTGTGCAATTAATTTGTCTACGAGATTTTATTCTATTTTTAAAACTTTAAGTATTTAAAATGGATTAAAAATCATGTCTATAGCCCGAGTTCCCATCCCCTGTTATTTTATATAAGAATATTCGAGAAAGTTTAGGGGAGATCACTCCCGGTTTATTTTTAACTCACTTCTAATTATTTTTAGCGCAATTTCCATTCTGGAGAATTGCGTTTATTAACTCGTCATTTCTGGGAATGGATGGATGAATGAATGGATGAATGTATGGATGAATGTGTGTCCGGGCTTTAAGTCGTATCTCCTCCTCAACGAAGCAATATCGATGACTAGTTCCAAAAGCAATTATGTTAAGCAAGTTACGAGGATGAACATAGGCCATAAAAATTACGGGTTTCTTTCATGGATTTCCCGGAAAAGCCAAAAAACCTCGAAAAAATGCAGTTTTTTGCCCATATCTCGGCAACCAGACCACTAAGCGACTTGAAACATGTACCAATCGATTCCTGCCATAATTTAGAACAATATTGCCGAAGAAAGTTTTCAAAAATATCCTTTCGTTCGATCACAAAAAAAATTTTGAATTAATTAAAATTTGGACCGAATTAGTAGGCATTTTTTCCAACCACACCACACGCGTCATCAGGTTCAATAGCTGCGCCATCGCGTTCCATGGCTGCGCCATCACGTTCAGTAGGCGCGCAATGGTTTTTAGTCATGTAACTCTATTGTAAATAAAACATGTAAAATACTGAAAAAAATTAATAAAAAACGTTTTAATAACTAACCAATGGTTTTACTAACCCTGCTCTTGATTTACGCTACGACAGAGCTATTTTTAGATAACATAAGGAAATGGCGCTAAAATTGTCACTAGACTTTTTAATTACCCCCCCCCCCCCGGAGGAAAAAAGTCTGGAAGAAACACTACTAGAAGCCAACAAGAGATTTAGGAAGACTATCTTCTGGACCTGACGACATCCCAACAGAGGCGTTAAAAGCTGACAATGGTATATCGAATTCACTTTCTTGAATTGTACATTTTTTTTATGACACATGCTGTGGCGCACTTTTGTGTCGACATGATTGCTAATGGTATTAAACGTACTTTATTTGATCTTACAGTATTAAAATATGCTTGCAAATGACTGGTTATCTAGTGTCGGTTTGTGAACTACCACTAGACCTTGAGTAGAACGGTATCCAATATAATTGCAATCGTTAAGTGGATTGTTGAGGCCGCAATAGTTATGAGACGGAAGCATCGTGTTAGCTGGCGTCAATGTATAGAGTGCGTGGTTTTGGTTGTTAATGTTTTGAGTGATTACAATTCAAATGTTTTGGGTGTGTGTGTGGAATGGTCTGTGTTATTTTATTGTTCAGTACACCTGTGTGACAGTGAGTTTACCACTAGCTGTTGTTACATTTTCCCCCGGTCTGTCATTTTCTTTCTCCTTGCTCAAATAAGTATAAAAGGCGTGAACAGCACGATCGCCTGGCGAAGAAGATGATGAATCATTTCGTCGGGAACTGCCCAAGTAAGGCTAGGACTACTAGGAGGCAACAGTAGGAACCGCTCCTCGACGCCGGTCCATCAACCTCGGGAGCGGATGCTGATGCATGGTCCACAAAGCCCCAAGTTCAAGTCTTCTGCCTGCTTTCAAGGGGCACAATCGTCTTAAAGATATCGCGAGCTACGGATGGTGTTTTAAAGCAAACGAGCCGACCCGCGGTGTATCATACGCCGCTAATTAGTTGTTGTTTTTTCTACATTTTCAGTAATTCATAATTTGTGAATTCGACAGTACCAATGCTGTCACTGAAAATATTTGCTTTAAAACACTAAACCCCCCTTCTCTCCCCCCCCCCCCCGTGAAAGCAGCCTGCTCTTAGTAACCTCCTCTAAGTTTAAAATCGTTTCAAACTAAATTATCTGCCCCTAATAGCCGTCACCAAACCCGGCTATATGATTGTATTATGTAAACATTTAACGTGAACACAGCTCACCAGAAATTGTGAGGGGGGGGGGGGGGAGGGGGGTAGCGATAGAGAGGAAGAGAGGGGATTGCAAGGCGCGCTTGCAGCTTGTTTTCTAACGGCTCCCAGAAGAGAATTATATATATAGATATTTTTGGTCCTGTCGACTTCATAAATTAAAAATCACTAAAAAGTAGAAAATAAAACATTTAACAAAAAACTTTATAGCATCAAGCTTTAAAATGTACTGAAAATATGTACTGAAAATAAGACGATAAAACTAATTAGTTTTCTTTCATAAAAGCTTTCATTGCTAAAATATACTAAAGATCTCATGAGCGACAAAAGCTATTATCATAATTGATGTAAAAGAACAAATTAGTTTTATTTTTTTATTTTCAGTAAATTTAAAAACTTCCTGCTAGATTCTATAAAGTTTATTTCTATTTGTTTTATTTTAAAACAGACTTTTGCAGATGAATTTGCAAATATTGTTTTCGCTTTTTTATTATTTTTATTTAAAGACGAAAACAAACTCGCAGTTTTATTATGTCTTAGTGAAAAAAATGCATAATTTAAAAATAAAATGCACCAAAGCAAAAAATTAAAATAAAAACTCGTTTTTAAATAAATAAAAATAATAAATAAATAATAATCATTAAATTATTTTTATTTGTGAAAGCTATCTCGTGTTAATACCTTCCGGTGTTATTTCAGTTGCGCATGTGAACATTTTCTGACGTCACATGAACCTTACACGCGGTGATAGAAAGTGTGGTGAAATACGGCGTCAATCCTGAATAATTTCTTTTTTTTTTCTTCACTAAAATGGCGTCACAAAACGGACAAGAGAATGTGCCAGATTCATGGGAATCAGATGTATCAGATATTTCAAAACCCTTATCAAATTTAAACGTTAACGCTCCGGTTTTTACGCCTGGTCAAAATGTTTTTGCTCCTCCATTTGTCCCGGTTGATAATCCGCCAGATTCAGAAACAGCCGAGGAAGGGCAACACAACGAGGAAGAAACAGGTATCCAAGAAGGCTGTTCTATAGATCAAGATGTATAGATCTAGATCTACATTCAATACTTAATACAATCTAGATTAGTAAAATTAGATAAAAAAGCTAAAAAACCTACCTTGAAGGCTGAAGGCACTAGAATTCCTAGATTGTTATTTTTAGTCATTTAGACTAGAATCTAGATCTAGACTCTAGCTTCCAAATAAAGTTTAAATTAGAATCTAGATCTAGACCTAGTAATCAGAAATCTAGAGCTTGATCTAAAATTCTAAATTTAATTGGTCTCCTAATTAATTTTAATCTTGAGTTAGGTTCCAAAGCTGATCACACAAAGCGGAAAATTCCCAACTCCAGATTTTCATCTGGCACTATTTTCAAAATTGTAACTGTTTCAAACCGAAAGTACTATGTTACTCAGCTGCCATTCTACTCAAATATGTATGAGTCATTTTGTATTCCTACGCATAGAATTTGAGATGTTTATTGTTTTAGTGACGACCTTGCGATATTTTTTTGGCCGATGCTAGACGGAAAAAATATGCATGCGCAATGGAGAGAACCTATGACTTGCCTTCGCGGCAATGTTTTCTATGGTACTGCGCATGCGTGTGTTTACAACCGCAGAACTCAAGCCCTAACTCCAACCCTAATCCTATTCCTAACCCTAGTCTTTAGGTCACTGCGCATGCGCAGAACTATCTTTTGCCGACTAGGTGGAGACGGTGGGTCGAAAAATCTTTTTCCGAGTTGTCACTTTGTGTTTTTGCCTGCGGTCGCAGCACCGGCTAGCTTAACTACCGTATTTTATGTTTTGATCCAATTTTAATAACTAAAATAAATATTTTACACTTTTCGTGTTTTTGATTGTATTGCTAATTAATAGGTTGAATTATGGATTTTTTAAAATAAAATATTCTGTTATTTCAAATACACCATTAACTTCCTTACCCCTTAAGAGAACATTTGACACCTCATTTAAATATCTAGCTTACTCGGTTGACGAGAAAATAGAGAATTTGAAAATTAATCAAAAATGGAAAATGAATGACAAAACAGCGTTCTTGGCCCTCGACCGGCATAACATGACGTCGTGGACTTTTGTGCACGAGCTTTTAATTCCCGCCATGGTAATTGCGTCAGCTTAGGTTATTTACTCACCGGAAAATAACAAAAAGCAACTGGTTGATAATAAAACTAGATTTAGTTATTTTATTATTTATTAAATTCTACTCTACATGTTATTCATACCATTTTATGAAGTAATGAACACCTGCATAAATCAAATGACCATAATAAATATTTTTATTTCAAATTCTAATTTTAAATAATAAATATGCTTAAAATAATATGATAGTAATATTTATGATAGTTTATAAATACAAATACATTTTACACTCAATTCACATTGTATTGAGTCAACAGCGTGGCAGCTGAGGTTCATACATGGTAGTGTCTTTTTTTTTTTACATTACATTTTTCTTTTCATCTTGAAAACATGACGTATGTGATTATTTTTTAAAAATAAAATCTCCAAACATCGTCACTCGCGTGATTGCTTGCTTACGTTTACTATCCTGTGGATGAAAAATCCCACCACGGTCGCGGGGTCACCGTGACCTATAGTACACGTCATAGAATGAACACGCGTACACGAGATGGTCCGTGTCTTCACTTCTCTTCCCCCCCCCCCCTTCTTCAAGCAAATTGAATAACAGACCTACTTCCCTACTTCTGGTCATTTTTTTTTTTAAAGTTCGGTCATTTTTTTTTAAAGTTCACATATCAGGCATGCTAGACAGCCAGCTGTATAAAAAAAAAATTTAACTAGATCTACGTCTAGCTTAAAAAAATAAATAAACGCTTAAAATGACCGTAAACAGATTATTTAGCGCCAAAAAAAAAAGGCAGCTGAACGAGCATTTTTTTAAAATACGCAGCAATGAAAAGGGCTAACGGCGATCAATTAAGTCTAAAAATCGCCCGTAATTAGGCCTAGCTCTGAAAAAGGCCACTGAACGAGCATCACTGATTATATAAACAAATAGGCCACGCAGCGTTGACGAGGTTAACCACCGGTCACGAATGCAGCAGCTGTCGGCCCACAGTGAAGAAAAAATCAATATACAAATAAAATTACTAATACAACAATAATGTCCATAATTTTACTTTTTCCGCACATGCTACAATTGAATTATAATTAAAATACTAGACTTAACAGTTCATTCCGTAAAAAACAAAAACTAGTTGTTTCAGTCTGGCAACTAGCGTAGCAATGACGTCATGATACTAAAAATAGCGGATAGAAATGTCAGCGTGGGTACCTCATTTTGGGATAAGATTTTGGAAACCAGAATCAATAATAATGTAAATATACAAGGTAAATATCTCAATTATATATTAATTTAGAGGAGGTCGGGCCGTTTTCCCCGGAGGTCGGTCATTTTTAGCGGCGGTTCAGTTTTTACGGAGAGCGCTCCACTAGAAATCCTCTCATTATTTACAACAACAAATCTCTCAATTTTTTCTGGCATTCTAAGGCATATTATCCATTTTATTAGCATTCTGCATTAAAATAATGATGAGAATTTGCGAGATTAACCGTTTTTTCATTTGTCGTGGATAGGACCCCTAAAATAAACGTAAAAACCGTCTAAAAACGACGCGTGACGTTTCAGGGTCAGAGGTCAATCCAGCCATCTAAGCAACGCGCCAGACTACTAATTAATAGATTTGCAAAACCACACAAAAAAAGACTTTCATTAAATTTTTTAAATACCCATCACAGATGACCCAGTGAACACTCAAGGGACGCAACCATAATATTAGTATACATAATACAAGGGACGTAACAATCACTAACAACGCAACATTTGCTTAGACATGTTTGTATGTAGAGACACAAACTAGATCTAGAAGCAGATGATCAAAATAATTTAAAACATCAGAAAAAATTAGAAACTGTATAGATTCTATACTTAGATTCAAATATAGAGCATCTACGCTAGTCTAGCTCAAGTCGATGGTGCAGTGAGGTTCAGCTTCAGCCACCCAAATTTCTCCTGATAGCTTTAATAAAATAGCCTTAACTACAGTATTTAGTGTCCCTCACAAGAAGCTATTTATACCTAGTTAACCTAATTTTAAAAACGAAGTGTCTATTCACAGTCGTGACCGTTTTTGATAGATTTAATGTTAAAAATACCCAACTGGGCATGAAGATGTGTAGTCGAGCGGTCATGGACAGTGGCTGTAGTGCCAGAAGGTGGGGGTTCAAATCCATCAGATGACATATTGCTATGACTTAATGTATGTCTTTAAAGCGTATTATCAAAATTTTGTTCCACAGTTACTTTAGTTACTCATGGAAGGGCTAATTTTGTTAATTTTTTTTTCTTTTGTGACGTAATTGTTGACATATCAGCAAAAAAGACATATGCAGTAGATTTTTGCTAAGAGAAAAAACACAAAAGTGTGATGGAAACTGAATTATAGCTGATGAAAAAGGACATCCTATTTCACCTGATATTTACTCTATGTGATAATGTGAATTTTTAATGATAATTGGTAAGTGAATAGCAATGTGAACAACCAACTAAACTTTACCAAACTGATGCTTAATTAGTATTATTTAAAAATTACTAGATCTATTATTCTAGTGTCTATTATTCTAGTGTATAGATTTAGTGTGCATAATTGATCGTCTATAACCGACGTAGCCTGTAGCAGATAGATCTAGATCTATGTTTGATATGAGCCTAAAAGCTAAACTAAACTTTAACTGTAATAACTTTTTTATAAAAATATAACAAAATAAAAAAGCACTGCTCTCTTAATCTATACCTCACTTCCCAGTCACAATAAATGCTTTTATTATTTTAAGATATTATTCACAGTCGTATTTAGCATGAAATGACAGCTGACTGAATAGCGGTATTGGGGCTATTCACAGTCGGCTGGGAATAGCCTTGGCCTTATAAAAAGCTTTGATCTGTTGGTTTTATTCGTCTCAAGCCCTTGTTTTCCATCCGGGGAAACTGGGATCACCGATTTTTTTCCCATGTCATCCTTTCAAATGTTGAAATATTTTATTAAACACCAAAGGTAGGCGCAAGTTGAAAAAAATAATCTTATTGAATCTAGATATATTACTTCTAAAAAGACAATACTGTGTCAGATGGTAGATCAAACTGTTCTTTGGAATTTTTTTTACCGCTATCTAGCATGCCAGAAAGTAGAGTACATCAGCCTATGTTAACTTATAAAAATGAACAGTAGGTCTGTTTTTCATTTGCTTGAATGGGGGGGGGGGGGTGACAACACAGCCGATCTCAAATTGAACTTGAATTCATTCTATGATGTATGCTGAACTCTCATTTACCCTGTTGAACTTTAGGATTTTTCGCCCACATGTTAGAAAATGTAAGCAAGCAATCACACGAGTAATGATATTGGAAATTTTATTAAATACAAAATCACGATAGTGACATTTCCGATATGAAAATAACCGTACACTCCTTTTTTAAGAAGATTCTATAATCGGACAAAGGTATAAAAATTCCCCCATAACTATTTAGGTTATTTTTATTAAGTGTTTTAGCATATAATTATATTTTATTTAGAGCCACAGCCAGATATAAATGATGAGGGTTCTCCACCAGAGACAGATTCAAAAGATCAGATGGAAACTGATAATAAAGGTATGGCTAGTTAGCTAATGATTTAAAAAGCCAGCACATGCTTACCCACCTCTGGTAAATGCTTGTTCCATGTGTGTGAAGAATTGTGTGCCACATTATTGCCAAAATTCATTCACAATTCCATTAATAATGGACATTGTCAGAAATATTTGGTACATTTTCCTAGTAATTACCTTAATTTATGTTGTCCCCTTGTGATGGTTAAAATGCTCTTATGACAATGATTAATGAATGATTAACATTATATCTGCACGCCCGCTGTTAAACTATTTAAAATATTTTTTTTGTGAAGCTTTTTAATTTGAAGCTGTATTTAAATGGTTGGGAAGCTGTTCAGTTTTTGTATTTTACTTATTCTGTGCTCTCTGCTATTTAATTTTACATGCCGGACAGTTAATAAATAATGGTATTTGTCAATTTCAGCTGCTATGCTGGATATGGAAGGAAATGGTGAGATAGGTAAGCTACTATGGAATAAGGTTACTAGATACATCACTATTGTAGAATAACTTTTTTTTAGCAGTGTTGACTGCTTGTACATAAAAATGTTGGTATTCTAGAAAGTCTTTGTCCAGAACTGTTGACACATTGTTTTCATTTCCCCTCATTTTAGATGATTGGGCTCAAGAAGACGAAGATGGGATGGATGAAGAAGACAGTGAGATAAAACCAGTGAAAAAACCAAAACCTCCTGGGCAGCCTAAAGTTCGTAAAGAGCACCTTAACGTGGTCTTTATTGGGCATGTTGGTAAGCCTTTAAATAATTTCTTTTTAAATCTTTTTTTTTGTGTGTGGAAAGATTGGCAATATGTTTTCAGAATACCCCTTTCTGTTAAATTTATGCAAGCATTTATACTTAACTTTTCAGATGCTGGAAAGTCTACTATTGGTGGCCATATGTTGTAAGTGGATTAAGTATTTAAATGTGTATAAGCAGTCAAAATGCCTCTTTCGGGTCCTCATAAAATAGGAATAAGACAGTCAAAACTGAAATAATCAAGAATATTTACAAATTAAAAGTAAAGAATGCTTTATTTAGAAATAAAAGTACTGAGTTGTCATGTGTATTGGACTAACTCAAATTGATTTTAGAACTCCACCTGATTTTTGATATATTTAGATTTTCCTCTTGCATATAGCATATTAACATTTTCAGATACCTCACTGGCATGGTAGATAAAAGAACATTAGAGAAGTATGAAAGAGAGGCCAAAGAAAAAAACAGAGAAACTTGGTAAAAATTAGTTGAATATATATTAATTCTGTAGCTAACATGCTTATCCAACACGCTTTAATGTTTTTAAATTATGTTTAAGAGGCCATTGAAATTTTCACTATTATATGTAAAAAAGATGTCTAAAAAAATCTATGTATGGAAATCTCCATGTAATTTTTTTTCTATCTGTAGGTATTTGTCTTGGGCTTTGGATACAAATTTAGAAGAAAGAGAAAAAGGTAAAACAGTTGAAGTTGGTAGAGCCTATTTTGAGTCTGAGAAGAAACATTATTCTGTGTTAGATGCCCCTGGTCATAAAAGTTTTGTGCCGAATATGATTTGTGGTGCATCTCAAGCGGATTTGGCTATTCTGGTAAGCAAATTTTTATTGGCTATGTAACAGTAATTTTGTGACAAATACAACCACTATACTTTTTGGTTAATAAGAGTGCAACCTTTAGATCTTCTCCCTAAGTTGGTTTTTAACTATTGTGTGTTTGCCATAATGTACATAGTGTACAGTGACATATCAACTCTGGAGGTTCACATCTTAAATTTCTATCAAACACATGACATATTAATTGCAATTCTAAGCTTGTGTCTAAATTGTCACAAGTTGAATGAAAGTATGTTAAATCAATTGACCAATGTTAATTAGCAAACATGTTTTTTGTGTGTTTTGCCAGTCACATTGGTACATTTTCCAGACCTCTTATACTGATTTCATTAAAATTTGTCAGCATTTAAAAATTATTTAAATATTTTTAAGGTGATTTCTGCAAGACGAGGTGAATTTGAAACTGGGTTTGAAAGAGGTGGACAAACAAGAGAACATGCTATGCTTGTCAAGACTGCTGGAGTTAAACATTTAGTAGTGCTTATCAATAAAATGGATGACCCTACAGTAGAGTGGGATGAAGCTAGGTTTGTTCAATTGTACATCAGATCAGATTATTTTATTGCATAAAATAAACGTGCTTTCATGATTTGGTTTTATAATTTTGAGGTTTTAAAACTTTATATTCTTAGGTTTATAGAGTGCAGAGAGAAATTGCTCCCTTACCTTCGCAAATGTGGTTTTAATCCAAAGACTGATTTGTACTTTATGCCTTGCTCTGGTTTAACTGGGGCTTATCTCACTACTGTTCCTGATGAATCGGTGTGTCCTTGGTACACGTAAGTTGTATTTTTTAAAGTTCATTTTAAGTAAATGTGTTAACTCAGTATGTCTTAAATTGTGCTGGCTACGAGTTAGTAAATTGGTTTTGCAAGAGTTAAAGTCCATGTTCAATTCAGAAGTCCACCCAGCTCTGATGGGTACCTTACCTTAGGGAAAGTGGAGGTGGCTGGGCATAATATAATGCCTGTACTATTTCTGTTTCTTTATTATTTTATCTTTGATGTAGACAAACATTTAAAAATGCATTTATTTTCTCTATTCTGGTATTGGGTGCAATGCGAGTCAAGAATTTTTAAAATTTTGAAAAACTCATTATTTCTTGTTTCTAAAAATCTCACCTACACTAATAGGGCTGAGATCCAAATTATGTTTATATTTTTAAGGATCTGCCAAAATTCACCTTTTTTTTTTTGACCTTCGTGAGCCATTTTAAATTTCAGAGGACCCTCATTATTAGAATATTTGGACTTGATGCCTCCTATGAGCAGAGCACAAGATGCACCTGTAAGGGTCCCACTAGTAGATAGATACAAGGTTAGTTTTTTTGTGGACATATTTTTATTACAAATTTTCTCTTGAACATGTCACACTCTTACCAGCTGGTCTTAAATTGTCACCAGTTCCATTGATGTGTGTCACATTAATTAATCAATGTTAATTAGCAAACATGTTATTATGTGCTTTGCCAGTCACATTGGTACATTATTAAAAATATTTTGCAGTGTGCACTTGACCAATATTCATAATTCTTGTGAAATTAAAGTTTTTAATACCTTTCAGGATATGGGTACAATTGTCTTAGGTAAAATTGAATCTGGCGTTGTAACAACAAATCAAAAATTGTTAATGATGCCTAATAAGGTAAAAATCTATTTTGAAATTTGTAACACTTGTAATATATTATACGCTTGTAAGGCTTGAGTCCAGAAAACTGAATGTAGAGCTTAATCTAAGTTTTTAATGCCTATTTCTTTTCTACAGACACCAGTTAGGGTGATGAACATAGTATCTGATGAAGATGAAAGTGAAGATGCCATGCCTGGTGAAAATGTGCGATTAAAAATCAGTGGTGTAGAAGAAGAGGTAAATACTTTAAATTTGATCATCCAGTGTTTTACTGGTTAAAAAGTAAATCGCTACGGATTGCCTATGATGATATTAGTTATCCCTGTCTTAAAATAGCTAAATGCTCTGTGGGGAAATCAATTTCTGAGGCAGTGGTGAAATTCCTTTTAAAAAAATTTCAGTAATAGTATATAGAAGACAATAATTCTGAATGTATTATTTTTTTCAGCTTCTATGATTTAATTTCAAGGAAAGGTTTTTTTATCTGTTAAGATTTTTTGTTTTTATTAGAGGATGGGGCAGCAATAATATGGTAAATAGGTGGAATACATTTTGACTGAGATCTTAATGAGACCTGTTAAATGTAATAAAAAGTTTTTTACATTAGCTTTTACAGCTAAAACAAACATTTTCATTTTAAAAAACCATATGAATCAGTGTGTCAGTTTATTAATACAAATATTTTTAGTTAACTATCAGTTTAGTTTCATTATAATAGATACAGAAATTAGGCTTGGTTCAGTGTATTTTAAACCTGTTTATATCTCATGATCAAGAAATAGCAGTTAGCAAACGATATATGGAATTAGGCCTGTGATGATATTAGTTATCCCTGTCTTAATTTCTTTGTTCTGTGGGGAAAAAGTTAATCTGAGGCTGCAGCTAACAAATCAACTAGCATCAATAGATGTTAGTGTATTTTTTAAAGATTCATTGTATAATGGACAGGGCACATTTGACCAGTTTTAACTGGTATTGTATATTCTATAGCAGTTTGTATTTTAAAAGGTTTTTATGAAAAATCAACTAGGTAAAATGTGTATACATGCAATAAGCAAAAAAAGTTTAATTTTTTTCTTAAAATGTTAGTTGAGCATTAGATCACAATCTCATTGTTTGTAAATGTTTGGTACCTAACCTTGTTTTCTGAAACAATGACAATTTATGATTATAGCTTGTGCTAACATTTTTGCATTTAAGACTACCTTTTTGTGGAAATAGTATCCTATTTGTACTTGTAATGTTCATTAAATAACTGCATGCTGTAAAAAAATCAGCAAGTATGTTTGAATTTGTAATTTTAATGAAGTACCCGAATGTTAGCTTTGATTAAAATATATAAATGTTTAATAAAGCTATTTTTATCGTTACAAGGATGTTTCTCCTGGTTTTGTCCTTTGCTCACCTGAAAATGTTTGTAACACAGGAAGAATTTTTGATGCTCAGGTAAAACAAATTTTCATCTGTAGATGAACATACACATTTCTTTTCAATAACTGAGAAAATTATTTATAGAAACCTTTCAACAGTATATTAATTTTGAATTTAATTTTTTTTTTTTACAGATTGTAATTTTAGAATACAAATCAATAATCTCAGCTGGATACAGTTGTATTTTGCACATTCATACCTGTGTTGAAGAAGTCACTCTTAAGGTATTATTTGAGTACTTTTTCAAAACCTGCGTAGTCCACTTTTTGAAAAAAAAATAAAGCCTTCTTAATTAAGAGGCAATTAAAGCTGTATACTAATTTTTGTTAAAAAAGTTAAAAATATATATTTAAAAAATTTATTATTATTTAAAAAATCTTAAGGTTAATTAACAAAGTTTTAAAGTCAATTTCCTCAAAATCAGTCAGAAGTGACATAGCAGGTTTAGCAAGTGGACTCAAGATTTGTTGCATTAAACCTTGTCATAATAATTATCCTAGATAGATGAACCTTGGTGAGATAATCAAATGCATCTGGTATTAACTAGTACCAACAGATAGACCCTGCGATTGAAAACTAACTTAGCATGCAGAACTTACTTCATGTGCTTAAAGTTAAAACATTTGTAATACTACCAATGATGAATTAAGTTATCCCTGTCATATTATTTGTGTGGTTGAAATAAAAAAATCTGAGGTAGATTTATGATTCACTTATTTACAGATGTACACACCTACAATTAATTCACATTCTAAATAAAGTTGATTTATCTTTTTATATAGGCATTAATTTGCCTAATAGACAAAAAAACAGGAGAAAAAACTCAAGTACGCCCAAGATTTATTAAACCAGACCAAGCAGGCATTGCAAGACTTGAAGTGAATGGTGGTCTTATCTGTCTGGAAACTTTCAAAGACTTTCCTCAAATGGGAAGATTTACTCTTAGAGATGAACGTAAGTAAATCAATGTATTTTAGGACCGACTGGAGTGGTCTTATCACTGACATTAGAAAAATGACATAATAAAAATGCAACAGCAAATTGCAGAGCTACGACAGGTACTTATTTTAACAATATCAACTAGATTTCATCGTAAATTGCTAGTCTTTCTTATTTGTTTTTGTTTCTTTTTATTCTAGTTAAAACTATTGCCATTGGAAAAGTTCTCAAGATAATAGAATGAGAAGTGCAATCAACTGCTGATCTCTGCTTAGGTGCAGGACACCGGCCTCCTAGGCAGAATACCCTCCTACTTTGACACATTATCTGAAAAGATAGACTGTCTCAAATTCTTAACACGAAAGTACTGTTAATTATTCATGTTTCAAAAGTTTTAGTGCCTGTAAGATGTTTCAGGCTTTTAGGGGGTTTATTTAAATCTACACGAGTAGATTCTGAGTTGGAATGCACAAACTCGTTCTGAAAATTTGAGAAACTAACATTTTATGCAACAGTAATGATTGCCAACTGATGCACTGTCTGATAATGTGCATGTTGTGAAGTTGGTGTGATTTACATAAGCATAGAATTTATTGCGCAACTTACTATTCATCTCAGAGGGTTTTGGTGTTTGCCAACCTTATGGTAATTAAATTTTAAATATAGTTAAATTGCAAAGTACATTGTATATATCTGTGTAATTTTAGTGCTATTTATTTCTTTAAAATGTAGTCACTGAGTGAAAAGATAATCTGTTTAGTATTATACCCGTCATCTGAAACGTGTTGCCTTTAGAAGCACTTTAGAAGTATCTTTCGAGGAGATAAAATTAATAAGTCTTTAAGAAATAAGGAAACTCAAAAGTTGCTAGTTTAAGTGGATACCTTTTTTTTTTAAGAAGAGGTACAATAATTGAAAAAATTACATAATGTAATGCAAGATGATCACTTTTAGCATTGATGCACATTACTTGACTGTTTGTTGCACCATTACAAAATGTAATCTTATTTTGCTGATAACCGTTTAAGACCTAATTACTAGTAAACATTGCATCAAATCAAATGTTGGGTGATTGGGCTTTCAAATTTAGTGTTCCCTGCCATAATTTTCAATGGAAAATTTTGAGTTTGATGGCTATTATAATTCCTTTATCAAAACCTTACCTGAAGTTGCGAGTGGCAACTGAAAGCCTATAAAATATAATGCTCATCTGATTATGCACCTTTTGAAATTTGCAAATATCCACAGCAGTGGTGTCATCTGTATGTTACATTAAGAAATTTAAATCTATGGGTAATAAAAATTGGATTTGGGTATGCGAACTGAATAGCTGTTTGGGCGGAATAATTCTTAGTTTCAAAAAGTATTTTGTACAAATTAATTGGGAAGTTAGTTTTACTTAATATGTATGCAATATCTTCAACATTTGAATAAAGGGCATTTAAAGTTTGCTGGTGAAACTTCATGGTAATTTAATTGCTACTTTATAATTACATGCCTTATTGTATTCTTAATAAGCTTGATATTGGTGATATTTTCCTTGCAGTTATGCTTCTGTACAGTGACTTTATTAAGTATTTATTAAATACTTATTTGTAAGCATGTAAAATTCCAGATATGTATATTTATGGGAGTGAATGCAATGACATTGTTTTATCATTTAATGTGAATGTGATTTTTATCTGGACTTAAACTGATTGCTAGAATAAACTTTCAGATTATATGGTTTTAAAAACCCACATGGTTAGAGTGAAGACGAGTGGACATGTATGTTACAATTTTATCTCTACAAGCAGTTACTACTAAATGAGTTGTGTATCTGTTGCTGCAGTGGAAATTTGTTCTTGAATGGTTTTGATTATTTGGAGCAATTTATTATATTGTTCATGGAAATTTAATTTGTACAATCAAATGTTACATTCATGTATGAAAAGTTAAAGATGGATGAAACTTCATACCACCAGAAAAGCAAATAAAATATTTTTCCATCCACTTTTTTTTAGTCAGACTGAAAAATTGCTTACATTCTGTTACTGTATGGTTATTGTTTTATTCATTCTTAAAATGCAAACTATTCTTAAGTCCTATTGGTTCATTTCTCTAATGGTATATTTATCTACACTATTACTATTTTCATGTTAGGTCAAAATTATTTTTAAATTCAAGTCTAGTTCCTCTAGTGATTAATTTGGCAAAGGAAGTAGAGTTCATGTTTCTTGACATCAGCTTTTACGGTCCACTTATCAGAGCTGAGTGGACTATCTTGTTTTACAGCCACAAGTCTGAACAGAGACTTGAAAGCTGTAATATACTAGTCAAAATTGTTCTAAAGACACCATTAAAGTAAAACATAAGCATGTACCTTCAACAACTCTCACTTAAAACACTTTAATATTAATCATCCAGTACAATTTGCTCTGCACTTTATGTTGACTGCTGGAAGGCAGTCTCCCACCTGTGAAGTCTTGTCTGTTGAGTTCCACTTTGTTTTGTATTATTATTCATTCAACCAAATTCTCTTACACTCCAAATACTTTGTTTCTGATGCTTTTACATTCAGTTACTTTAAATGACACTCATTTTTTGCCTGCTAAAAATTACCCTCACAAATCATACATTCATCAGACCCTATGAATATTTTTTTTTAAATGGATAAGGGGGAATAACATGAATACATTTTTAGTTTTAGGAAAAGAAAATAGGAAGGATGGCAAAATCAAATTTAGCCCATATTATACCCCCTATAACCCCACCACCCATTGCATGGAGCAGTCACAGTAGATCCCTACAGTAGGCCTATTTCAAAAAGGTTGTACTGGAATCTATTAAAATGTCATGAGCTAAAACCTAGAGAAAAAAAAAGTGTTCTAGTTATACCATAGTTGACTACTTTGAGAGAGAAATTTGACAGATTTTAAAATTGTGATTTTGCTATTTAAGTATAGTATAATGTATAACTACTATAACAATAAACATAATGTCCAACACATTACCATTCAGATTCATTTATGGTCTGTCACTGTCAGAAACAATTTTTAATACGAATATAAAATTAGACCATTAAATTAAATCATGCAGAATAAATCCGTTAACTAATGAAGCCAACCTGCATGTATCGAATTTACAGTTATTTACTTGAGTCTATTTATTTGCAGTCTATTGACTGTTATGTTAATTTGCATTTTTCCAATGTGGTACCTCCCCAAAGGTTGTGACATTTAGCCTTATGGTGTCAGTTTGCTCACTAATTATATTATTTTATTAATTACCCCACCTTTTACTTTGAGTGGATAAAAGCACAAGCTTCATTGTTAATTAATTATTGAAAATACTCAACATAACAGGTAAAGAAGGTAAATTTTTCACTGTGTAACACCAAACTCTTACTTAGCTTTAATCAAACTGCACTGTTAATAGAAATTTTATAGAAACTATTATTAATAGATCTACAGCTGAATGTAGAAATTTTTTCTCTTTAGTTAGCAAGTTAAGAACTTTAAGATAAAATTTCCCGGCCGGGAAATCTGACGAATAGCCTGGAACTGGAATTTTTTTCATCCCCAAATATTGCAAGATTCGGACTAGGCATAAGCCTAGCCTAATGTAGTTTCGACAGTTCTCGTTTTTAAGAGTTAAAGCGCACAAAACTATTATCACTATCACCCATGATTTGCGAACATTGCTACAATTTCCTATTTTTTCAGGAGTGTCTCTTTTCCGGATTATCAGTTTTCCGGGTTAGCAAAATTAAAACAAAATAAGACTTTTGACATATGATTTTAGAAATCGTGTTTATTATTACGTTTCCGTAGCCTATATATATAGATAGGGTAAGGCTAAATTGGCGTGATGGGGGGGGGGGGGGGTCGTAGGCTGAGGTAACGTCATTTTAAAGGGGGGGGGGTTTCTGGCTTTTTGTGACGTTAGGGAGGGGAAGGGAAAAAAATCGTCGAAAATAGCATGACGTCGTTTATGGATGACACCATAGGCCTGCTTGGCTCTGATGTTAGGGGGTCGTCCATAAATACCGTCACACTCGTAGGGGGAAGGGGGGTCCGTAATTTTGTGACGGTGTTGGTGATGAGGGGAGGGGGGGGGGGGGGGGGTTCAGATGGTGCGACACTTTTGCATTGTAAAAATGCAATGTTAGAAAATGAATTTTAGACGTTATTTCGCGTTTTAGAAAATTGTTTTAATACATTGTAATAGGAATTTAATAAGTACACTATTTTGACAGAGTTCAGACAAGATTTTGGAAAAATAATATCAATGTTTAAAAAAATTTCAACTGCAATTTTGAGGGGGATCGTAACGTCATTTTAGGGGGGGGGGGGGTCTGGCTTTTTGTGACCAGTGTTTCTTCCACTTTTTTCTCCGGTGGGGGGCACTTGAAATTTTCGGGGAGGCGATAGACTTTCTTCGAGGGGGGGGGGGTGGCGGACACTGTTAAAAGTATATATTTTCTATATATATTATATAAATTTCATTTCGTTCGGGGGGGGGGGGGCTGTAGAATTTTTTCGGGGGGGGGAGGGCAAAGCCCCCCTCCGAAGAGTTGCCTGGAAGAAACTCTGTGACGATGTGTGAGGGAGGGAATGTAAAATTCGTCAAAAAAAAAGCGTGACTTCATTTATGGATCACCCCTTAGTTTCTTTCTTTCTTCATATTACCATTTAGGGGTCGTCCATAAATGACGTCACACTCGGAGGGGGGAGGGGGGGGGGGTCCGTAGTTTTGTGACGGTGTGTGATGAAATTTATATGAAAATTGCAGGGAATTTCTATGAATAGCAGGGAATTTATACTTGGAAATGCAGGGAATTTTCTCATAAAAAAATTGTGGGAACCCTGCATGCAAATGAAAGCCTTTTAAATGTTCCGTCACTCCAATGTGAAGGAATAGACTGCAGCAGCATGCAATGGGTAAGATAGTATGAAGTAAGAAAACAAGAAAATACACTTTTATTTTTATTTACCACTGCTTAAAAAAATGATATAATTCACATATTAATTTAATAATAAATGTTAATTTTTAAATGCTTGATGTAATGATGCTAAATAAATATTCTAGAACTAGAATACCGTTTAAATTTTTTTTGTAAATGTAAGATCTCTTGTTAGACACTAATATAGCCAGAACTCTCCACTGTGTGCCCTTAAACTAGTTAAACTAACAAAGTCAAGTTCTGTTTAAAAAATTGTTGCAGAAATTACATTAAATTCACACTTTCAGCAGTTATAATTAACTACTGAATCACCACTGCAGCTAAAACAGAAAGAAAAAAAAGTTCTATTACAAGTAATTAAGAATGAGAGACATCTTCAAAGAACAACCATCTGGCTAGAGAATAATTTATTAAAAAACTAATTATTCTTTAAACTACAATCTACATTTCTTTTGCATTTGCAAATCATTATTAATAAGATTATGAATATAACTTATTATAGTCAGTGTAATACTGTAATCATAGATTAAACAAAACATACCAGTGCCAAAATGTAACCCATCATAGAACATAGTCATAAACATGTTTAGTACAATAAGTTTTAACTTGTTGCAAGAAGTTATGCAGCCTGTAACTCAAGGTTCACACAAATATTAAAAAATTGGTACTTGAAACTCAACAAGTTTATTGAAGTTCAATTAGATTTTTAAAGTCTTATTGATATAATTATAAGATTAAAGATTTTGAAGAAGGCTTGTAGAACATGATGATTTGAAACCGTGAATAATAAATTAAAAAAAATAAGCAAGAAAGTCTAGGTTTATGAATGTGAAAATGTGTGTAGTGTATGCTTCAGATTAAATTTCATGTTTTTGTTAAATTAAAAAAGTCTATAACAAGTAGCAGGTCTACTTATTAATATTATACATATTTTTTTAGTGTTGCAAGATACCCACAAATATATTAAAACATGTAATGTTATTGAATTGGAGAAAATACATTCCATACATTATACTGCTTCAACAAGTCATAGTTATATGCATATTTATTAAGTGTGAGCAAATTTTTAGAAGATAATCATAAAGATGAATACACAATTTTAATTTTTTTTTACATAAAAAAAGAGTATAGAACCGATAAAAATAAATTTGATATTGTCATTAGACTTTGTGCTACATCAAATGATGACAGTCTTAAATAAACTTTCAACCCAATATTAAAATGGTACCATCTATACTTTGCAAGATGCAAATGTTTTAGTAATGCATTAAAATTATTGATTATATATATATAGCAAGCATTTATTACCAGTTAAGGCACATGCTGTGTTTTTCAGGTTGGACCCATAAAGTATTAACCAGTTTTTATTTATGATCAGGAAAGAAAATTATTTTTCAGCTTGTGATCAGATCAAATAAAAAACAATGGAATTATATAAAAATATGACGAAAAAATTCAGCTGTCAGTTGCCATATATTTAACATTTTTTCCAGGCAAGATTGACTATATCTTTGTTAAGTCACTGTTGTAAAAAAAAATTATTTCTAGCAAATTTAAGTTAAAAAACTGCTTAACTAGGAATAGATGAATGTGTAATACTATAGCTGTCTTAGTGTTTTCAAAGGACTGGACAGCTAATACTATTCTTTATTTAAGGGGACATTGTAAATTTTTTTTTCTTCTTAAAAAGCCTTTTTAGGTAATTATTTAATGAAACTAATATTCTTACACATGCAGGAAGCTAAAAAAATATTAGAATGTAAATGGGTTTAATGAATTTTCATGTGCATTTAATATAATGTGCAATGTTTATCATTTTAGTTATTTTTATGTCCCTTATTTTATATATATATATATATATATATATATATATATATATATATATATATATACCTTGTGATGTCCCTTGAATGTGGTCTGTGTAGTTGTCAGTGAGTTTTCAGCGAGCCTGGAAGGAATATTTATTGCTGCTGATTTGCTGTGTATGAATAATATGTTTTGAAGCTATCTTGGTGTCTATAGTTATCCTCCAAGTGTATATAATAAGTAATGTAATAGTTTTCCTGATATTACACAGATATTATTAGGTTCATAGTCTTATAAAATGCAATAAATCAACTGCGCAAGTTTGAAGTGAAGAAAAGTTTGTCACTTTCTGTTAATTTACGTATAAAATTAGAATCCACACATTTTTAAAAATTATTTTTTTTTTTACATTATCTAAAGAGCTGAAAAATTTGCCCTTATTAAAGTTAAAAAAAAACCAAAATACATAATACCTTTATAGCAACAAGCTTATAATGCACTGAAAAAAAAACGAATTTACTTTCTTTAATAAAAGCTTTGGTCGCTCATGAGATCTTTTACAATTTTAACGACAACAGCTTTTATTTAAGAAAGTAAATTAGTTTTACTTTCTTATTGTAAGTGCATTTAAAAGCTTGTTGCTATAAAAAATATTTGCTTTAAAACACCATCAGTAGCTCACAATGTCTAAAAGACAATTATCTGCCCCATGAAAAGCTACCGTCAGTGACCACAATTTACAGACAACAGCAAACTGATAAAGCTAAGGATAGTTTTTAATCTTGCTACCTGTCCTTAGTTTCAAACCATTTAAAAACTATAATTTCTGCCTCTAGTAGCTTCAACTAGATCGACCAGCTCTATGATTGTAAACATTCCCGAGAACAACAGCTCACCAGACTGGTAGGGTGATAGCGTCTAGCTAGTTATCTCCTCTTCTGTTATTGAATGTAGTAATCTATAGTATAGAGTGATTTAATTTTTTTAATCTCCCCTTAGTTTCAGAACCGTTTAATTAAGTTTTAATGACTAGTTAAACATGAAATTAAATTAATAACTAGATAGACTTGTATCATCATCAAAGTGAAACATATCTATATATATAATTCTCTTCATGGAGGGACCATGTGGGACACCATGTATACACATGCCTATCTGCCCACTCCATCGCTCTCCAAGAATGCTCAACAGACCATATTGCTACCACTCCCACCCCAACCAGTCTGGTGAGCTGTGGTTCACCCCAGATATTTACAACTGTAGAGCCGGGTGGAATTAGTGACGGCTATTAGGGGCAGATAATTTAGTTTTTAAACTATTTAAAAATAAAGGGAGGTAATAGGTTCTGCTTAATATTTTCATTCTCGTCTGTGTAAACTGTCATTTACTGAGTGTTATAAAGCAAAATATTTTCAGTTGCAGCATTGTTAGTGCTGAATTCACAAATTATGAATTACTGAAACGTAGAAAATTAAACAGCTATATAGCGGCGTATGCCTACGGCGTGGGTAAGCTCGTCTGGAAAGTTTGAACAAAATCGCTGAATTAGAAGTGGGTCAAATTTGAGTTATGAGATTTGCCACAAACAAACAGACCTCGCAAACAAAATAAAAGCTTGTAAAAAAATATCGCTATCAGTATCAAATACAGAAGACTATTTTAAATCTAAAATATGTTAATGGTGCTTTTAAAACAAAACTCCAGTTGAAAAAATTAACATAAATTAGATGCCAGGTATTACTATTGATTAAGTATTAGTGATGAATAAAGGCATTAAAGTAGTTACAAAAATATCCTTTGAAAACCTAAGTACCAAATCTTCTACCATAGTTCCATCTTGTAGCATACCAGTATATTGATGTTATTTCAACTTGTGGGCATCTACATAAAGCTAACCCCCTCCCCCAAACTTTTTGAATCCCTCCCCCCCTCCTTGTGTAGCATATTATGAATGACCAATATACACAAATCCACATAGAGCTGTCTAATATTGTTTGCAATCATCCCTTGAGGCTGGTGGTAATGACATGAATTACTACACACATTTTTTTACACACCTAAATATGAACGTAAAATAAGGTATGCATTAATTTCCATCGCAAGCATTGGTTCAATTTTCAATTGCTTCTAAGTTATATTATATATATATGTGTGTGTGTGTATATATATATATATATATATATATATATATATATATATATATATATATATATATATATATGTGTGTGTGTATAGCTACACAATGTCTGCTGTATCCCACCTAGCAAAAAGTGACTACTTATAAAACCATCAAAATTAAAAAAATCAGACACACATAGAAGGAAAGGTAAAGTCTAAAAAATGTACACTAAAATATAGATAATAAGAAAATATTATAGAGAGCTAACAGAGGCATGATGATCTCTTTCATTTTAACCTTTCTCATATTTTAACAATCCATCTGAAACTAGAGTCAAAATATTCTATTTAGACTAGACTAATTGTCAAGATATTGAAAATATACTACTAAATCATAACCATTGATTCAATGAAAAACAGCAGAATGAATTAAAACAATAGCAATGAAAGACTTTATTGTTAGGGTTTGGGTTATCACAGCTGAAAGAATTTTAAAAGACTCTTAAAGTTTAATAAGCAGTATTGCCAATTACTAGTCAATACACCTGCGATAAAGGAATGAAGTCACAAATACTCTGGATGGCATAGTAAAACTCAATTATTAACTCACATGACATCCTTGAGTCTATCCAGCTCTAACGGGTACCTGACATGAGCTTGGGACAGTAAAGGGAGCTGGGCACAGTTAAAATCAGTGCTGAGCACACAAGCCGTTCACAAGGATGTAGAAACATTAAAACTCTACTTCCTCTTTCATATGGACTATCAGGCCTTAGAGGGTAAAGTTGCATTCAGTATGAACTGACTACTGCCCAATAGTGATCTACAGTTTCAAAATAATTGGCAATGTTGAAATGAATTTAATATATATATATAACAAAAAATATGTAAAATGCTAATATTTTTCTTGTGGCACAAATTAAAACAAATTATGTCCAGCATAGTTAAAGGAAATTACCTTCCTTTAAACACATCAGCTGTCTATTTTAAAAAAAAAAATGTCTATAACCATTGTCACTGAACAGTTAAAATCATTTGAATTAACATATATCTCTATATTGTCTACACTATATGGTTTAGTTTAAGTTAAAGTAAACAGCCTCAAGCTACTTTTTTTTTTATAAAAGAAGGAAACCATACAAACATTTAACTTCTTATAATAAGGTAATGCCAATAAAAATTGTGTTATAAGAATATTGAAAAAAAAAACCATTTAAAACAACATTTTGAGTAAAAGGTATGTTGTTACTGATCTTTAACTATTTATAAAAAAAAAAGAAGAAAGATTTTACTTGAACATACACTAAAATAAATAATTTCAAAACCATAAACAAGTACAAAATGCTTTATAATAATACACTTATTGCGCACTGAAAAGAAGAAAAGAAAGAAAGCGTTAGTTGCTAAAAAGTGTAAGATTTCATAAGTGACCAAAGCTCTCATTAAAGAGATAAATTTTGTTTTATTTTAAATGCACTTGAAAAATTATTATAACAGGCTTTATACCTTCTTTGCTTTCTACTTTAGGCAATTGAGAATTTTCATAATTAATATATATGTATATAAGTTTTTAAAAACAAGTAGTACTTTAATTTTAGCATTCCATAGGCTCTTGTGAGTCATAAGACAAAAAAAAATTGTTTTGAAACCTGACCAGTAGTTTGCTGAAGTCTAAAAGACAATTTTTAACCCTTATTAATGTCCATGAAAAAACCCCATTTGTGACCATCTATTCACTGCTGTCACATGGCTGAACAAGTACCTAATATTGTTATCTCCCCCTTTTTAAAATTGAAATAGTAATCTCTAAATTAAGTTTTATTGACTAAATTATATCCTAACTATATTAAAATTATACATTCTTGCACAATGTTTGGTGATGCAAGAATTTGGATAGTGTGAATGAAATTGCTGCATGGGGGGGGGGGGGGGGGGGCGGCGGCGCAACATTGAGTTTTAACACTTGCCACAAACAGATGGAGAAATAGATATTGTAAACTAAGTAAGAGCTTATAAAAAATATCACATCTGCCAACTCTACAAACAGCTTGGATCAAAACAAAAATGTTTTACATATACAACTTAATAATTACTCAATAACTGTAGCTAAACAAGCATTTAATAGACAAGCATTTTTCTACCTAGCATCTCTGAACAAAAAAATTATAAATAAACTTTTCATACAAATTCAATACCCTCATATTTTACATCTCCAATTTTCATCTCTGGCATTAATATATTGCCATTTAAATCAAAAGCTAAAATATAAGATGCAATTTTTCCATTGTCTTCTTCACTCTTCAGAGCAACAATAATATTGTCACCTGTTCCTGGAATAAATTTAAACGAAGAGAATCCATGAGTTGGATTTATCATTCCAATTTTCTCTACACGAATGTCTTCAAAATGCTCATCAACAACAAACAGGAGATTTGTTGCCCTTCTCTCATCTTGTTTTTCATCATAGCTTTCTGTACTAGCTCTACGAGGAAGGAAAAACCATTTTTTGTGCACATCGCTCCAAACACCTGATTCATGAATGATGTAACCTAAGCAAAAAGAAATCTCATTAATTTATTTTATTAAAAGAAGTAAAAATCACTAAACGTTAGCAAAAAAAAATTAATTACTAAAAGGTCACACTTGAAGATTATACACAGAGGAACCCAAGTATTAACTATTAATTAGCCGCTGCCCCTTCATACAAAAGAAAAGTCACATTTGTTTTATAAATATTTGGCCTACAAATCCTTTTTAAATAGATAGAAAATAGAATAGTTTCAGTGTACTTTTCCAAGTTAGTTAAATTCAATGGTAATTTAAAATGTTTATAATGCTTATTTTCTTTAATCCCACATTTTAAAACTATCCATCCTAAAATGTATCTCATTATCTAGGCATGTATTTTGTGAATTTTATATTTAGTAGATATTCAACTGATTAATTTGTTGATGATTTGTTTAGACAAAAATAAAGTTCACTACTCCAAATGACCAATTATTTATTTTCTCTGACATTTTTTTTTGGTGCACATTTATTGATTTATTATTTTTACTTTCTTGTATATGAAGTATAGAGTAAATATTGTAATTGTGCAAAAAAAAATAAGAAAAAAAATCGAGACTTTTACAAAAATCTCAACATTTACACCTCCCTGAATCGGAAAAAACATAGTTTTGCAATGTGTATGCCTGTGTGAGTATGTTTGTATGTGAACACAATAACTTGAGTACCATTACAGCTAGGTTGATGAAATTTCATACATAAGTATTATATCAAATTTGTAGATCTGTATCAACTTTTCAGCAATTTTTGGTAACCTGAAGTAGAACTTATTCTACTTTCAACTGTTTAAAAGCCTATGAGTACTATTTCAGATAGATAAATGAAATTTCAGATGTAAGTAAAAGATCTAATTCTCTGTCTTCTATCAAATTTTGAGTAATTTCCATTTATGTAATAATTTACACTATTTCTGACTTCTCAAAAAAAAAAAAAAAATGCATGTGAATTTATAAAGAACTAATAATATTCTGCACTATTATACACATATTGTTTGGTGTTCACTTGATGCACATTTCTTTTTTCTACGAGATTCTATTCTATTTTAAAAAGTACAAGTAATTTAAAATGGATTTAAAATCATGCCTATATCCCAAGTTGCCATCCCCTGTAGTGTTATATAAGAATATTTGAGAAAGTTTAGGGGAGATCACTCCCAATTTATTACTGTTGGAAAGCCAGATTTAATTCCAACATTAAAAAATAATTTTTATTTTTATTATAGCTTTCATTAAAAAAAAACCCAACAACAATATTTTGTGAAAGGTTCACTTATTCATACAGAGTTATGCTCCTGACATTGGGAATTCCAGGTTAGTGTTTTGGAAAGTTATTTTTATTAATAGTCAAAATGTAAAATGTATCAAAACAATGCAAAGAGACAGATATTTTTCCCATTTGTATACAATTTAGTTGAACTACTAACTTAAACACTATAAAAACAGTTGAAGCAATCAGTTTCAGATTAGTCTCAGAAAAAGTGAATTGTTAAAAGAAGAAAAATAGTAAAACATCTGAAATTAAAATCGAATCAGTTTCTAACCTGGTAATAAAGTTCCAGTTTTTGCTCTCAAGGCATCATATTTATCATGCCAATCCATGTGCTCTACATCTCCACTTATTCCTATAGATTTCACCCACTGTGGATTAAGGTTGACAACTTCTCCTGTTTCAGTGGTCCATTCTTTTCCTAAGCCTCCAACATACAAGCGCTGGTCTTTAACCGTAGCCCATTCACACTTAAAACCTGAAAGTAAAATTTCCCAACTAGTAATTAAATTATAATAAGGCCATTTTATATAAGGTCAAACAGGATGTAAAAATATATATCAGGACTACCCCATTTTTCCGTCTTGGCAATTTAATGTTGAAATTAAGTATAATTTTTCTCTCTTCTATAGTAGGCCTTATCTAATTGTCTTTATACATAGTAAATGGTTTTTCTGCAAACTCCCACCCATGGTACCAAGTCTATAAGATTATGTGAACAATTTACAATATCAGACATGCCTACCCCTGTCAGCCAAAAGTAGGAACAGTTATGCCTAAAAAGAGGAATTTGAAGCCAAAAAGAGGAACATACACGGGGACGCAACTTTACTAAGTCAAAAATAAAAATAATTAAAAATTACTCTAATGACATTAGTAGGGTTCTAGTCCTATATAACTAGTCTCTAGGATACATTTAAATACTGCTTAATGTCAGCTTACATTTAAAAACAATAAATTAACCAATAACCTGAGACCCCCCCCCCCCCCCCGAATAAAAATCATAGCTTTGACATAACATTATTGATTTGATTATTTATGTCTTGCTATGTTCTAGGCTATATGAATAACAAATGATGAAGGCTTCATCATATGTAAAGTTACGAGCAAAGACCCTTGATCTACCTAGTAAAACTCCTAGTTACTTCTTACTAAGTTCTTCATAATAGTAGTTACTAGTTAAGTTAAACTTACAAGATAGATCAGTATTCACTATTTCAGTATCTACTAGTAGATCTAGTTACAATTCTAGATCTAGTAGTAGTAGATATACTACTAACTAGATCTAGAATTAAGATGATACTTGTAAATATTGTAAGTAAACTAGGAAACAGAAACGTCTGCCAAAGGGAGATAATCGCGTTTTTCCTGACATTTTTTCAATCTATATATATATAATTCTCTTCTGGGAGCCGTTAGAAAACAAGCTGCAAGCGCCTCCTTGCAGTCCCCTCTCTTTCGCTCTATCACTATCACCCACCCCACTCCCACATTGTCTGGTGAGCTGTGGTCACGCTGTTTACATTTTACAATCATAGAGACGGGTATGGTGACGGCTATTAGGGGCAGATAATTTAGTTTGAAATGATTTTAAACTCAGAGGAGGTAACTAAGAGGAGGCTGCTTTCACGTGGGGGGGGGGGGGGGGGGGGGGGCTTAGTGTTTTTAAGCAAATATTTTCAGTGGCAGCATTGGTACTGTCGAATTCACAAATTATAAATTACTGAAAAGTAGAAAAAAAAACAACTAAATAGCGGCGTATGATACGCAGCGGGTCGGCTCGTTTACTTTATTACCCTTCTTTATTAATTTTTTTTTTCAAAAAAATCGGAACCAACAGAGTCAATTTTGGGATGACGGAACAAATTACTTTTTTAGGTGAAAAAGCCGGACGGTTCTGATTTTGGCGGGACGGTAGGCATGTCTGCAATATTGATCACAAGTAGAACTGTTTTTCTATTTGCTTAGTTTGCTTATGTGACATGTTTAGGCCTGCTGAACTCACAGTCCCCCCCCAGTTGGGATTATGAAATATTAAGTGGTTTCAATCAGTAGATGGAAAAAACAAAAGGATTTAATCACTGCTTCATTTTCTTAATGCAAGACATGTACCACCTAATCACTTCATTATAATAAATGTAAATAACAAATGCATTCATTACAGATGAGATTCTTTTAGTAACCAATAACAATATTAAAGGATGTTATTATGAAGCAAGTATAGAACAGGGTCAAACATGCATTATAACATGTATTTACAATTTGATACAAATGAGTCTATAGGACAGAACAGTTTTAATCACTGGTTTATTGCACTGGCTGAATAGACAGAAATGACAACTTTCACAACATATACAAAGACTTGACTACATTCACAATGACGGACGAATACCTCCACACCTTAGCACAACAAATGAAGACTGTTCTAACCTATTTCCCTTAGCTAACAGAGCTTACTGTCAAACGTCACATCCTTAAGTACCTGGTCACACAATCACAATCTTTTATTAATATAACTCATTCTACAACACACATACTCTAATACCCTTGCAATACAATAAGATAGTTTGATTTGAAGGTAAATAGTATCAAATATGTGCTGATATATTCAGACATGCCTACTTCTGGCAACCAAAAGTAGGAAAAGTCATGCCTAAAAAGAGGAACATATCCGCTGATGCTACTTTACTAAGTCAAAAAATAAAAATTAAAAATAAGTCTAATGACGTTATACACAGTAGCATACATACAGTACAAGCATAGATATAGTGTTTAGTAGGCCTCTAGTTAAACTATATATAACTAGTCTCAAGGCTACAGCTAAATACTACTAAAACTTTAACCTATAACCATGAGAACCACCCCCATAATAAAACCATAGCTTTAACATAACATTATTTATTTGATTATTCCTGCCTTGCTATGCTCTAGGCCATAAGAACAACATATGCTGAAGGCTATGTACTACGTATATAATATAAAATATGTTAAAGTTAAGACCTACCTAGTAAAAAAGTCCTTCTAACTAAGAAGTTCTTTATTTCTTAGTTAGAAGTTAGCCTAAAGATAGATTTAATCTAGATCTAGAAATTAGCTTGTTAATGTTAGTCATGATTTTATTGTATTTTTCTCCCTACATGTCATTTAAGGCGTAATTGAAATCTACAATTTACTTGAAAATACCAAAAAGAATGTTCAAAAGTTTGTTTGTCCACATTATCAATCAGTAGATTTAGTATTAGATATTTGTATGTAATTATTATAAGTAAACAAGGAAACGTGTGCCAAAGGGAGATAATCGCTTTTCCATGCTCTTTTTTCAATTCTATTTTAGTTTTCTTTAGGCCTACTAATTATTTTTTTGAAAAAGCGGAAAAAACGTCGACGAAAGCGGGATGGCGGAACAGGACTAGATATTTTGTAAAAAAAAAGTGGAAAAATTCCTTTGTTGGTGGGACGGTAGGCATGTCTGTATATTTCACTCACACTATTACCATTGTATTTAGTAATGTTTGTAAGTTTCTCAAGGTATTACTAGCTATATATTTGTGTAAGTCTTTCACTGTCATGCCAAGTAATGCATACCCATGCAGTAATCATAACAAAATCAGTAAGCTTGGACCTAATCAAATTGTTCATACAAATAGTAAATTCATGCAAGATAAATAGTAAATACATTACATACCTTTACTGTTTTTACCATTCCCATCTGCTAAGATTACCCAAGGCACAACTGTATTATCAATTATTTCATAAATGATTCCTGTCCTGTCATCAACAGTATAAAGTTTACCATTAAATATCACAAGCTCAGATAATTCCATGCCTCTATCACCAGCTGCAAAATTGGAAACCAAAACTTTTGGCTGACCTAGCTTTACTTTAACTGAATCTTTATTTTCTGATAATGAAAGATTTCCAACACGATAATAGCTAATCCATGTAGACTTTTTCTCTTTACTCTTTGAATCAGTATCAAGGTCTGTGATCAATCCTATTTTATAGATTGTACCTTCCACAGTTCTTACAGGGTTAGTCAATGGATAAGTTGGGTCAAATTGTTTATCATATAGCTGCTTTCCTGAATCACAGACGACCGTGTTTGATGCTTTTGGCATAAACAAAACTAATAATATAAGTATTGATGCAGAAAACAAACCAGCATAAGCAACAACCCTAGGCTTCAAATGAAACCGAGCATTACCAACACGGTATGACGTAGGTCGGCGAATGGCTTTCGTCCATTCATGGACAGTTGAAGGGTATGGTGAAGAAGACAACATGTTTATGTCGTCATCATCCACAGGTAAACTCATGGGTGCATGAAATAATGAGTGCCAATCATAGTAGCTATGCAGTGACAACATTAACCAAACTGTCAACGTGTCCTACACATTCATAGTGTTTTATTTCTCTTCGCCATTGTTTGTTTATGGTCCCTGTAAAACCGAAACACACCCTTAAACAACATAAGCATAGAGTATAATAACAGTCTAGCAAATGTAGTTCTATCTACTTGTACTTAAATCTACTACTATCTAGCCCAGGGGTTCCCAACCCTGTGCCCGCGGGCGCCATGGCGCCCGCTGAACGATTCGTATGTGCCCGCCTCTCACTATTCGACAGAGACAGAATTTTTTTCATGAACATTATTTTAAAATATGATTTATTTTTATTCATTTGTTACAGTTATAATTTTTTTTGACTGCCTATGTTTATTAAATATGTTCGATATTTATCCCAACTTGTCTAGCGGCGAGCCAGACTGCACTATTAACGTTTTGTAAATACATTTTTCTGTGTGTATGCAATTTGAAAAAAAAATGCCAAATAATTTAATTATTTTGATTTTTTTTGTTTATTATTTATTAATACATTATGACTATACTATAAGAAAATAAGAAAATAAATTATGGGAAAATGACAAGTTATGAAAGGAGTTTGTCGATTTAAAATAGGTGGTGCCCGCCACCCTACCGATATTTTAGAATGTGCTCTAGAGTAAAAAAAAGGTTGGGAACCCCTGATCTAGCCTATAAATAATTCATATAGCCTATGCATTTAGTATGTTAAATCAGTATCAACACTAGGCCCTAAATTGAAATTAAACTAGTTATGTAAATCTCAATTTATATAAAATGTAAATAGATCTAAAAGTAAAAAAAGATCTAGGGGCCTGGCCAATAAGACAAAGATAACTTAAACCCTTAAACCAAATTTCTCTCTTTAGTAAAAGAAGCATATGTCGCTATTATATGTAAGATATTTCATTAGCGATGGTATTTATTTCACAATAGAAAAGTTTGTTTTATTTTCTGTGTAATTTAAAAGCTTAGTATTATAAAGCCATAAAAGTTTTTTATAATTGTTTTATTTTATTCGTAGGGCTTCTAGTATAACCGCGGCACACCCCACCCTCACACACGAATGTTGTGATTATAACGCCACATGTTTCCGGTAACTTGCATTGGGTTGATTACACATCAATTTGAATTATTGTAACAACCTATTTGTAGATCTTGACTAGAATTCTCGATCTAAATAAGTCTGCAAAAGAACGAAATGATATTAAATGAGTCTAAGGTAACATATTGTGGTAATCTATCGTTTTGGGTACGTAAAATCGCCCGCGATTTGTAAATGTAATGTGAAAAACAGGTGACTCCTTAAATTTTAATAATTATTTCACATTTTGAGGAAGATTTATGTTTTAAAAAATTCAAAAATGTTTCCTTGATTCATTTATGTACCTGTTTTTAAACAATTGAATTAAAACTTTTCCGTAATAAATGAAGACTAGCGATGTTTCCAACAGATGCAACCATGCTCATTTACTATAGCAGCCATCTTGTCTAAGTTTTATTTTTATAAGCTTTTAGCGCCAGATTCAGGGGGAAGCCACTCTATTTTACAAATGGCTGCTGTTTATATAGCAAATCTTGCTCTCAGACACTGCTGTTTAAAGTTAATTTCTGGGTAAAATCACGATATAGCGTCGGAAATTATTGGGTAATGTTCGTTGAGTTTCGGTAACATTCGTTACTGTAAACCATAGTTTATTTGACCGTTGAAAGAAAAATAAAGTCAAGTGCATTAAATTAATGTTTTAACTTAATTTAATGTTAAACTGACAAAAAATTAGCAACAATTAGTAAATCTAAATATTATTAATAAATTCGAGTGTGGTAATTAACGTTTTTTTTAAGAAACGCAGAAAAAACCGGGAGAAGATTTGCGACAACTAGATCTAGTTCTGTTAGTAAAGATAAAAGTAGTAAGAAGAGCTAGAATAACGTTTAGTAGCAGCAATAATTAGCACATACACTTAAAATAATTAGAAATACAAAATTATCAGAAAAACAGTGTTTAAAATGCAACTAAAATCAATCCTTGCACCTTTCTAAACATTGTGTATTAAAAATAATATGGCGGCAAATAAATGATGGTTTACAGTATTTCCGGTGGTTTCCGGAACGGCTCGACAGACTACGCCATGGTTTTACTGTTTTTTACTGCTGTACAGTTCCGGAATAATAACCGACGCTATATCGTGATTTTACCAATTTCTGGTCTGTATCGATATATTTAGCCATTGATTTAGGTTTATTATTCATTTATCTATAATATTTGACACACAAGTATGACAATATACTTCTATTAAAACCTTGACAATGAGGTAACGTTTTCGTACATAAATAGCCGCGGGCGATTTTACGTACCCAAAACGATAGATTACCCATATTGTATTGTGTATTCTAGATCTAGATATTTTAGAAAAAAAAGACTAGAATCTCTAGATCTAGATCTTAAATTCTTAATCTAGATCTAGAATCTAGATCTAGATCTAGAAATCTAGGTAGGGCCCTACTAGGATAAATTTTTAAAATTGGTTTTTTAGGGAAACAACTACTACAGTTAAAAGGAGCAGAAAATTACAATAACAGAACAGTTTTCCTTTTTGATGTAGCTCAAACGGTTAAATAGTTATGATTTTTTTTCGTATTAAAAAATGTTATTTTTTTAACATAGGATTTTTTCAATTTCTGTGATAGAGTTTTTTTAAGCGTTTACTAAAATTGTCCTAGCTTGTAAACCATATGGTCAAATTTGTTATAACTTTGCAATATCTTTATTTATTATATATGGAAGCATAATAAACAATAAAATTAGAAATTTATGGGCAGAGTAAAACAAAAACAGAAGTAGAACAGGGTACCCCCCTAATTTTTCATATACAGTGCATTCATACAATCTGAGTTAAAATTTTAACTATTCAGAAAATTAAGCTCAAACTTGCTGAGAATGATGAGCTATGGATGTGTCAGTTATTACAATCAAATTAATATTCATAACTGAAAAGATTTTTGTTTTAACTGCTGCAAAGCTGATAAATTATACAATTTGGCAAAACCGAAGTCTTGTTGATGTGACATGCAACATAATGGCAAATTTGAGTTATTAAGCACTTAAGTCTCAAAGCTTATCTAGCTCAAGATAACTCTATTCTTAAACAGAAGTAATCAAAATATGTTTAAATCTATCTGTTTAACAAAAAATAAGGGGTGGAACAGGGTACACCCCCTATTTTTAAATACTAAATTTGTTCATACAATATCAGCTTATGTCCAAACTATTTGAATCTAAAGCTAAAAACTAACCAGAGTGAAGCTCTGAAATAAGTGTGTTTGATGGTTCTATCTAAATAGTTGATAAATAGGTAAAATATGGTAAAACGCTGAGTTATCGACGCACCTGACATCATTGAAAAACTGAACTAATATATGTAAAAAAAATGATGGCAAATTAGATCTATTAGAAATGTAAGGTCTTTTATTTGTATAAATGTAATTAACTTGTAAGTCTACTTATAAATATAGTTTAATTAAAAAGGATGTGTTCTGTCTATTCATTAGTATTTTACATTTCAGAAGAAGTTCAACATTGGACTGGTTGGTTTTAAAAAGATATAGAACTAGTTCATATCACTAAACTTTCAATGTACTGCTTCAAAATTTATTTAAGTTATTTAAAAAAATATTACTTAATTTATCTAAATAAAAGATGAACACAATTATTGTAATAGTTTTAATTCCTCTTTACAGTGTTCCCTCATTAGGCCATATAACTGCTCATCATATCGTAGATGTGCTGGTTTTAGAAGTGTAGGTTCTATCTGGAAAAGTAAACAGTACATTATTTGCTTTCACATCAAAATAAATAAAATGGTTTTTCTGAAGACACTAAATATTGAATGTTTATTGTTAATACCGCACCAGACCTTCCCCTCCCCCCCCTCTACTCCACTACCATCAATATCAAAACAGCGTTTGCCACTATCGCCGGCGGCAAAACATCGTTCGCCACTATCGCCGGCGGCAAAACATCGTTCGCCACTATCGCCGGCGGCAAAACATCGTTCGCCACTATCGCCGGCGGCAAAACATCGTTCGCCACTATCGCCGGCGGCAAAACATCGTTCGCCACTAATGCCGGCGGCAAAACATCGTTCGCCACTAATGCCGGCGGCAAAACATCGTTCGCCACTATCGCCGGCGGAAAAACATCGTTCGCCACTATCGCGGCGGCAAAACATCGTTCGCCACTATCGCCGGCGGCAAAACATCGTTCGCCACTATTGCCGGCGGCAAAACATCGTTCGCCACTATTGCCGGCGGAAAAAACATCGTTCGCCACTATTGCCGGCGGAAAAAAACATCGTTCGCCACTATCGCCGGCGGAAAAATATCGTTCGCCACTATTTTTTTTCTATTACCTCCCTCGCCACTTTCGCTTTCGTATTGTAAACAAACGTATTTTCTATAGAGGTAACAAAACTGCGCAGCATATAACTTTTGTGCGCTATGTCCAAACAACTTGATTTTTTGAAACAATAGAGAAAAGTGGTGTAGAATTCAAATAATGCAATAAATTTTCCCCTTTTTATAAAAATAAACAGTAGGGAGTAAATTAAACTTACCTTATTTTCACTGAAATACTCCATCTTGAATAATCCATGAACAAAATTAAAAAAACAACAAAAACGCAAAATGTCCATTTTTTTAAAGAAAAATCGATAATCGCACGAAAATTGATCGGGCGATAACACCGAGCGATAAAAATTACGAAACTATAGCACTTGCGTCGCCGCAAATTCTCGGCGTCTGGGTAACGGGGACGAAAAACCCGCCGCGCGGGTTAAAACGAGATGTAATCCTAGTACCTATAGAAATCTAGAGTGAAGTTCCACAGCCGATCACACACAGCGGAAAATTCCGAACTCCCGACTTTCATGGGGCGCTATTTTGTAACCGTTTTCTCAGAAACAAAACCAAAGTACTATATTAATCCTCTGCCATTCTACGCTAATATGTATCAATCATTTTATATTCCTACGCATAGAATTTGAGATATTCATGTTTTAGTGACGTGCTACTTGCGATATTAATTATTTTTTCCCCCTCTTTTTTTTTCCTGCGGCCACCTTAACCGGCTAGCGTATTTTATATTTTATAGGCCTACGTTTTAATCCAATTTTAATAGGCCTAACTATCATAAATATTTTACACTTTTAAACATGTTGTCGATTGTATTACTAATTAATAGATTGCAAAACCAAATAAAAAACACGTTAGGCCTAATTAAATTTATTAACGACACATTTATCATTAAAGGTTGACCCTGTAATGACTCAAGGGACGCAACTATAATACTCATAACAAAGGGACATAACAATCACTAACAAGACACAACGTAACATTTGCTTAGATATGCTTGTATGTAGAGTCACAAACTAGATTTAGAAGAGGTAGATGATCGTAATAATTTAAAACAACCGAAAAAAATAGAAATTATATAGATTCTAGACTTAGCTTGAAATATAGAGCATCTAGATCTAGGCTAGTCTAGCTCAAGTCATTGGTTACGCAGCGAGGTGAAACCACCCTAATCGTTACCCAAGCTGCGGCCACCCCTATTCACCTCTCAGGTTGCTTTATTAGCCTTATGTATCGTATGTACAGTGTCTCGCACATATTGTAGAAGCTATTTATAGTTAACCTAGTTATATAAAGCTTTGATTGTTTGGTTTTATTTGTCTCATCCGTGACCTAGTGTTTTTCATTGGGGGAACTAGAATCGCCTACGACGTCATACCTCAAAACTTAAAAATTTAAAAACTCGTCTTCCAGAAGGAGAAAAACAAAAGAATTTGACCTGGATATTATTAGAAATGGACATTTGTACAGCAGGTATCGGTAGTTATGTATAAAACATCCAAACAAATATTATACGAAGTGATAAACAAACGATGGCCCCACCAGTGTTTTAACAGCGCAAAAAACTTCACTCTAGATTATTCTAGAGTTCTACATTGAATGAAGTTTTTCGTTAGGGCAGTAGACTCAAGAAAAAAAGGGGGATAATTTTCTTAGAAAAACCTGCCCAGAGCTCTTGACTGATTTTTCAAATTTCGATTTTACCACTTTCTCTTATTAATTTAAAGTTAATAGGCCTTAATTAATTTCCAATACACAAATTAACCACATTTTCAAATCTACTGAGGTTAATTCTGATGTAGATTTTCTCACTAAATCTAAAATTTACTCTATTTTCAATTTAAACATGACCACTGAGTGATAGACATCCATGTTTAATGGTGTGGCTCTTTGCTGAAATGGCGGGATTGACCTTTAACACTGAAATGTCACGCATAGTTTTTTGCTGTGTTTCTCTTTTTTTAGGGGTCCTATACACGACAAATAAAAACACTGCTAATCTCGCAAAATCTCGTTTTAATGGGATATGCTAAATAAATGGACGCCATGCCTTAAAATGGCCGAAAAATTAGCGAGATAAGTGATTTTAATTAATACACTCATTTCTTGTTGAGTACTCTTGGGAAAAACTGAGCTGCCGCCTTAAACGGCCCGGTACACGGTCGAAACCCCCAGGTACACATGCAATAAAAAATGATTGAGATATTTATTACAGTTCTTGATACATTTTTTTATATTGAATTGGAGGAGGTACCCATGCAGACATTTCAGTCCACTATTTTTAGTATTGTTACATCATTTTTACTCTAGTTGCCTGATAGAAACTAGTTTTTGTTTTTTGCAGAATGAACTGTTAAATCTAGTATTTTAATTATTGTAGCATGTGCAGAAAAAGGAAAATTATTGACATTATTGTATTAGTAATTTTATTAGTATATTGATTTTTTTCTTCACTGTGGGCCGACAGTTGCTGCATTGAATTTAACTCGTGACCGGTGGTTAACCTCGTCAATGCTGCGTAGCCTGACGATTCTTAAATTATAGACTTAAATAGAAACGGGTAGTTCCGATTTCTAAAATTGACGATGGCTTCATATTCATTCAAAAAAAAAAAACAAGAAAAAGTTGATGCATTAGGAGCAGCGCGTAGGTCTGAAGATCAACAAAGAAAAGACAGAAATGATGAAAATTAACAATAAACAGGAGGCTCCAGTGACAATAGACGGAAGACAGGTAAACGAGGTGCAAGAGTTTGTCTACCTTGGCAGCAAGATCAGCAAAACGGGAGGCACAGAGGAGGACATACGCGCTAGAGTTAATAGAGCCCGCTGCGCTTTCACAGTCCTACGACCCATATGGAAAAGTTCGGCCATCTCCATTACCACAAAAATTAGGATATTTAACTCTAATGTCAAGGCAGTTCTGCTGTATGGAGCAGAGACATGGAGAGTCTCCAAGGCAAGCACAGCAAAGATACAGACCTTCATGAATAGATACCTTAGACAGATACTGAAACTGAGATGGCAGGACAAAGTGTTGAACTTGGAACTATGGAGGAAAGCTAGGCAGGAGCCTATAGGTGTGCAAATAAAAAGGAAGTGGCGCTGGGTGGGTCACACACTGCGAAAGGCTCACACAAATGTTACACGCCAAGCGCTTGAGTGGAACCCCCAGGGAAAGCGGAAGAGAGGGCGCCCAAGACAGACCTGGAGGCGGAGTCTTCTTGAAGAACTGAAGCCAACAGGGATGTCTTGGGAGATGTCAAAATTAATAGCCGAGGATAGGAAGAAATGGAAGGAAATGGTGGAGGCCCTATGCTCCATAAGGAGCAAAGAGGACTAAGTCAAGTCAAGTCATATTCATTAGTTTTATCCTTCTACCACATAATGAAAACGAAACTGGTCGCCATTTTAGTAATACGCTTCTAACACTTGGGCCGTGAGATGGCTTCAAAACAAGCGGAAGCTGTCAATCGAATGGCCTACCTATAAGCCATAGGTGAAAATATCAAAATTACATATGTATAAAAAAGTTTCAGTAATAGCTAACACAATAGTAAACTAAGTCAATGTAGCAAATATTTACTTTTTGTGTAAAGTAATTCATACTGAAAAGAAATTCCAAAGCCATGGTCAGCCTATTATGAGCTAGTTTAGAAAAAACTGCTAAACCTGTGACCTAATTTCATTAGTGGATTTCTCAAAAAAAACCTTACAGAAGCATATTCATATATCTTATAAATTAATGTAGGCCTAGATAGGTAGAAGTTACCAAGATTAATAAACAAATTTAAAAAAAACAATGTATAGTGCATTGGGTTGTGGATAATGGTAATAGAAAAATTTAAACTTTTGTGTTTTATGACAATATTTGTAAACAATGAACATACCATGCTTTTTTAATTGATAGATGGAAATATATTTATTTTAATAACATTGCAACTTCCAAAGCTAGTAATGTGAAAGAAAGGTGATTAATTAATATGGCTTTAAAAAGGCTTGTATTGTGATTTATTTGTGTCAAATTTAATAGATAAGTGACTTCCCATATCCTTTGGCTAACAGTGGGCTTAGGGGTCATTCTTAAATGATGTCATGCTTGTGTGACTTTCTGTCTCCACACACACACACCCCATGTCACAAGAAGCCAGATCCCTATTAAGAAATACTTCATAGGAATATATAAAAACTATCCATTATTACAGGTGTCCAAGGCTGTGGACGCACTTCTGCAGCTTGTCAAGAACTCAAAAAAGCAGGACTCTCTAATTGAAGAAATAGATGTGGTTCAGCTGCAAGTTTGCTTGAAAAAAATTCCTCCTAAAGAAAAATCAATAAAATTGTAAGTACATCTTGTTAAATCACATAAAATATTACCGTTAGCTGAATGTAATCTTAAAAACAATCAGTGTCTTTTTTTAAAAACTGCAATTTAGTTTAATGAAGATTGCTCTAGTCAATCGCTCATATGAGTATAGGCTCTATAACTGCATTTAATTTTCTTCTTTGAGGAAATTGCCACACTCATTAGCAAAGCCAGATCTTGATGTGTGCCTCTTTGTAAAAGACCTGGATAAAGAAGAAAGAGACTATGAACCTACAGTTCAACATTTCCAAGATCTTTTCAAGAAAAAAGGGATAACTACTGTCACAGATGTAATTAAATTAAGCCCTCTATTTTTATTTTATTTTTTGGAAGAAAATTTTTGCTGTTAAAAAACATCACTGCAGTATAATTTTTGTCCATTTTTACTTTCTCATATATACGAAGTATAGAGAGAGTCTTGTAATCGTGGGGAAAAAAAAATCGAGATTTTTACAAATCTCGACGTTTTACACCTCCCTGGGTCGGAAAAACATTTTTGCAATCTTGTCCGTATGTCTGTGTGTGTCTGTAAACACGATAACTTGAGTACTGTTACAGCTAGGTTGATGAAATTTCATATATAAGTATTTTATCAAAATCGTAGACCCGTATCAACTTTTGAGTGATTTCGGATAACCGGAAATGGTACTTTTTCTACTTTGAATATTTCAAAAGCCTATAACTTGAGTACTATTTCAGATAGATAAATGAAATTTCACATGTAAGTAAAAGATCTAATCCTCTACCTTCTATCCAATTTTGAGTAATTTCCGTTGACCGGAAGTAGTAATTTACGCTATTTCCGATTTCTCTAAAAACGCTTGTAAATTTATAAAGTACTAATAATATTCCGCACTATTATGCATATTTTGGTTTGGCTTTCGCTTGGTGCGCAATTCTTTTTCTACGAGATTCTATTCTATTTTTAAAAGTTTAAGCAATTAAAAATCATGTCTATATTCCGAGTTGCCATCCCACGTAGTGTTATATAAGAATATTCGAGAAAGTTTAGGGGAGATCACTCCCGGTTTATTTAATAAATATTGTACATTGTTAATAATCAATGTTTTAGAAAAAAATTAAGGTATATTCTAAATCATCTGGTGCATTGTGTACAGTTTTTGCTTATTTCATACTAAAAAGTATACTTTGCCATTATATTTTATGAAATAACATATCCATGGTAAACTTATCCTGTGTTTATCTTAAGACTCCACTTTAAAGGTACTAGTATTTGATAGTTAAACAATGAATTATATCCATCTTAATGAATCTTATATATTTTTATATAATTCTAGATTGTTCCTCTCAAGTCACTTAAAACAGAATACAAGCCTTTTGAAGCCAAAAGAAACTTGTCGAATGCTTATGATATTTTCTTAGCAGATTCAAGAATAGTTCGTCTGTTACCAACATACTTGGGAAAACATTTTTATGGAAAAAAGAAGTTAGTATGAGTTACCTTCCTTTCAAATTACCATTCTTTGTACTGTCTTGGTTATTTAATAAATAAAAATGTTAAAAGAAATATTGTTAAATTAAATTTTACTAATTTCTGTATATATTAGAACACCAGTGCAAGTCAATCTACAGGCTAAAGATTTAAGTAAAGAGCTTAAAAAAGCACTGGATAACAGCATATGTACAATCAGTTCAAAAGGATCTTGCAGGTAAACATTAAGATTTTATTGCTTTACTGCTCATGTTTAAGCCAGTTTTGTGTAGGTTTAAAGTATGCCACTAGCAGCAGGATTCATGTGGCCTCCAAAGGTCCTGGAAAACTCATGAAATTTTTGAAAATCTCTCAAAATTTAGTGAATCGTGAAAATCCAATTGAAATTTTCATTTTTGTTCCCACAATCGACAAGTTGTACTTGATCTAGCTTTAGATGATGGGCGAGCGGAAGTGATACCCGATACGTATATATAAAATGTTTTCTTGATCTAGTTAAAAATAAATGTATCAAGAAATATACACGTTCCAAACAATCTCACCAGTGTGATCACCGCTCCTAGTTTCTTGTTAAAGAAATTCTCGACAATTACTATGTCCCTTTATACTTCACCCAAACCAAGTAATTTGGAAACGTACTTGGTGTCATTGAGAGTGCACATGTTTGTAGTCATAGTACTAGATCTAGCAACACACATTTTTTCAAGGATGTGACTTTTGGCAGATTTTCAGTCCGAAGTTTCCACTGATGTTTTCATTTAAATATTTTTGCAAAACATTGTTAAAAAGTAGATCTATTATTAGTATTATAAAGTTTCAGCCTGGTTCGTGTTTGATACAGCTTGTTTTAGGGGGGGGGGATGTCTTCACTGCCAATCTCAAATAGTGTTGTTCCTGCGGTGACGTGCACTCTTGGCCTACTATATTCTGACCTCAAATGAACTCCCTGTAACCTTTCTGTCATTTCTTGTTTGGTGGGAGGGGGGGGGGGGGGAAATAAGATACCGGCAACAAATTGTCTATAACATTTTCCATCACATGAACAAATACTTTCAGGCTTAGTGTTAAAAAAATGCTTGATACCTTGTCCATCTTTAAGAATCTAAGACATTATCATTAGCTTGATAACAAAGTGAGCAACTAGATCATTACATTCACAAACTACATTAGTTAATTGATGAAGGGGGAAGAGGGGGGGGGTCCGCGTGGTCGAGTCAGTAAAGCTCATTGTTGCTAAACCAAAGAGTCAGTAAAGCTCATTGTTGCTAAACCAAAAAGGCTCTAGTTCGAACCTTCAGGCATTATGAGGTTCATTAGCTGGGGACAGCCAGTCTTTTTTTTTTACTATTTCTGAATTCTAAATGTTGGTTTAACATGATTTTTAATTAACTTAGCCTTGCAGTCGTGGGAAACATCCAGATGTCCAGTAATGTGATTACTGAGAATGTTGTTGCTGCTGTGGACCAAATAACAAATGCTGTATCAGGAGGTGCTGACAATGTGAAACTGCTAAGTTTAAAGACAAAAACTTCTTTGAGCATACCTATATACTTGAATGAAGGTAATGTGAATTTGGTTTGTAATTAAAATGTGTTGTAGGCATTGTGTCTGGAATATTTATAAAGTAATAAAGAAGTTTCAATTTAAAAAAAAAACAACAAAAAACTTATTGAATTGCTTTGTTTTGATGTCTATGTCATATTTTTAATATTTCCAACCCTCTAGGTGGTCCTCAAGCTATAGTCATTGATCGTGAAGAAAAGAATAAAGAAGTGGTTGAAGCAGAAGAGATCACAACATTAGTTGGTGCGAAAGTTAAAGTTTATCCTAATGGACGTATACAGATAATCAAAGACGGGGAACCAGACAAGCCACCAGTAAAAAGACAGATGAGGAAAAGGAAACGACAATCACAAAGGAAAATTGCAAAGCCAAAAAAAATTAAAATCTAAATAAACATTTAAAAATCAATGTGGTTGAGATCTTTTGTAGATTATTTTACAACTTATTTAGTGAGTAAACCAGAACAAAAATTTGCAGCAGTATATAGATTTATTTAAGTATAAAGTACAAATCTATTATGGAACATGTAATCTTAATACAGTTTTAACAAAATGAAGAATAAGAATACTTCACTCAGTTTTAGTTTAGAAATGTTTTTTAAAATACACACATTTGAAATATTTAACAATAAGCATGCAACAAATATTTCCCATATGTGTTTCACTTCAAACTTGTGTAGTCAATACTCATAACTTAGAAACCAGAAAGTTGCACGATTTAGCAGTAATAATATGTATATTTTTAAAACTTAATGAGGTTTAACTCTAACTTGTAAGTTGTATAAAGCTCAGTGCTCATCTTTATTTAAATTCAGCTCAGCAGTGCACTCTACTTTTACAAAAAAAAGGTAGAGAAACAAGTGTGAATATCAAGCACTGTCAACTGAGTAGAGAAACAAGTGTGAATATCAAGCACTGTCAACTGAATATTATCTATAAGGGGTGTCCAAAGAAGTATTGCTGCATTAGTGACATAAACAAGTTTTAACAATTTCCTTTCAAAATTTGTGAAAATCTTAAATCTAAGGCATCAGGTTTGATATCAACTTTAAGAAAACAAATCAATACACAATTTATTATTGTTAAAATAGGTTCATTAATTTGACTAGAGAATGATAATTAGTGTAGATATCCACAAGGTTGTGTGTGGGCAGTGGTTTAGTAATACTCTCAAGCAGGTTAAGATTTGATAACTTAAATAATAGTACAGGCAGTATCAAAAAATTAGTTCTTTTACTTGGTTTTAGAATCAGGGGGGGGGGGGGGCCTGATTATTAAAATAGACTGTTCAAGGTGCATGGTAGTGCACGGAGCAGGAATTACAGGATATTTTCTATAATCCGGCAGACAAACCGATCATTTAAGCCTAGAAATGTCATCAATGCATCCTGTCATGTTGCAGTCTTCCAGTCAGAGGTCACTAATGAGCCATTACTGACAGGTTTTTAAGAATGTCATTAAAGTGGTGTAAAAATGCTAACATGTACTTGCATATCAAGATTTACCCAAGCAATTACTTATATTTACTTTTACCCCAATTATTACCATGACACCTTTTCTTTGTTTACCTATGAGCATTCTTTTTACTTAATTCAAGTTTTTTAAAATCTTCAACTACTCAAGCTGAAGTTTTATTTCATTTAAAAAGATAAAAAAAAGAACCAAAGCTGAAAATGTAGAAATCTACGTTTTCTGTGAAAACCCCACAATTTACACAATAGAAGTTTTTAGAACAGCATTTATTTATTACCAATATTTACATTTTTAAAGGTATATTCTTAAATTAAAATCCTTATCTATTATGTATAAATAAAAGTATGTTTATCTGTGTGTTCCCGTCTGTTATGGATTACTACACCCTTCATCTGATCAGCAAATAACTGAGAAATTTTCGAGAAAAACTCCTGGGAGGTTGACAGAGCACTTGATTCAATTGTCAAACTGTAATGGGCGGTCAGGTGACCTAGAGCACCCTGGGCTCCACCATGAGCACTATGGTGCCTACTATTGTTTTAAAGAGCACCCTACACTATGAACACGGTCGGCATCTACAGTGTTTACATCACCACTACAGTTATGTAACAGCAACCCCCCAAGAGTGCCCCTGACATATAGAACACACCTGGAGAGTGATCAGCATACACTCAAATCTTTTAGGCAGTATGCCCTGGGCAGTAGGGTGGACAAACTAAGAAAGATCCAAAAAATATATCGCTGGCTTTGAATACCTTTAAACAACTCACAATTTGAAGACAAGACAATGTGTCTAAAAATACATTACTGCTTAAGTGTTAATGAAACCTTTATAAAATGTTTCATTGCTCTGTTGTGATGGTTACCCTAGTATAAAATAAACCTTACAATTGTTTGAAATTTAAACTGTTGAAATGGATTGGATCAATGTATTGCACCTGAATTTGAGTTTTTATTTTGTGAGCTCTTTTGTTTAGCAAATTTCATGAGTTAAAATATAGATATTTAACATATACACTTTTTTTACACACAGTATATTTCAATGAAGATTATTTTTTTAAATTAATTAATTAATTATTTTTTAAATGTACATTATAAATTATCAACATTTAAAACTATTAAATATGTATTCTCTTTAATTGAAATTATATTTAAAAAGCTTACCCAGGTAATTTCAAACAATTATTTGGCTCTGGTATTATATAAATATAAACCTGCTGCATAATAATTACAATATATAAAAAAATCACAAACACTGAATCTAATAAAGTATAGTTTCATGATTTCTTGCTGGTCCTATTGAGTAAGTGCGTGAAGCACTACTCATGGCTTTGTTAGTTAAAACTAGCTCAAGCTCTTGAAAATCTTTGAACCTTTTCACATCCTTGTCTTTTCTAACTATTGTATCAGGTAGTTTACGGATTTTGGAGACAAGATTTTTATCCACTCCAAGTTCAGCACACAATAAGTTTAGTAAAGAACTAAAGTTTAAACTGGAGAAGCCAAGCTCAACTTCAATGAAGTCTTTTTCTTCACAATTTGCAATCCGAGCTTTCAACACCAATTCTACAATAAATAATGTGGCATGATTTCATTAAAAGGGTAGATTACTTGAACCCAATAATGTCTACAATGTAAGTATACTACTAAAAATTCAGAAAGAGCATAGTATGCATACAAAAATATAAGGCATTTCTTAAAGTATTTTTTTTTTTATGATTGGAGGGGAATATTATTTTGTGATGTATTTTTAATAAGGCTGGAGTAATCTCCCCTAACTTCCTCGTATATTCTTATTTATTATTAAGGGAGGTAGCACTTCCAGTGCAATCAGGATGAAGAAATGTTTCTACTTTTTTAATACTTAAAATAAAATTGCTCACCAAATGAATGCATACAAATGTGTATTATTATAGTATAGAAAATGAGAAAACATGATAAAGTAGGAGGCACAAAACTGTGAAAACTGTCAAAATATCTGTTAATTATTCAGCATGATTACAATACAGCCTCTATACTCTATGAGAAAGTAAAAATTTACCAGTAGCATAAGGATTCCCTTCTTTGTATCTTCCATTAATGTAATCACCACCGGCTGCTTTGTTGGGAACACTGTGATTAGAGTAATTCACATGAACAGAGTGTGAATCTCCATTGTCAGTTTCAGCATATGGAAATGGTGGGTTGACTAAATAATTTGGTGTTATTGGCAATGGAACAGCTTTTACTTCTATATCTGTGGATGCTGCAAGTACAGTTAATTTTATTATGAGTGCACAACAAAATAAATATTTGGTATTGTTGGTTTTTTTAAATCACATTTTTGTCCATTACAATGAAAAAATACTAAATTCTAATTAATGTTACCTCCAAGTAATTGTCTTATTTCCTCATTTGATGTTATTTGAGCTGGTGTATTGCCATCTTTATTTGTGATAGATTTGTCAGCATTTTTGCTCAGCAAATATTTAACAACATTCACATGGTTTCTTTTACTTGCCCAATGTAATGCTGTCCTGTTAGAAATAGACACATTTTTACACTAAGCAATCATCTATCCATCAACACTAGTGTTATTTAATAGTATATACATAAAGCTGCCTCTTACAAAAACTCTTGTGATTTAATGCTGTAATATGGATTACTCAAACTCTAATATAGTTAATAATCCAAATTAATCACATATCAATGATAATTTCTTCATAAAAATTAATAGTTGTGGAAATACAGGTGATTTGTTCCATCTGTGAAAAACTACTACTTGATAATGAGTGAGTTGATGACATAAAAATTAACAAACAACAATTTTGAAATTAATTTTAAAAGTAGACTCATATATTTTCCAAGATGGACAGACCATACATTAAGGAAACTGGCTATTAGTGTTACCAGAAAAGGTAGGCCTATATGATGGAAAAGATAAAAGGGAGACAAAAAATAAAATCTCAAATAAAAAATCTATATTTATAATTCTCTTCATGAGGACCATGCAGGACAAGACGTAGATGCATGCCGTTACTCCCCCGCTCTCTAGGCAAATCGCTACCACCCCCACCAATCTAGTGAGCTTTGGTTCAAGACGAATGCTTACAATCGTAGAGACGGGTTAGTGACTGCTATTAGGGGCAGATAATTTAGTATTAATTAAACAATTTGAAACAAAGGGGAGGTAACAATTTCTGATTGATCTTGTCATTGTCTGTAAACGATTGCTTTCACTGGGCAAGGGGGGGGGGGGGAAGGGAGGGCGGGAAAATTAATAACAACTAGATGGCGGCTTATGCTATGTCGTGGGTCAGCTCGTAACATTTAAAATAAAAAAAGACTTTTCATCACTAATCAGACTAAAAAAAAAAAATTTATTACAAATGAAAAAAAAGGAAATAAAATAAAAATTAAATTTTGTCCCCCCAAAATTTCATGAATAATACATAAGCAAGCTTAGAATACTTAGATTATTTAGCAAAGAATATTAAGTAGGTTATTTCCTTTTGTCCCAATTTCTAGCATTTAAAAAATCTAGATAAGGATTACCTATGATGATAACTCACAGACATTTTTCTCTGAATGCATTTAAAATTTCCAGAGTGGAGAATGCACTTAAAATTTACAAGGGGGAGGATGCTGGTCAAAGTAAATATTTCTTAAATAAATAAAAAATTTGTTCCACTTTGTCGAAGAGGGGGGATGGGGTGGGGGTGTGTGAAGAGATGCCTGAAAGAAACTCTATTGGGAGGTAGTGTGCTGTTGGGTAACGTGAGAACTGTACCAGGGTGTCAGTTGCCCATGCAGTCATATGACTAGGAGTAATACTTTGGCATCAATATTGGTTTTAAAGAGCACCCTACACAAAGGGGTTTATTGGACTATTACAATCTATTACCAAACCGAAACAGGGCTGCAGCGGTGCTACTGCAGTAGTTAGAAAAGTGGCTCCCATTAAAGCACTGCAACACTCCTTACAAGGGGTGTTCTACCTCACCCTTGTGGAGGGAGATTAACATAGCCTACACTAAAGTTCTGGGTCATTTTTTTCTTATACAATCTACAATAATGATAGGTGTTGTTAGAAAATTTAATTAGGTAATTCTAAAAGTACATCATTGGTAAAAATAATATGCTATCATAACAAGTGTACATGAATTTCTTTTCCTCTGAGATAGCAGCAACGTTCGCAATGGGTATGCTTGTTTTGTATACAAAACTTAAGTAGCCTATTTTTCTGTACAGCTAGACAGGTTGAATAAGACATTATTATTCATTATAAGAAATACCTTGGTGCTGAAATGCGGGGACACTTACTCTTTGTTTAGGCTATTTGTTTTACGCTTACTTATACTTTTAATTTTACTTTATATTTAACAATCATAATCTACTTAGTTTAGTACCTAATCCCACTAATTACTTACCAACCATTCATAGCATTTTTGCTGTTTATGTCAATTCCTTGTGATTCAAGTTTGGCTACCAGAGATAAATCTCCCACGCAAGCTGCTTCCCTTAATCTTTCACCGCTATCGTCTCCTAACGACATAGTCTAGTCTACTAGTACTACTCTACTTACTAAGGCAATTACTATAGCAGCTAATTAAATTAAGTAAGACTAAAGTCTTAAAGTACTCTGAAGTTGATTTAAATTAAAAACCGACATAAACTGTCACATATAAACTTACTTTTTTAACTTATTAGGCTTAAAAAAAAAATAATGATTAAAGAAAGGCCTATCCTATTAATACTATTATTAATTAATATTATGGCCCTGGCCTACTGTATTTTTAAAGTATTATTAATTAATAATTATTAATTAATGACTAGATCTAGATATCTAGAAGATTTCTACCACTAACAACAAGAGTTTAGTTAAGTTTAGTTAAAGATAAGAAGAGAAAATTTAACTAGAATCTAGATTCTAGATCTAGATTTATAGATTATAGTAGAAATCTAGATAGATCTCTGATCTAGATTCTATAATAGATATATAATATCTCAACGATATCTCGGACTTTATCTCGCTTTAATCTTGGAGAGTTTGTTTTGTTACAGTACAGAATCTAGAATCTAGTATTGTTGTCTACAGACACGGTTGTGTACAGTTTTAGTTAGTAAGACTACTATAAAAAAAATACCAATAGAAATGAGTAAGTACCGTACATCAGTATATAAAGGCTCTTAAAAAGATAATGCAATGTTTTTTTATCTTATGAAATTTATGTACTGCTACTAAAAAAATCATTTCAATTTTTAAATAGACGTAACTGCTTGCAGTAGCGTGGCGAGGGGGGGGGGGGGGCGGGGGGGACATATGTCCCCGGGCGCCGACCTTAGGTGGGGCGCCAAATTGAAAGTTTGAGGGGGGTAGCAAATGAAAAGTTCGAGGGGGGGGGGTGCAAATCGAAAGTTTGAGGGGGGGGGGGGTGCAAATGAAAAGTTCGAGGGAGGGGGTGCAAATCGAAAATTTGCTCCCAAGGGGGCGCCAAATTGAAAGTATGTCCCCGGGCGCCGGGAAGGGTCGCTACGCCTCTGACTGCTTGTATTCAAGACTCGATATTTTATTATTATGATAAATTTAGTTGGCTTCATGAGCAGTATTTCTTCCAGACTTTTTTCTCCGGGAGGGGGAGGGCGGACTACATTTTCCGGGGGGGGGGGGGAAATTTTACCTTACTCAAATTTCTACGTGCCCATGATTGACAAGTAACAATGAGATTAAACATTTTTATTAATTATGTGCAACATCGCAAAGTAGTCGCAAAGGTATTTCAAGCCGATCGGGAGCCTCTGTATCTGGAATGAATATGAGGGTAGCCAATATGTTGAGGCGCTTTTTACTGGGTCGTTTTGTCGGGGCCGATTTGTCGGAGGCGGTTTGATGGGAACGTTTAATGGGGCCATTTTGTCACAAAAAAGCACTGTAGATTATACAAAAGCTTGTTCTTAAAGGAGGGACGGAGTGGTCTAGCGGTAGAGAGCTGGACTGCTAACCCGTAAGTCTCGAGCTCGCATCCCTACTTCACTTGCCCCATAGACCGACAGGTTTGAAAGGGAAACTTTTTACTTTGTTCTTAAAACGTTTTTTAAAATTGTTGATTACCTATTGTTTCAATACTTTTACAGATAAACATAAACTGGCACGTTTGAAATGGTTTAGAACTCTAGGGTACAGTATTGTCGATGATTTGATTATTTATTCGCTTGTTTTATTTATTACAATAAATACGACAACTGATTAGGCCTACTCTTCGTAAAAAGAGTATGAGAAAGAGAAACAACTACCTAACCAGGACTAGATCTAGATCATAGGTTAAAATTAACTTTAACACATATTCAATTTTTTCGTCTGAAGTAGAGAAATTTCAATTTAATGTTTAGTCAAACCCAATATTTATAATGCTTCTTTTTAAACATTGCTTTTTAAATATACTAATAGCAATGTATTAGCTAAAAATAAAACTTAGTATAATAAAGCTGCGAATGTATTATTAGTTATAAGAGTATAAAATTCTCCATGAGTTTTAACAGGCATACAACTTGGTAGCTTCCGGTTTCAAAGACCATTATTTTGGTGTTTTTGTGCAATATTTGATGTTAGATAGATATTTGTTAAAGAGTTTTAAAGACTAGATCTAGTAGCAGATCTACATTAATTATTGAGCTTAAAACTAAGAAGTAACTACGCTACTGTAGCATAAAAGGAGAATTGAAATATTCACACCTAGATTTCTATACCTGAAAAATTAATTTGAACTTCGACTTACTTAATCTGTAATGTAAATCTACTGAATAGGAGTTTAAAAGTAAAAGTAAGTAAAATATTTTTTGCATTTTGGTAATCTACTTAACTACTTACCACTTTATCCAGCGTTTTAGGATAGTAAAATCAGCTGAAGCTAGATCTAGTACTGTGGGGAAGAGGCAACTAATGAAAATGGTTTAATTTTAAGGCCAATGCTATCCGGAAAAAGATACTAGGGTTGTCGGTATCGGCCGAGATCGCGGTAAAAACATGACCCGAAATCGCCCATTACTTTCTGATACCGGGCGCACGAGATTTGGTTTTGCATACTAATAAGTTTTTAATTTATGGTAATTAATTAAGTTTAAAAGGTCATTTCCTAATGTTAAATGAAAAGTAGAATGGTTTTCCCATTGTTTTGATGGCTTAGCGATCTGATCGCACGCTGTCTCTGCTTTGGTCTTCCGCCTGTATGAAGGCTAGTTTCAAATACGTTGGAATCACGATTTTTTAAAAGATTATCCTAGGTGAGAGTAGATTACTGATCAGACATATCTTAAGTATGTGGAAATGAAATTTGTTTTTGGATATTTTGACTCCGACATTAGTTATACTGCTCCGAACGTAGTCACTGTATGTAGGTCACGCTGCCACCATTGTTATATTTTGTCATCCCGATCTTCCGGCCTTTAAGTTTGATCAACTAATAACAGCATTCTTATGGCATGTGCAAACAAATCTCCTAATTTTTTTATTTCAAAATATATTTACATACCCATCTTTATTTTTTTCAGCTCTAGTTCTAGTTTTGCAGAATATGTTTTTCCTAAAATCCAATTTTGTCAGACTAGACTGACAAGAGTCAGACCTAGATCTAGGTTACCTGTCTGTTGCTATCTAGCATTGTGCTAACTGTAATTTTAAGTATTCAAGTTCTACTTACCCTTAGATATAGTTATATGCTGAAAATCAGAATCCATACACAATTCACACATAAAAACATTGATCTGATAACTTCAAATGTTATTACAAAATGGCTTTTATATGGACTCTACTTCACCTGCCCAAAATAACAAGGCAGTTATAGACACATTACAGTGTTCAAGTCATTTACTTTAGATTTCTGACTATGGAGTTCTTTCATTCACTGTATTTATATAAAATATTGCTTTAGAAACATTTTCATATTTGCGCAGCAGTTTTATAACAAAATGGCTTAAAGATGGACTCTACTTCACCTGCCCAAAATAATGAGGCAATTATATGCACATAACAGTGTTCAAGTCATTTACTTTAGATTTCTAACTTTGTAGTTCTTTCATTTGCTGTATTTATATAAAATATGGCTTTAGAAACATTTTCATATTTGCGCAGCACACAGTTTTTTGGGGTTATGGGAGGAAGCCAACACAAAAATATAAGTTCTGTATTATTTTTATTCATTTCAATAGCATTTACAAGTTCTATATATCATTCTAGTTAAACTCTGCAAATATGAACAAAATACAACTGCAAGTAAAATAACTATGCTCAATTTATTCAGGTATACCATCACTTGTCACAATTGGCCAATGCAAAAGCAAGGGGATTCCACCCCTCACAAAAAAATTCGCTAAAAAAAAACTATTTGAGCTAGACAGAAAATCTTTTTTGTTTTGTTTTCATATAGTCAGGGGTGCCACTTTTCCGGGATATCCCGGATTTCCGGATTCGAGAATCATATTTTTTTCCCTTTCCGGATTCGCAAGATTTGAGTTTGAAAATTTCCGGGTTTGCAGTTTAAAATTTTTTTTAGATCGTTTTAAGCTTGAAAATTTTGGCATTGTAAAAATCGTTTTTATCGTCAACACTCCCGCTAATGGCCTTTTCCGAAAAAAAAATGAATAGTAAATGACGTCAGCAACAATCTCACGCGTGCGCCAAGGACCAACTACTAATCGGCTGTATCAGATGGGTGAGACTGTAGAAGGAACTTTTTGAAGTCATTCGTGGTGTGGCTATTTATGACGATATGGGTTGGGGTTAAACTCGCATTATTTACGTGATGTCATCAATGGGATACCGCTAGGCTGTGTAATAAAAACAACTAAATTCTACCATTACTAGCATCGCCGATCGTCTTTAAAAAAAAACAACCGAAAGATTTTGCTCCGATCAAAAACAAAATTGTGTATTTGGTATTACCAAAAGAAAAGAAAAAAGCTATTTGGAGTACTATTTTATGTATGAAATAGAACTGTGCTGTTTTCACTCAACTTTACCGTCACTTTTTACCATCTCTTACCCGCTTCTTCAAGGTCGCGCTGACCGTAAGACCTACGTCACGAGGACACGCAAGCACAGTCTGAGTCGTGTCTCTCGGTCAAGGCAGCTCTACAAGTACAAGCGCTGTTTAATTTTAACGTGTTTATTTTTAATAAGGGCCCACTTCTAGATTCAAGAAAAAAAAAATCTGCATCGTTTTATATCATTAAACAAAATATGTAGGCCTGCTATAATTTAGTTACACGATCTAGCAGGGTCTACATCTAATTGTTTTTTTTTTTACTTTGGTAAAACGTCATTGAAATGTTTAAAAAATCTTGAAGTACCGTGTCTGAGAAAATAGCCGCTATCACTGCCCCCTCTGAACCACTTGTAAAAAAATAATCCGCTTTTCACTTAGTCGGGCGGCTACATCTCTGACATGAGTATTACTAGCGTAGAAAATTATTTTTAAAATTAACTTAACTCTGTAATTCCGCGACATGAACTTAAAACTTCCACGATATTTCTTCACGTCATCATGTATATAAAAGGTGGGGGCATTGGGGTCGTTCATAAATGACGTCACACTCGTAGGGGGAGGGGGGTCCGTAATTTTGTCAGGAGGGGGAGGGGTTCAGATGGTGTGACATCACACTTTTGCATTATCCAAAAGCTATGTTAGAAATCGAATTTTAGCCGTTATTTCGCGGTCAAGAATATTGTTTCAATAAAGTGTAATAGGAATTGATTAAAATACTATATGTTGACAGAGGTCAGACAAGATTTTTGGAAAAATATCGTATTTTAAGAAAAATTCAACTGCAATTTTTAGGGGGGGGGGTGTAGGCTGAGGCGTGACGTCATTTTAGAGGGTGGGGTCTGGCTTTTTGTGACGATATGTGACCGAGGGGAGGTGGGAGGTAAAAATCGTCAAAAAAGCGTGACATCATTTATGGATGACCTCATTAGTGTTGATTGGGAAAACAGGGTTTAAGGTTTTTGTTGTGGCTGTTAATAATTAAAGCCTTGAATAGCTACAGTAAGTCAACCCTGTATTTTAATACAGTGACAATCTTATTAGGGGTCTGCATATAGTGGGCTTATTATTCAACAACAAGACGTAGAGGTTAGCAAAATATTTGTTACTTAACAGTTGGCTGACTGACACTTTAACTCAAGCTAGGAAGTTCTAAAAAATTAAATAGTTATGTTATAAAAGCTGTCTGGGGGGGGGGGGAGTTCTACAATAGCACATTATGGGGTAGGCCTAGTGATGGGACTAACGTTGTAAACTAATTTTGTTGTAAGCACAATCCTTTAAAGATTATTTTTTATTTGAAGCTTGTTACAAAGAAAATAAATCCATTTTAAAGGAATGTAAATTGAACATAATATGAATCAAATGTCTCAAAAATAATGAAATAATAGTCCATTTTATTTTGAAATTCCGCGCGGAATTAAGTTTCAGGGTTTCAAAAATTTCAAATTTTAGTTTCAGGATTGGTAAAATTTTGGGATTCATTTTCAGGATTCACTTAAAAAATGAGTGGCACCCCTGTATAGTTGAGCTCTACAAGAATATGTAATTTTTATTTTTATAATATGATTAGTGTTTTTTTACCAAAATCCCTAAAGATACGCATGCCCAATGGAGAGAAACTAAGACTTGTCATCGCAGTGATGGATTCGATGGTACTGCGCATGCGTGTGTTTACAACCGCAGAACCTTACCCTAATTCTAACCCTAGCCATAAGTCACTGCGCAAGCGCAGAACTATCTATTGCCGACTTTAAAGTGGAGATGTTGGGGAGAAAAATCTTTTTCCGAGTAGTCACTTCGTTAATTTTAATACTAGTCTAGATTAGATAGTAGGCCATTCAGTTCATAGCTTTCTTGTTTGTTTGTTTTGATGTCATCTCACCGCCTGTGCTCTTAATAAAATGGCAACTAGCTTCGCTTTCACTATGCAGAAGAGGGATAAAACGAATGAAGTGACTACTCGGAAAAAGATTTTTCCCCCAAGTGCTATCTGGCTGGCAAAAGATGCAAAATGCAATAATCTAAATATCTGTGCAATTGGCTATAATTAGATACTTTTAAAGCTGCGCAATGGGCTCAATTTATTCTTCTGTAGCTGTTCAATGGGATCAATTACTCTTTTTAGCTTTATTCTTCTGACAAAACTATCTGTACTGTGTGGTCAAGCAGTTGCGCTTCAGGCGGGTTGTCAGGGGTTGAGGGTTTATAGTAGATCTATATTCTATAGCTAGCAAAGAGTTCTAGTCTATAAGTAAAGTATAAAATATTTTTCAAAATCTATTTTAATAGTCTACTAGCCAGCCAAGCCCTGCACTAGCCTCTGCGAAAAACCTATCTGTAAAGGACCATGACATGTGTGTTTAGTAATCAGCATATACCTGGCATTGCCCACCCTAACCACAACCAACCAAAACCAAAACACAACAAAAAAAAGTAGTAAAACTTTACACTGTAAAATGTACTGTTAAAACGTCTGCTTATAAAAAGGTACGCACTATGGTGAGGTAAAAAAAAAGATGACCTTCATTATGATTAGTGCGACAGACAAAAACGAATTCCCCTTCGTGCCAAAAAAAGACAGATAATAACCTGCGGGAATTCTCGTTTCCAAGTAAAGATGTCTTTTGTTACGTCAACTGTCTTTGATTAAAATTATAATTAGTTAAGAGTACGTTCAGTGTATAAAATAAAGGCAGTATTTAAAATACCTCACATTGCACTTGATCAATCCACGCTAATTATGTAATTATTTTTTTCCCAACACCAAACAAAGTAATAAAATTAAAAACTATCACTAAGATGATTTTTTGACGGTAGTTGAGTAACGGATTTTGACCCCTCACTCATTCAACTCGCAGGCCTTTTTTTTTTTTACTGTTCAGCGTATTTCTTTACAAATACCTGTAAATTGTGCAGAATTAAATATCCTTTAGTGGGATACTAAACAAAAAAAATGCATAATAGACTAAATATTTTAAATGTTAAACAAACTAAGAAATTTGAAAATTACCCTGTGATTCTATCATCGAATACATTTTTTTTAGCATATTCAGAAAGGTGGTCCTTTTTTCTGTTAAAACACTTATTTTGTTTATCAGTTCTGAGCATGGTCAAAAAAGGCGCAGAGCTTGACAAAACACACTAGCGATCACTAATATAGCTCTAGGTCCGGTCGCAGAAAATGGCAGTTTTCTTCATTAACAACGCACCACCAAGCTTTTCTACATTGATGTTAGCAAGTTTTAGAGGCTTGATAGTTCAGTAAAATAAATAAAAACATGTAGCTACTTAATAAACAAGTTTGTTAGTCTAGTTTTTATAGTTTATTTCTTCGGTATATTTTTATAATTAAAGCTATAAATGCCGTTCAATGATTAGACTTCCACGTAATTTTTCAGCTTTGTCCGATGAACGAAACCCTACTTCACTTTGTATCGGTGTCTAATTTTTTAATGATTGCTTAGTTAAAATATTTTTGTCTTTTCTGACAGAGGGTACTTTGAAAATTAATTGCAACATATTTTTCTAATCTTTTTAGAATAGCTGAATATTTTTTCTGTTAAATGTAAAAGGTCTGGGACCGTTTTAAAAAATCAGTTTGACACCCCTAATTTAAGTCTGTTATTTAAAAAATTGTCAGGTGTACTTTTGACCTAATTTCTTTGTTTGTCTCACAAGCAGCGCCTTGGTGGAAGTAGCTCTATGTATTCTTGTCTTTCAAATCAAATAACTCTCAAATACTGTTTCAATACCAAACCAGCCTATGTGAATACAATATTTAACTTTATGATTTAAATACTATTTTATAACATGTTCACTATTAAAAGAAAATAGAATTTTTTAATAAATTTTACTTTGGAAGCGAACATAGGAGCTGTAGCGCTCACGGGAAAGATTGCGGCGCCGGTGCGAAATTAAATTTTTTCCACTCAGAACTTCACAGGAGTATTCTAATCAACTCCTGAAAGTTTTATAGCACTTGAATAAACAGTGTCGAACCGCATTAGTCTTTCTTTTTTTAAAAATATACCGTATGGTATTAGAAATTAAAAAAAAAAAGATTTTTTTTTACAGAAACCTCATCTGGAGTGTTCTCATCAATTCCCCAAAGTTTCATGTCTATTGGATGAAAGATGTAGTAATGCATAAAAGACAGACAAACACACACACACACACACACACACACACATACATTGCTCTTTATATATATATATATAGATATGCACTATTATACTACACATGGATGCTTGACTGGATTCTATAACACAAACCCGTCTTCCCCGACTCTGAAATAGTTAAAGTGGCTGGGCATAGAACTGACCACACTATCTCTTTCTTGATATGAGAATCACATAAACAGATGTATTCTACTTTATCTACCTTATCAACAGTCAAGTCCCAAAAAAAAAAAAATTACTTTTTATACACATACATTTAATACATATTGTGTTTTTAATTTCAGGTGTGAAATTTTCTGTTGATTCCCTATTCAAAATATCATCCCATTAGTTACAGAAATAACAAACATAATGTGTTATTTAGTGGAGCAGAGAAAAAAGTAGTTGAATAAAAGATGGATTTTATGATATGTATTGCCTCTTCATTTTTAGATGGGACATAATGTTTTATACTGTTATTTCAAGTGGTCAGTCCACTTATGTGGATAGACATCAAGGCTGTTTTTCACTGTGCTATAGGAGAGATGAAATTACTAAAATGAAGTTGTGTGTGTGAATTCAGTTGTTGGAATATGTTGTTAAGAAGAGAAATGCACAAATGTTATAATTTCACATCCAGACTTTTCTCATTCAAAAGACGTTCTTTGTTAAGAACATTGATCCTCATCTTGCTCCTTAGTTTAGTGTCCAGTTTATTTTTTCTTTATCGTGTCATGGACTCCAGCCTTCATCTCCCAAAAGCTAATCCTCCTATTCCTCACATTCGATGTCATGTGGCACCAACTAACATGAATCCTGAACCTAACACTCAATTCAATCATAAAGTAGATGAGCATGTCAAGCTTGCCCACCGTGCTCTACTTATTACAGAGATGCCGAATTCAAAGAATGGACAAAAAATTAGATACTTTCTTAATTCTTTGCGGATAGAGGTGAAATTCGAATCAAAATCAAAACCCATACCCACTTTGACAAATAAAAAATCTGGGAGATTTGCAGTAGTTGTATTTGAAAATTTCAACTCTTATTTGGAATTGGATAGCTGGAATAAACAATTGCTGGATAAATATTGTCATGAATATCATGTAGGCATAATTGGATTTGTGAAACCATCGGATAATGATGTGGATGGTTTCAAAACTGTTACTGACTATCATATAACATTTCAATACAACCTAGAATTAGAAGATTATAAATTAAATCCTGAATCTAGTCTGTGGCATATAATGCGACCAAGAGAAGTTTGGAAAGGTTTTTTACCTGACAAATGGACAGTTTTTCATAGCAACCATTCTACCTATCAGCCTTTAGCTTTTTCAAAACTATCATCTCATTTTTCGGAGCTACGCACAGATGATTCCAGGTATTTAAAACCATTAAGTTATGCAACAGCAGTTTTAGATCAAGGTGAAATAGATGGAATTTCAAAGGTTTTGTTTGGATATGACTTGAATTTTTGGTTAAATTCTGTGATAATGATGGATGCACTTTCTTATTTGTCATATGGCAAATTGGATCTTAAACTTGAACGGTACATACAAATTGATGTTGATGACATATTTGTTGGAAAAGAGGGGATTCGTATGAAAGTAGCTGATGTTGAGGTATTTTCAAATTATTTTTACATCATTGTAAATTGTATCTTATTTTCTTTAAAAATTACTTATGAAAATAATTCAATATTGATTATTAAAATAAAATGAGCTCCATCATTTTATTTTTTAAGAATCTTTTCAACAAAATTTACAATATTCTGGGCATAGGGGGCCTATGCTTCTGTGAAATGCTTTTAAGTAAAGAAATTTATACCCATTGTGACATGTTTACTTATATCTTCTTTATTGCTTTTCATTAAGGCTTTGGTAATGTCTCAAGAACGTCTGCAGAAAGAAATTGAAGGATTTCAATTTAATCTTGGTTTTTCTGGAGGATTTTTTCTTTTTGGTACTGACGAAGAAGACGATGGGGATCGTAAACTAATTGGTATGTTATTTAATATATGCACCTTTGATAAAAATAGTATGTCATGAGTTTAAAAGTAAAAAGATAAATTTGTAAAAACAAAGTTGTTACAAGATATTTAACTTTTTGGGACAGGTTTTGTTTAACTAAGTAAAAACATGTAAACTTAAATCGCCAGCCTTAAGCACAGAATCAGGAAGCTATGGAGGTTTATCTCTAGCACACTCTAATTGAAGAACTTTGTTTTTTATTGATGTAGAAAAATTGAATATTATACTTTTCAACAATAGTAAATTGAAGTTTGACGATTGGCATTCAAAGTAGTTAAATTTAACGTAGTTATCTAATTTAAAATGAGCTACTATTTTAAAAACATTAAAAACATCATCAAGAATTTACTATGTATTTTTAGAACACAGAAAAAAGTTTCGGTGGTTCAGTCATATGTTTAGGCATGAGCAACCACACAAGTTTCCTAAAGATTATATAGAAAAGGCCATGAGAATGAACAAACAGTTTGCTGAGGTATGCTTTGATTTTTTTTTCACTCAACAAATTCATTTAAATTTCAATAAAAAATTATTGGCATATTAAAATTATATACCTTTTCATAACCTGGAATGCTTTGTTGGACAGGGGTAAGTAGATTGGGATTAGAAAGATAACAAAAGCGGATGTTGAACAAAAAATGTTTAGGGACTTGATTGTAATAAACATAAATTATGATAGTTTTTAAAAATGAAGGCTTTTTTGTTGGAAATAAATAACATTTTAAAAATATAAAATAATTTGCCATAGTATATATATTGTATAGCCCTCTAATCATAAAAAAGTAACTTGATTTATTGCTTATAACAAAGTGTTGTTCACTTAACATTGAAATTTTTTGCACTTTACTGCAACACCCATTTTTTGGTCAACTATAGAGTCCTTGCAAACACGTGACCTAAATCACGTGATACCTACGCCCGCCGCCACAGTGGTGTACATCAGACGTAAACACAATCAGCTGTTCGCCAGCGCTGGACGTGTTCACCAGCGCTGGACGTGTTCACCGTATGTAAAGAATCGCGCCGCGAAAAAGGAAAAATATGTTAAAAAACTTGAACTCTTAGGAATTGAAGATCCTTATACAGTTATTGCCAGTTTCGTGGATAATATAAATATGTGGCCGAAATTTCTAAATAAAAATACTGTTAGTAATACCGTTTGCGTTTAGAGTTTAAGTAGACGAAGCTGATCAAATGCAGTAATATATTATAGGTTATCTACTGTAGCAAACGTGAGACCCATTAACTCCTACAAAACCCACACTACAACGGCTAATATAATCCATGGGTAATAACCAATCTGGGTAGCATGTTATACAATTTAAGACCCTTATAATCCAGCAGGGAAGTAATCAGACACATTAATACTGACGTTCAACCCTCATGATGGCTGCCCCCACCTGTATCTAGCCCACAATAAAACCAAAGAGGAGTCTGCTCTGCCCTCCCCTGAAAATGTCTTACCTCCGTGATACCCAGCCCCACAGAGATAGTATTTCTTATATAATTTTGACCCTCAGGGCCCAGCAGGGAGAACAAAGGGGAAAGTCCCACTGCTCTCCCCTCAACACTTCTCACCTCGGTGTCATGTTATGTCATTTATAGCACACATGGCTTATCAGGGGAAAGCATTAAGAATCTTAACTCTGAACAGCTACACACTAGTATACTAGCTACACAATAGGTGCCTACTGTAAACTACTAGACTGTAGGCCCTATGTAGACCTGCAATTGTATCAATTGTAGACTGGGTCCATTGTTATTATTCTAAACCATCTCACTTATAATGTTTCTAGCTTGATTTGTTTCTTTTATAAACAGTGGATTTAAAAAAAAAATTAGCCTATTCATTAACCAAATAATAATAATGTGGTTATTTGTTGTTGGCTGGTATGATCTAGATTGTACTACTAGGCTACAAAAACTTAGTAGACCAATTACTAGATATGAATTTGAATTTAATTAAACTCAGTCCAGTATCAGATACATATTGCTGTAAAAAGACAACAAAGTAGGTAGGCCTTAGTAATTTATTAAAGCCTTCTACTACAATAATATCAACTACATGCTTGTATAAAGTTTTTACAATTTAATTTAAGTAGCAGATTCTAGATCTAAGTCTAGTCATACAATCTATTTCAATTTCAGAAAATTTCGTTTGCTAAAAAAATAATTAGATAATAGAGCGAGATTTTAGATCTTAGAGACAATTAAATGCTTTATTAGGCCTATTATGACTACTTTTGATTTATTATGGGTGTATTTTGAATCGAATGTAGATCTAAAGTAATTAAATTTAAGTAAAGAAGTAGATCCTAGATTCTATGTCTACCCAGCGGAGCCAGGTATTAGGCCTACTATTAGATCTTATTATTCTTATTATTACTTTTGACTTTGTCTTTTACTATTAGTATTTGTGAAGGTCGAGCATATTTGTTTTATTAATAGTTATCTTTTATAATTAAAATGAAGTTTATTATTTTACTGTCCTTACCTGAAACAAAGTATCGAGAACTGCATTTGATCAGATTCGTCTACTTTAACTCTAAACGCAAACAGTATTACTAACAGTATTTTTATTTAGAAATTTTGTCCACATATTTATATTTTCTACGAAACTGTCAATAATAGTATAAGGATCTTCAATTCCTAAGAGTTCAAGTTTTTTAACGTATTTTCCCCTTTCCGCGGGTGCGGTTCTTTACATACAGTGAACGCGTCCAGCGCTGGTGAACACGTCCAGCGCTGGCGAACAGCTGATTGTGTTTACGTCTGGTGTACACCACTGTGGCGGCGGGCGTAGGTATCACGAACGGACATGACGTCATATGAAAGGACTCTATATTACCAATTGACAAATCTTTTTTTTTTCAATGGGCATTCCCCCCCCCCCCCCTTTTTTTTTTTTTTTTTACATTTTATATTTTAATTCTGTTTGTCATTGGTTGATTTTATTATCTTGATTATATATGCTTTCATTCTGAGACATCAATTTCAGAAGCCAACAAAATATTGTATACTAGAATCTATCTAAAAAAATAGTCAATTAAAAATTTATTGCAGTAATATGTTGTGCCAACTTTACTTACTTACAAGACAAATTTGACATAGTGGGAAGCATTTTTTGTTATATTTTAAACTTTTCAAAATTTTTCTATGCGCTGTATGGTATTTTAGATTAAAATAAAATTTAAAAATTGTTTAAGTTAAATGATGCTAACTTCTAAAAAAACAAAATCTCTTGTATACTAATGATATACTAAAAAATGTAAATTTTATTACAAGTTTTTCTTCAACTATGGAATTATTCAACAACTTGCCTCTTTTTGTGCCTTTAAATTAAAATCAAGTATTTCATACCATTTTATCTAAAAGGAAAATGATATTCAAGTATATGGTCAGTATGCAGTATCACCTCATCATTCGGGTGTATATCCAGTTTATGATCACTTATATTCTTCATGGAAGGAGGTTTGGGGTGTTAAAACCACAAGTACAGAAGAGTATCCAAGGCTTATGCCAGCTTGGAAAAGAAGAGGCTTCATACATAAAGGCATTATGGTACAGAGATTTTTTGTTTATCTCTTTTTTATGTTTTTAATTAGTAGCTTAAAATATATACTTAAATAATAAAGTTAAATCTTAAATAAAGTTACCATGGAGAGAATGTGCAATGTTTCAGGTTCTACCTCGTCAAACATGTGGCCTTTTTACAACTACTGTTTATGCTGCTGACTTTAGAGGTGGCTTGGAGGGTTTAGATTTGAGCATTCAAGGTGGAGAAATCTTCCAAACAGTACTTACAACACCAGTAAGTTTTAAAGCAATATAAAACAAGACAGTTATAATGTTTAATTCAGGCTTAGTTCAATCAAAATATAGGAAGAAATGTATATATTTTTTGCTTTGAGTTACAAGCAAAATAAGAAATAAAAGGAACCAGATCCGAGGGTTTCATAGTTGATCGTAAGGAAACCCCCGAAAAGTTGCCACTGATCATGCATTAAAGACACTAGCCTTCAACATTCTTTTATGGAGGAAGAAAACACTTCCTAACCAGGTTTTGTTTAAAATGACCTGCATGTGAAAGTGAGTAAAATGTGGCAAAAACTGCAACGGGCAGAGAAAAGCAGTCACGAATATTAAGCACAATTAATAATACATTATCAAGTAGCATACAAGTCCAACTATGTTAAGTGTATTTTAGTTCCATTATGTTTAGGGGTAAAGTGTAGTACTTAGTATGTAACAAGTAAGTGAATTAGACTGAAAGAGTTTAGCATTAGCACTGTGGAGAGTAAGTGAACAAAGCACCGCCTTCCATCTCCTACACCTCCGCCAGCGTCTGAACTCCAAAAAAATCACATTTTATAAAACCAGTTTATTTCTTTACATTCTCCTTTATTATGTTCTATAAACATTTGTTATTTATTAATACATTTAAAAAAAATAAAAAATACATAACTAAAAGAACTGGGTGGCATTTTGGGGTCTGGAACTGATTCATGGCTTTTTGTAACAACCTGAATAATGGAGATAATTGCTTTGATATGTGAAAAATTTGACATATGATCAATGTTACATTGTATCTGGAGGTACCACTGTACAACTTAACATAAAGTTCAACAAATATTTTGATAAACAATTTTCTCCTCAGATTAGCATCTTCATGACACATTTATCAAATTACGGCAATGACCGTCTGGCCTTGTACATGCTTGAGAGTCTAGTCAGTTTTATCAGATGCTGGACAAATTTAAAATTAATTTCTTTGCCACCATTGGAGCTAGGACTTAAATATTTTGAAATGTTTCCTTTAGATAAAGATCCACTCTGGTCAGTAAGTAAACTTTTTTTTTTCTAGAGATGCAAGATTTGTTTTTTTTTTTTTTTAAATTGTTGAACGATAAATATCACTATTAATCATTTACCGGCCTAGGCATGAAAACTATTTTACTTCCCCTATGGCCAGCCGAAAAGACAATGCATTTTTCAACCACAGCACTTTTTAAAAATAGTTTTAAAAAGAATAACCACTTCGTTAAAACAATTACATAAAAAGCAATATACACTAAAATGGTCCAAGTTTATTATGTATGAGGTTAAATAGCTTAATAATTAATAAAAGTAACATGAATCCTAGAAAAACGTAAACAAACTACTTATAATTTTAGTTCTATAAAATTTATATTTTAAATGCTTAAAAAAATTTCAACTTAGTCACTGGAGGTACTTTTTTCTCAATAAAAGCCCAATTCAACGTCAGAGGCATTTTAATTAGATTTAATTTCACTAATTATATTGCCCGTAATTTTGAGAAAAAAATCTTAACAACGTAAATGAAACTTTATTTTCCGCTTCCGCCGGTATCTTCAAAATCTTGTTATCAATGAGACTTCCGCTAATACGCAAAAATAAGTGTACTATATATTGTAGGGAGACTGTGGACGCACTGGACTGTACCACTCAAAATTTTTTCGGAAGATCGCGGTGCATAAGCTTGTAAAGGGTTAATATGCTTACTGACTTTTTAAAAAAATTCTTAAAACTCAATAGCTGATTCATTATGTTATTTTATCTTGATTAAAAAAAAAAAAAGTATTTATGTATGAAACAGAAATGTGCAGAGACAGGTGCAGCTTTATGGACACTTCCACCACACTTATCTCCACAACCCAAACCACACCTTACTTTCTTCCCTGTGATTGTGTTGATAGTGAGGTCTATGACGTACCTACAACTCATGACAACATCAGTAATCGTGTTCTGAATCCACCAACTCATGCTAATTGAATATTAAATTTTTATGTAGTTCACTTAAGCTGACTACTTTAGGTTAAAAAAATTTACAATGTCTTAGGCTTCACACAAATATGACATTTTTACCTTAAAAAGTAAATGTGAAATGTTCCGAATGTTCAGTTTTGTTGAATGTGCATGTTAACGATTGTTTAAAAAAATCAACTGATCCCTATTTCACACTTTTATTTCAGAATCCTTGCGACTATTATCGCCATTTAAGTATATGGCCTCAAAACAAAACCTGTGATAGATTACCCCATTTCATTGTTGTGGGGCCTCAAAAAACTGGTAATTATGCACAACAAATAAATCTTAGATGTTACTCTATTCAATCAATGTGAATTGAAAGAAATTGTATTAGCTTTCGCCAATTTACACCTCCCCACTTTTTCATTTACGGAATATAACTATAAATAGATGCATTGTCATAGTGCAAAAATCTAAAAACTTTTTGGGCCGGAAAATCTTACTTTTGCTACCGTGTCTCTCTCAAAAGCTGATAACTTTAGTATCATTAAAGCTAGGTAGACAAAATTTTAAATATATTTTTATTTTATATATTTTTATATATTGGCTTAACATGTACTTTAAAAATTTGTTGCTGAAAATTTTTTTTTTCTAATTTGATTGCTTTAAATCGATTTTTTACCTTAAGAAATGAATGCTGTAATTGATAAATGTAAGAAAAAGTTATTTTTTCAATATTTAATCTTTTATGTGAAAAAAAAAAACAAACGCATAGAAATACAATACCTCTGCCTCGTGGGTAAAGCAGATTTTTTTTTTGGGGATAAAAATTGTAGGTGTTTATTTCACGGCATGTATTTTGATATCAGTTTAGTGAAATCTATTCAAATTTGTAAAAGAAGTGTTTTTTATTTTAGCGTTTTTCTGTCGTGACAATCGATCTTCGCTTTATTCACGCACACATTGTAAAACTTGACTTATCATTAAAACAAGAGAACTTAGAGTACACTGCAAATAGCAAAGTTTTTAAATTTAAGCTTTTTTTTTTTAACTTTAAGCCATTTCTTTTATAACATTATAACTACATCTATCTTTAAAATTGGTTTATGGACCAGTTCTAATTATACATTCTGTTTATTACCAATGACCAAATCTTATTTGGCTCCAATACACAGTTCACTTACTCTAAACTATTTGAATTAGGCAACGGACAGTTGTAACTTTTAATTAATGTTTAAAATACTAAACAATTATAATTAGCCATGTAATAAAAATTGGCTTATAGACATATTTTACTAATTATGTTTTATATATATTTAACTCAGTTATAGATTTTGCCCCCATAATGTTTCTTAAAGCCAAAATTTTGAAAAAATTTTAAATGGGAGTTTGTTTTTTCAAGAATAACTTATAGAAATAGGCTATAAACTAGGATATTTTGTTAAGTTAGACATAATTATAAATACGTTTATGCTTTGGTGACATTTTTGTGTTATTATGTTGCTGACATTGTGAATTTTGTGGATTTTTAGACCACACTACATTGAGATGTAAAAAAAAAGTTTTCATTTGCGTGAGTGTGGTTAATCTACATTTTGAATGTGATGTAAATGCCTAGTGCTATTAATTTATATATTTTTGAATTCCTCGATTGTTAAGCAACAAAATTGATATATAATATGTCAATATTTGTTACTTTGAAAATTTACCCTAAAAATAGACGTTTTAGAATTTGATCTGTTTTCCGCCCTATATAAGATCTTATACTTGGATTAATTTCATATTTTGAGTGTCCTCCATTATATGGAAATAAAACTTTACTCATTTCCAGTTTCTAAAAGACAGATAACATCTGAATGGCATTTTTATCGATAGGTTTAAGATATTATTCTCTTGATTTTATCTTGATTGTACTTTACGATTGCTAAAAAAATATCACTTCTACCAGACTGATTTGTTTCAAAACTTTTACACGTGGTCAAGACTCAATGACAATACACTATGACATAAAATTTGACTTAGATGTTTAATTAACTTAAAGATTCTTTATAAAGTACTAATTTTCCTCTCAATTGTGCACAAATGTTTACGTTCATTTGGTACACCATTCTTTTTTTCTACTCGATTCTATTCCAATTTTTCAAAATTTAAGTATTTAAAAAATTAATAAAACACATTTCTATTGCCAGATTGCACTGAAAGTGCATCTCCCCTACTGTTTTTTAAGAATTTACAAAAACGTTTATTCCTGCTTTATTTATTTTAACTTTTTGCAAATTGTTTTAAATCATTTAATTGAAAGCCTTTCATTATGTAGGGTTGTAGAAACAAAATTGTTACATGTTTATTATTTGAAATATTTTAACTTTTTCAGGGACAACTGCTTTATATTCATTCTTGTCACAACATCCAGCCATCATGAGCAATATGCCAAGCCCAAAAAGCTTTGAGGAAATTCAGTTTTTCAATACTAACAACTACTACCTTGGTCTTGATTGGTGAGGTTTTAAAAGTTTGATTTATGTTTGCTTTGATTGTTTACTTTAAAATCTTAGTTTTCTTCAGTTAAAAATAACATAATCTCTAACATATTTGTATGGAAGAAATCCCACACAATTCATTTTGTTCTATACTTGATTAATACAAACATGATGTTGTTTTTTTAGGTATATGGAATATTTTCCTCAAAATATAAAGCCAAACTCAACTTTACTTTTTGAAAAGAGTGCAAATTACTTTGAAAGTGAAGTGGTTCCAAAACGAATTTCAGCTTTAATTCCAAAAGCTAAGATTATTGTAATTCTCATGAATCCAGCAAAAAGAGCTTATTCTTGGTACCAGGTAACACTTCTCCCTTTTAGATTGTTTTAAATAGAAATGGTTGAGTTTTTCATTTAGTAACAAATTATCAGACTCATTTGATTATAATTAAACAAGGCATAAGTGAAGGAAAGTGAAATAGTGTATTCCCCAGGGCTGTAATGGTTAACAGATAATAATCCACAGTTACACATTGCAATGTTAAGCGCATATCAAAACATTCAAATTTATTGTGTGCTTAAGACAACATTAATCTAAGCTAATAACTGACTATTATTGTGTATTACAAAAACTGAAAATAAACTTCCATTACATTTATTATTTTAGCACATGCGAAATCATAATGACCCAACCGCACTGAACCATACATTTTATGAAGTGATTAGTGCGTCTGATATGGCTTCACAAAACTTGAGAGCACTAAGAAATAGATGTCTAACTCCTGGCCTATATGCACAGCACTTGGTCAGATGGTTGGATTTTTTCCCAGCAAAACAAGTAAAGATTCCTTTTTAAAATTAAATATGATAAAAAATAATTATTAATTATGAAAAATGTGTAAATGTATCACCTGATATATACATTTATAAAATATGTATATTTTAAAATGGTTTTATTGTGTCATATGAAGTCCCAGTTTCCCTTACTAAGCTACATAATATTAACATATCTAAATTTGTTTTTGGCCACCAGATTCACATTGTCCATAGTGATGAGCTACGGAATGATCCAGTCAATGTAATGCACCTCCTGCAAAAATTTCTACATGTTATGCCTTATATGGATTATAGTCAACACTTAAGGTATTTTAACAAAGTTAAATTATCATTTTTCTGATCAGTAATTTTTTTTCTAAGTATAGACTTGAACTATAAACCTGACTCTTATATAGCTTTACATGAGGAGTTAATAAATCAAAATTTGATTTCTCCTTAAAAGACTTTTGCTCAATTTTTTTAATATTGACCAAAAGCTGAGCTTACCTAGTTCCAATCTAATTCAAAAATATAATTTTTGTTTCTTCACAAAGAAAGGCAAATGTTTTTTTTCTCTAGTGATGTTTATATTTATTTTTTATTTTCAGGTATGATCCAACAAAAGGCTTTTTCTGCCAAGTTTTGAGTAACAAGCAGAATAAATGTTTAGGAAAGAGTAAAGGACATAAATATCCACCAATGGATCATGGATCTGAGCAACATTTGAGAAATTTTTATAAAAAACACAATTTAAATTTATCAAAGTTACTTGATAGTTTTGAAACAGAAATGCCTGAATGGCTACAGAATGAATTAAAGGATGTGGATGTTTAAAAAACGTTACTATCAATATGAAACAACGATTTTTAAATTGTTTTATTATACGCAATTGTCTAGTATGTTGACAAATTGACTCCAACTTACTGTTAATTTTGCTTTGTTTTAAGCATTATCAATTATTATAAATGTTTTTGAACAAATTAGCCATAGAAGTGTTTGATAACAAATAATTTGCTGACAGTTTCTACAAATATCCTTCTGATATCAAGACACATTGAGTAAGATTACCACTATTTGCAGCTGTCTGATCTCAATGTAGTCTTAAGGTGATTCTTTTTGTTGGATTAATGTACACATTTTAAGTAAAAATGATTAAAATCATACATTCCTGTGTTTTCTTAGGGGATCATGGCTTCATAAATCAACAAACTCTCAGCATTACTAAATTGCTTAAACTATCAGACCTAATCAAATTTGTAAATGTTTGTATATATAGTGATTGCATTTTTTGTATGCAGTTTGTATTTTGAGTGACAGATATTTATTTATTGGCATAACTGAATCTTTTCAAAGTGGAATGCAAAAGAAATCATATTTTACCGTGGTTTTTTAAAATTCTAAAATACTCCTAGAGATAGCAAAAATAATTCGCACTTGAACTTTTAACTTGATATATTTTGTCATGTTTTTTTGCCAATATAAATTAAACAAAATGTGAAATTTATTAAAATTATATCAACAGAAGAGTAAAAAATCAGATGATAAAAGAATTAAATGTATAGTTCTTGTAAGACTCTTTTTTTTTTTACTGGTTTCTTTCTTGTATTTACATTTTTTAAATATAGTTATATATTTATTAAGCAAAAGATAAATTCATTAAACTAATCAGTTAGCATTGTATTCCGTGACAATTGCTAATTGATAGCTTTTTATTTATAATGCAAGTAAAGTTGCAGATAATAAGTTTCTAGTTCATCAGTGGGTTCTTTTACCAAAGATGGCATCTTGCTTGCCGGTCTAACATTTTTAAACAACTTTTTAAAAAATCTAAGAACAACCATGCATAAGCAATCTCTACATTTTGTGTTTTTACAAGTGTTATTTCAAACAAAAACTAAGTTCAGTAGTTACAAATCTCAAGACGCTAGAAGACATTAATACTAACTGCAGCCAAATGGATGAAACAAAGTGTGTGTGTGTATATATATATATATATATATATATATATATATATATATATATATATATATATATATATGTATATATATATAATTGTTTGTGTGTGTGTGTTGGTGTGTAAAGTTTGATGTGTCAAATCAGTGTTTGCTTTTCAACTGTTTTAAGACTTCTGTACGAAATTGTAGATTTACCTGACTTGTTACTTGTTTGATGCTTGAACAATACTTATTGCTTCTATTTTTATGTGAATATTCTAAAAATGTGTATCAACTATTATGACATGACACTTCCAATACCTGTTCACTGGTTGTGACTCCATGTTCTCCAACACTGCCTTTTTCTTTTGTTGTATTCATGTCTTTGTTTTATCAAATTATACATTTTTGCTTTACAGCTGCTGTTAAGAAATAAGTTCTTTACTAGTGAAGGAAATGTATAAAAAACATAATTTAAGAAACAAATATTTTGTTAATTACATCTTTAGGCTTTGAGACAATTTACATATCATTTTTTCCTACTTTTTACAATCTGACCAAAAAAATACATTTCAAAATTTTTACTGCCACTTAAATTTACCAGTTTTCAAAGTTATATTTTTTATAATTTTGCTTTATAATTTCTCTCAATACTTTCTTTCAAATATATCAAAACATGTTAGTGCTTTATTAAAATAACATTTGATCACAACTATGCTACATCTTGCCTATAAGGTGCTGATTTGAATACCTGAATAGTTGTATTTAGTTTTTAAAGTTTATGTAGTATGCATAATGGCCATCTACCTCACCTAGCATGCAATATCTAGCAATTCTGGTATATAACTAGGAGAAATAGTTAGCCAGCATTCATTGCAGAAAGCATTAGCTGTTTTTAACTAGTAGTTATATATTTAAAGTGGGGAAAAATTACACCAAGTAATATTTTTTTACTGTTGCATGAAATTTAAAAAATAATTTTAGCTTTTTGCTTAAACTGGCATTTTTAAAAACTGGCTTTTTAATGTACTTAAAAATTTGTGTTTGCTTGATTACTAGAACTTCATGAAGTCTTTAAACTATGTTACTGTGATTGCTTTTACAAGTTGAAACTTACACATTGCTTATATAATGTGTAGTAGAACCTAAGGGTTTGATGCATTCATCTTGATCACAGTTTACACTTTTTTAAAAATGTTACTAAAATAATTTTTAAAAATTTCTTTTGATTGTGATATAAAAGATAAAACTTACATTATTAAAAAAGCAATGTTTGCATATTCTTAGGACAAACCATTAAAATAAAGTTTTAAAAAAATATTCCTTTCTTTGTTAGGCCCTCAACAGTTGTGTAAAGTTTTAAAGCCCAGTATTTTTTATAAAAGATTATTATTGGCCACATATAAGATAAAGAAATAAAAGAAAGTTGCAAGCAGTAGCAGTAGGTTCAAATGCAAATACATATTTTATATATCTGCCTGTAAAAAAAGGCTACAGCTTAATCAATTCACAGGACTAAAGTAACTGAGATTATCTCATATGTACTAGATAAAATACTTAGAACTTGATTTCTCATCACTGCTACAGAACCAGTTAAATTCAAACTTGTATGTGTCAAGTTCTAATGACAATGTATTGTGACATGAACTTTTATATAATTTGTTGTTTAATAACTTATTAAACATTTAATTAAAGATTACTATATAATGTTAAAAAAGAATCATGCTGTTGCAGACATTCAATGCTCTCGATCAGTGCGCATTTTTTTATTTATCGGATTCTCTGAATAAAAAGTGAAAATATATCAATCAAAATGATTTTAAATCATTCGGCTTTTATGTGTGCATTAAAAAGTAGAAAATAAAAAGATTTATAATAATTTATAATAATACAACATAATTAATGAACATTTAAAAAAAAGTATGGATCATTATATGATGTTTTGAAATAGCTAAGAGTTGTGTAGTCTCATCTCCAAATATAAATATATAGTTTGGTAGACCATTGGGTGATTGCCCTTTGGAAATCCAAGCAAAATTCCTGGACAGTAAGATGAGAGGGGCCAGATGTTGCCCATATATCAGGTCTCCTCTCTCCACACTTCTAATATAGTTTTATTAATAGTGGTGTGTTAGCATATTTAAAGAAAATAATTTATTTCTGCTTTTTTTAGTGCATTTATAAAAGCTTGTTAATGCTGTATGAACATTTTTATTTTTTATGTTTAAATTTATACAGACTTGTATTGGTTGTTTTTTTAACTGCTCTTTGATTTCTCATACATCAAAAATAACATTTCTTAATAAAAAATTTTCTTTTTTAATTTAAGTAAAATATGTGCTTTTACACCTTGTAGATAATTTTATTTAAAGCATAAGAACTGAAAAGAGCATGTTAGAACAATTATCTCATGACAAATCACTTTAAAATGTATTTATTCATTTTTACATGAGCCATAACATCATGCTAATTCTTACATTTCCTGTTGTAAAGTAAATTTTGCCCTAAGGATTAGTTAATATTGACTCTTGTTATTTTCTCACAAAATATTGCTGTCTTCCTTATTGTAGCCAATTATACTTCAGCTTTCATCAAAATAAGCAAATGTTCATGTTAGGAAAAAATTAAACAAGATACTTGCAACTAATTTTATTAGCTTTTTCAGTCTAAAAAGTGAATTACTAGATCATCTTATTTCATTAAGACAATGATACACAAGATTTTATAACATAAAATAATACTGATATTATTAGTGCACCTTTCAGTTTTATTTTGAAATCTACATAATGTACAAAAGGGTTACATATTTATATTTTAATTACACAGTATATAAACTGATGAGGGGCATGGCTACAGTTCATTTCGTTTATTAACTTTCTTACAATATTTCTCTTCTTGATTGTTTATTGGCATTTTATTATGCCAAGTTAAATTTTAATTTTGATGCTTTTTTCTTGTCTCATGTGTATAGTAAATGAAGTAGCCACGTGAAAAATAATACATTTGTGTCCCTGGATCATAGAAGATGATAAGATCTGATGTTAAAACCACTCTCTTGATCCCTATAAAAATGTAAACTTTCATTGTATCAACAATAATTGTTTATATACGATTGTTTGCTAGTGGTTGCATACACATGTTAGAAATTCTGTGCCATCTAAATGGTAAATCAAGTCATGGCTGTGTTTATGCAGATGTAATTGTAAAACATTTTATGTGTCACTTTTATTGAATTAAAATACTTTTAAAATGAAGGCAAACTTGTATCGTTTATTGTACTTAATGTCAAGTTAACACAGATTTGAGTTCATTTAACAACACTATTTCACATCTAGGCAGTAAGTAGGCCAACATTAAACATTGTTTCAGTGTGTTGTAGTGCACTTTCATTAGTGAAAGTGTTAGAAAACATCATAAATGAATTTCAAATGAAACAAGTTTAAATTTAAAAAAAAAATAATAATAATAAGTTAATAATAATAATAATAATAAGTTTTAAATGCACTGAAAGTTAGATTTTAGATTTGTTTTATTTTCTACTTTTTAGTAATGATGAATTTTTAAAATTAAAAATATATTTATAGTCAATATTTAAGTTTTAAAAACAATTAGTAGGTCTATTTTATTTTATTTTGCATTCTGTTAGTTCTTACTGAAGTCAACAATACTTAAGACTAAATTTTTTTGCTTTAAAACCTGTTCAGTATTTGCAATGTCTACAAAAACCTTATCTGCCCCTTATTAGGTTGTGGTCTCTCCTGGTCAACCATTGAGACAAACAGTAAGCACTTAATCTTGTTATCTCCCCTTTTTGTTATTGAATTTAGTCATTTTTATTTAAAAATTAATGACCAATTTAATACCAGATTACAATGAAATTAAATATTCTTGCATTTTCAGTAGAAAAAAATTAAATGGATAATTGCTGCATTAGAAATGGGTTAAAATTGAGGTACAAGATTTGCCACAAATCCACAAACAGATATTGTGAATTAAATAAAAGCATATAATAATAAAAGCTTATGTAAGTGACCAAATATGGTTTGTTGTGTTGTCACTGGAAGAATCACAAGAAAAACAGAATATTCAAAACATTTACTATTTTGAAGACTCATTTATGAAAATACTGTTTCAGCCTCAAGACTTTAATAATAAAAATATTGTTTTATATTCTCAACTCTTCTTTAAAACTAAATATTTCATTAAATATTCATTTAAAATTTCTCTTACACCAGTGCAATAGTTTTAAAAAATTATTATTTCTGAGCATATATCAAATTCTCTATGTATAATATTATATATAGATTCTACAAGTACAGATACTTTACAAAATTATCAAGTGTAATGTATGGAATCAAAATAAATAGATCTATATATAATTAAATATTTGAAATTTCCCTTGTTTCAGAAATTAACATAATTATTTAGTATTTAATCTAAAATGTGGTATACACTGTAGCACAATGGTTTTACCCCACTAACTAAACTATTCCCAATTCAACATTTCACCTGTGTTGACGAAATGAAGCTTAATTATTTTATTATTTCCTAGATTACATTATTATATATATATATATATATATATATATATATATATATATATATATATATATATATATATATATATATATATATATATATATATTATATAAAGATTCCCAATACGTTGCTAACTAGATTAAAATGCACTAAATAGTATGTGGCGTTATATTATTCAGTGTGATATATTTTGCTAACACCGTTTGAAGGTAAAGGTTATGTTGAGTTGAGGTCAACTTCTTACCTATGACCCCCTGCTTCGAGGTCACGTATTTTATATACATTGTCGTGCATTGTTTGTATGTTGAGTTAAGCTGTTTTGTGTTTAGTGTAACGTTACGGACTTAACTTTGAGACCGAATTTTTCCTTAAAGTTTCTAATCTGTCAACCAGAAGTGAGAATAAATATCCAAGGTCCATTAGACCAGTTACTTACAAGGTATGCATTGTAGTTGATTGTAGTAGGCTTGTCGGCATCGGCCGAGATCGCGGTAAAAACATGACCCGAAATCGCCCATTACTTTCTGATACCGGGCGCACGAGATTTGGTTTTGCATACTAATAAGTTTTTAATTTATGGTAATTAATTAAGTTTAAAAGGTCATTTCCTAATGTTAAATGAAAAGTAGAATGGTTTTCCCATTGTTTTGATGGCTTAGCGATCTGATTGCACGCTGTCTCTGCCTTGGTCTTCCCCCTGTATGAAGGCTAGTTTCAAATACGTTGGAATCACGATTTTTTAAAAGGTTATTCTAGATGAGTGAAGATTACTGAGCAGACATATCTTATATATGTGGAAATGATATTTGTTTTTGGATATTTTGACTCTGACATTAGATATACTCGTTTAGAGGTGGTCACTGTATGTAGGTCGCGTTGCCACCATTGTTATATTTTTTCATCCCGATCTTCCGGCCTTTAAGTTTGATCAACTAACAACAGCATTCTTATGGAATGTGCAAACAAATCTCCTAATTTTTTATTTCAGAATATATTTACATACCCATCTTTAATTTTTTCAGCTCTAGTTCTAGTTTTGCAGAATGTTTTTCCTAAAATCCAATTTTGTCAGACTAGACTGACAATGTGAGTCAGACCTAGATCTAGGTTACCTGTCTGTTGCTATACACTAGCATTGTGCTAACTGTAATTTTAAGTATTCAAGTTCTACTTACCCTTAGATATAGTTATATGCTGAAAATCAGAATCCATACACTATTCACACATAAAAACATTGATCTGATAACTTCATTTAAATTATTACAAAATGGCTTATATGGGCTCTACTTCACCTGCCCAAAATAACAAGGCAGTTATATACACATTACAGTGTTCAAGTCATTTAGATTTCTAACTATGTAGTTCTTACATTCACTGTATTTATATAAAATATTGCTTTAGAAACATTTTCATATTTGCGCAGCAGTTTTATAACAAAATGGCTTAAAGATGGACTCTACTTCACCTGCCCAAAATAATGAGGCAATTATAATATTATATGCACATAACAGTGTTCAAGTCAATTACTTTAGATTTCAAACTTTGTAGTTCTTTCATTTGCTGTATTTATATAAAATATGGCTTTCATATTTGCGCAGCACACAGTTTTTTGGGGTTATGGGAGGAAGCCAACACAAAAATATAAGTTCTGTATTATTTTTATTCATTTCAACAACATTTACAAGTTCTATGTATCATTCTAGCTAAACTCTGCAAATATGAACAAAATACAACTGCAATTAAAATAACTATGCTCAATTTATTCAGGTATACCATGACTTGTCACAATTGGCCAATGCAAAAGTAAGGGGATTCCACCCCTCACAAAAAAATTCGCAAAAAAAAAACTATTTGAGCTAGACAGAAAATCTTTTTTGTTTTGTTTTCATTTTGTTGAGCTCTACAAGAATATGTAATTTTTATTTTTATATGATGATTAGTGCTTTTTTACCAAAATCCCTAATTGTAGTATAAATATTAATTTATTAAAATAATAATAATCAAATAAAATAATCATAGTTCATACGTAGTCTTCTTCTAGTCTAAAATAAAAATCTAAATTATAAAATAAATTTAAACTAAATTTTAAAATATTGAATTTTTTATTTTAGGCTTACTATTAATTTTAAATTTTAATTAACTATAGATAGAGTATAAGAGTAGTATAGTTATAGAATATATTAAATAGGGTAATCTATCGTTTTAGGTACGTAAAAATAAAATCGCCCGCGACTAGTAATGTGAAAGACAGGTGACTCCTTAAATTTTAATAATTATTTCACATTTTGAGGAGGATTTATGTTTTGAAAAATACAAAAATGTTTCCTTGTTTCATTTATGTAGATCTACCTGTATTCAAACAATTGAATTAAAACTTTTCAGTAATAAATGAACACTAGCGATGTTTCCAATAGATGCAACCATGCTCATTTACAATAGCAGCCATCTTGTCAAAGTTTTATTTTTATAGACTTATAGCTGGAGATTCAGGGGGAAGTCACTCTATTTTATAAATGGCTGCTGTTTATATAGCAAATCTTACTTGCAGACACTGCTGTTTAAAGTTAATTTCTGGCCTATATTGATATATTTAGCCATTGATTTAGGTTTATTATCCATTTATCTATAATATTTGACACAAACATATCACAATATACTTCTATTACAGCCTTGACAAGGAGGTAACGTTTTCGTACATTAATAGCTGCGGGCGATTTTACGTACCCAAAACGATAGATTACCTATAATAGTATAGACTATAGATTTCTAGACTAGATCTAATTCTATTGTAGATTTATTTTAACATTGGCCTTTGCCTTTAGTCAACTAGCTTAGTTAGTAGTAATGTAATAAGTATTTATAGCCTATTAAGTTACTATTATTTATTAGGCCCTGCCCTATACTATAAACTATAAACTAAATATGAATACTGTGTAGTCAACGCATGTTACGAGCTTTTGTTTAAACCAGTGGTGTCACTAAGTTGGATGTCACCCTGTACTGTATCTATCTGAGGGTGTCACCCTGTCCCTCTCCATCATATAAAAGTAAGATCTGCCAACCAAGGGATCAGAGGTGTAGCGACCCTTCCCGGCGCCCGGGGACAAACACGATTTGCACCCCTCCCCTCAAGATTTCAATTTGCACCCTCACCCTTTCGATTTGCACCCCCCCTCAAGATTTTTTTTTCACCCCCCCCCCCCCCCCTCTCAAACTTTCAATTTGCACTTCCTCAACCTTTCAATTTATTTTTCCAACCCATTTTGGCGCCCCCTACGGTCGGCGCTCGGGGACATATGTCCCCCTTGCTATGCTACTGCAAGGGATACATACATACTGTGTAAACTAATTGTGTTGGCAAACCAAACCAACTCTGAGGTGGATTGATAAAGAATTATGCTGACAGGGGTCACTGAATGGGGCTGTTTAGCCAGGAGCCGTGGTGTCACAAGAGCCTCATTAATGGAGGCCCTTTTGTCTGTTCTAATTATTGGAGCCGTTGTTTGGGGAGCATAAGCAATGGGAGAATATTTGTCTCGAGCCATATTAATGGGAGCCGTTTTTTGAGAGCTGAAAAGCTGAATCAATGGGGCCCATTTGTGAATAGTCCTTTCAACAGGGTGAATTTGGAGGGACCATTTGATGGTGCTCAAGATAAAACAATACTTTACACAAATACTATGCTATAGATTGATTTCTTTAATTCCTATAAGAAATATTGGATCACCCAAGATAAGATACAAGAGAGAGGATAGGAAGACTCAGAGGACAACCCTTATGTTGCAGAAAATAACAAATTAATAAACCACCCCAATCTCTCTTCATGTTATATAATATTTGCAAGTTCTCTATAAGTCAAATGCCTCTCTCAGCTTTTGATTAATTAAAGTGAAATTCATTTATAAATTTGACCATTATTTAATTAGCAGACTAGGCAGTGAAAACCATTTCATTATTCCTAAGGCAACTGGTTATATTTTCCTGTGTCCACATCACTTTAAGAAAGGGATTATGTCCCTAGTGCAATGCATCCTTTCATTAAATAAAAAAATGTCAAAGCCTTATAGAGCAAAGAGTCAAGATGACACTTTGCTAACATTGGTGGGGTGGTATTTATTGCAGACAATAATTTGGATCACTGTTTAAAACCAACCAAATTATTTATGATATGTGACACTTGAATGCCTGCAGCTATATTTTCTTCCTATAGTTTTGGATTCCTCAAGTTTATTCTCCAATAATTTGAACCACTCTGTCAAATGTAATCTGAACTTTATTCTTTCCCACAAGGAAATGACTTATCAGTTGCTATTAGAACAGTATTGTAAACTTGTGAATTTTTTGTGTTTAATATACATACTTGATGAGTAGTCATTGAACTTTTAATACATTTTGATTTACTCTCTTTATTGTATTCCCAGTATGAACCATGCTAGCAATATGAACATTAGCTGTTCTACTTGTTTTGTGTTGCCTGAAATACTGGTCCACCTTAGTGGTCATACATTGATAAGTCAGTTTAGAAAATGTACCTATGTGCATGCAATGTGTGCTTTAAATTGACAAACCACAGTACAATGAATTTTCCTCAAAACTTCTTTACATTAGTCAATTGGATTTAATAAAACAAAATTTATCACTATTATTATCTTCAGCAAATGTTATTCTAACCATTCATATTATATTGTCTAGGTAATCAAATAGACTTTGAACTCGTAGCTGGTACTTTCAGACACAAACATTAGATCTCCACTCCTCTTGAGTAATCTGTAAGGCTCACCCTGTGACCTAACAGGAATCTTTAAACAGCTTATCTGTATTGATGACCACTGGTCAGCGTGGGTCACTGCTGTGGCTAGTAAACAGGTCTCCATCATTTATGTTAGCTTTCTGACTTAAAAGTTTCAAGGCTAGATATTTCTTATCACTACTAAGATAAAGAAGCCTGGACTAGAAACTATAAGACAGGGAATTTTTTAAAGAGTTCACTGGTGCAGCAACTTTCTCCATTGTTTCTTGTTTAGTGTATAAAAATTTGTTTAAAATATTTGACAAGCTTGCTGACATTTTAAAATTTAAGTCAAATATTTCATAAGCTTGGTGACAGTTTAAATTTGTGTCAAATATTTGATAAGCTAGGTGACAGTTTAAAATTTGTGTCAAATATTTGATAATTTTGCTGACAGTGAAGATGGTTGGTGTAGACAAAACTAAAAGAACAGGCAGGTGGTACTTTGGTGGGACAGCCAGTGCCATGGCTGCATGCTGCACTCATCCTTTGGACCTACTCAAGGTAGAGTCTAATCATTTATCTTCAATCAGCCACTACTATCTTAGTTGTTTTTTTTTTGTCATTTTAAAGACAATGTCTAAGTTTTTAAAAAATTGTAAATCTTAATTTTTTTTTAATAGAATTTTTTTGTTTTGTTTTTTACTTTGCAGTTATACTTGTAATTAAAACAGTTTAAAACTTTAAATAGTTTTGTATCACCCTCAGTGTAATTAATATCTAAAAGAGTATAGTCAAACTTAAGTATAATTGATACTTTACCCTATCAATGAGATGCTGCTCATTAAAATAAAGTGTGTTAACAAATTAGGTACTTATAATCATCATCAGTAATATTACACACAGCTTGTAAGTTTAGGTAATTGAGTTGACCCCAACACCTACTTAACATACTGCGACACTGAGAAGTGATGACATGTTTGGAAAGTTATTTTACACGTGTTGCTATAGTTTGTTTTACTTGACACTTATTCACTGCTAACTGTTTGTTGACAGTTATTCAGTTCTAGCTGTTTGTTGACAGCAGTTATTCACTGCTAGCTGTTTGTTGACAGTTATTCACTGCTAGCTGTTTGTTGACAGCAGTTATTCACTGCTAGCTGTTTGTTGACAGTTATTCACTGCTAGTTGTTTGTTGACAGTTATTCACTGCTAGCTGTTTGTTGACAGCAGTTATTCACTGCTAGCTGTTTGTTGACAGCAGTTATTCACTACTAGCTGTTTGTTGACAGCAGTTATTCACTACTAGCTAATTGTTGACAGCAGTTATTCACTACTAGCTGTTTGTTGACAGTTATTCACTGCTAGCTGTTTGTTGACAGTTATTCACTACTAGCTGTTTGTTGACAGCAGTTATTCACTGCTAGCTGTTTGTTGACAGTTATTCACTGCTAGCTGTTTGTTGACAGTTATTCACTGCTAGCTGTTTGTTGACAGTTATTCACTACTAGCTGTTTGTTGACAGCAGTTATTCACTGCTAGCTGTTTGTTGACAGTTATTCACTGCTAGCTGTTTGTTGACAGTTATACAATGTTTGTTGTTGACAATTCTTTTTTATTCTAACATGTTTCCTTCAATATGCTGATGCAGCATCTAATTATCATAGAAATAAAACTAGCTCTGTTTTGAATAACATTACCATATATGCCTATAAGCCCCATTATAGCTGTATCATTTTTAAAAATTTACATATTTTCATTATGCTACTACTGTCACAATCATTTGTAGCATAGTGTATAGAATATTGTTTTTACTTCTAAACCCTCTTCTTTTTGTCATACTATCTACACTATTCTTTTCTTCCCATAAATATAAACTTTTTAATTGGCTTCAGTGAAGGTTGTAAAAATAGCCTGCAACACATCATTGTAATTTTTAAAAAAATTCCCTTTCACAATAAAATTACTCTAATCTAGTCCTTGAACCACCAGCTGTTGTGGTGACATAATTAACTTTAAAACTTGAGGTAAACCGTTGAGGTAGCAATTTTTTTGTGTGGGGAAAAAATACTGAAACTGCTTGACACCAAAATGTTTTTCTTTTGGCCAGGTACATTTACAGACCCAGCAGGGGTCTAAGGTAACCTCGCTTCAGATGGCTGTGAAGGTGGTTAAAAATGACGGGGTACTGGGGCTTTACAATGGGCTCTCTGCCTCTGTTTGCAGACAGGTATTCACGCTAAATTTATGTCAGCTTGTCTGACAACTAGGTCAGGTGTAGCACACGTGGGGTCAATCAATAACTGATAAACAGAAGGCTCCTTTTCTTCACTTGAAGAGTTTCTTAAACTGCAATAAAACAACCCTTTGAGCTTGAGCTGTTTGTGAAAATGATAAAGTCAGTTTTTATGTACATCAAGAAGGCCCCTATATGAAGAGCAATAAACCATACTGCAGTGAAAAAAAATGTCTTCTATCTTTAACCTTAAGAAAATTCAAGGATATTTACTTTAAGTTTGTTAAAATAGGAATATCAGTGGATCATGAACTATTTATAGAAGTGTTATTCTAGATAAATTTTAAAAGAGCAGTAGTTTTATAAGGTATTATATAAGGGATGTAATACTATCACATTTCAGCTAACATACTCCATGACTAGATTTGCAATTTATGAAACTGTGAAGACTTCATTGACCAAAGATGGAAGGAACATGCCATTTTATGAAAAAGTTGGTCTGGCTGCTTTTGCTGGGGCTGCTGGTGGCTTCATTGGGACCCCTGCGGACTTGATCAATGTCAGGTGAGATACACACGTCTTTGTACATCATTCAAGGTAAGATGTACACATGGGCTTGTACATCATTCAAGGTTAGATTCACATATGGGCTTGTACATCATTCAAGGTTAGATGTACACATGGGCTTGTACATCATTCAAGGTAAGATGTACACATGGGCTTGTACATCATTCAAGGTAAGATGTACACATGAGCTTGTACATCATTGTAGGTAAGATGTACATATGGGCTTGTACATCATTTATGGTGAGATGTACACATGGGCTTGTAAGTCATACAAGATAAGATAAAGACCTATCATCTAATAAGTCATTCAAAGTAAGATGTAGATTATTATAAATCTTGAAATAATGAAATTATCAGTAGTTATATAACACCTTCTTAAACTGATATATCTACTCAGCCCAACTGGTTTTATTGCTTGAAGTTCTTTAGAAATCATTGGTTTTTTAATTAGAACTGATCTATTACCAAAGCCAAGCTAGTTTTCACTTTGTTTTTCAGAATGCAAAATGATGTCAAGTTACCAAAAGAAGAGAGAAGAAAGTGGGTATTAGATATAATTTAAAAAATGTGTAATGACTCGCCTTGTTTGATTAAGTGTGTAAAATAACAAAATGTTAAGGTTAGGTTACTTACATGTCTGATGTTTATTATTGCATTAAAAAATATATTTTAGACTCCAAATGTAACTTAGTCTAAATGTTCCTGTCTACAGCTACAAGCATGCTATAGATGGACTGTACAAAGTGGTGCGCTATGAAGGTCCCCTCAAGGCCTTTAATGGTGCCACCATGGCCAGCACAAGAGCTGTGCTTGTTACTGTTGGACAGCTGGCCTGCTATGATCAATTAAAAAATTTACTCCTCAAGTCTGGATTTTTTCAAGATAATTTGGTTCTACATTTAACATCCAGTACACTTGCAGTGAGTATCTTATGGGCTTTCATAGTTTTTTTTAAATTTACAAATAAGTTGAAGAGACTAGCCTGTGACAGAGTTGCCTGAAAAGCTCTTGTCAGCAGCCTATGTCCCATGAGGGGCAACAGGCAAACCTAACCTAACCAAACAAAAAGGGATAGAGTAATTAAAATAAAAAAACAGCCATGATTATCAAAATACTATTATTCATATTTAAACACGAACTAGATATTAAGTAAAAAAATATTTTTTTTTGTTCACGAGTTTGCATTCGTTTGAAAAAAAAAATCAAGTTTGTTTTATTTCATACATTTAAAATTTATTACAGAAAAAAGTTACATCATCATGTTTTGTTTTATTTCTTAAGTTTGTCTAAATAATGATAAGTTTTCATGATTTGTTTTCAAAACTTTAAAGATTATGAAATACAACTGTTTAATAGTTGAACAATAAACTTCAAATGACATTTACCTAGGGCACAATAGCAACATTATTAACTCAACCTCTTGACGTGATGAAAACTAGGATGATGAATGCTCCAAGTGGATACTATAAGGTATTTAATAAATAGTTGTTCACATTTTGATTATGTTTAAAAAAATGGACTTCAAATCCTTATATGGCAGTGATCATTGCAAAAAGCACACATTTTAAACTTATAAAAATAGTTAAAGAAATTATATACCCTTTGAAACTCTGTTATAAACTGTAGGCCTACCTATCATGTATATTGATTAAAAAATTTTGTGAATTGTTTTAGAGTATAATGTCATGTGCTGTTGATATTGGTAAAAATGGACCTACAGGATTCTTTAAGGTATGTATTAAAAGTTTTAAATTATTATTTCTAGCATTAAAAAATATTTAGAAAAAAACCCACCTGAAATGTGACCTAGAACATCTTGAATTACATTTTAACCAGGTATTGGATAATTAACTTTATTTTTATCTTTGTTTATGCATATGATTTTACTAAGAATTAAAAAGAAAACACAAGGTTTAAAAAATGTGTCACACGGCTTTTTGCCCAATGAAAATATATTACAGGAAAGCAGCAGGTAAAATATAGATTGCATTAAATCTACAATTTCCTATGAGCATCTACCAACAGCAGCCCTCTATATAATAAATCTTAATTAGATGTAGGACAATGGTATGTTAGCATCTGAGTTCAAAGTTCTGATGCAGTGTGGAGTTATATTTTTGTTAGCCTTTATGCTAGATATTGAAGATTTTATTTTATTTTTTGTTTAAAGTGTTGCATTTCAATTTTTGTTTTCAAAATATATTTTTTATTCTACTAACAGCCTTGTGCTAGAAAAAATTTATTTTATTTTACCGTCTTAAACTAGAGAATATATATTTTACAAAACAGCCTTAAGCTAGAAATTTTTTTAAATCTTAAAACAGCCTTAAAAGTTAATCTGTAAATTTTTTTAAATCTTAAAACAGCCTTAAGCTAGAAATTTTAAAAATGCTTAAAACAGCCTTAAGCTAGAAATTTTTTTAAACCTTAAAACAGCCTTAAGCTAGAAATTTTTAAAATGCTTAAAACAGCCTTAAACTAGAAATTTTTTTAAATCTTAAAACAGCCTAAAACAGCCTTAAGCTAGACATTTTTTTATCTTAAAATTAAAACAGCCTTAGAAAATAGGGATGTGTCAATAATAACTAACATTTTTTAAAATACTTCATGCCATCTTTCAAATTAATTTCTTAATCCTCCTAATTAGCATTGAGAATAAGTGTTGCCACTTTTACTCATAAGTTTACTAAACTCAGTATATAGCCAAAATATAAGCAACACCATAACATACTTTTAGTCATATATTAAGCAAGTTTACATTGTATCATTATCAGGGTATTTTATCTTTTTTTCAGGGTTTTATTCCAGCGTTTGTTCGCTTGGGTCCACACACCGTACTTACATTTGTTTTCTTTGAGCAAATTCGCCAAAACTTTGGTGATGACCCTGCCTGATTTAGTCCTCACAGCTTATATATTTCTTTTGTTTTTCTTCTATCTGTTGTGGGAGTATTTGCTAAAAAGATTATACTTTACATTGAGAGACAAGTTTTCTCAGCAGAATGTGTTGAAATACTTTTGTTAATTTTTTTTAAATTACTAATCAACTTTGTTGGCTTTGTAAACATATATTTTACATCAATACATATATTACTGTGTACATGTGCGGTCTCTGAAATTCTGTACATTAAGTTTATGTTAAAGATATTAAGAAAAGATTTACAATTGAATCTCAGGCTGTAAAGATACATGTTATCATTATTTAATATCAGTTTGTGTTACTACAATGTAGTTTTGCTGACTAAGGGTAGTAAACTAAAACAAATGTGAAGTGACTTCGATGCAGACAGTTTAGAAATACTGAAACAAGATGTTAATTTTAAGGGTCAGCATATTATTAATATTCAGGCAAAATTGTTTCACTACTTTTTCTTTTAATTATATGTTTATGTTTTAAATGTTAGAAATAACTATTGTTGCAGAATTCAACAGATTTAATTACTTTATACTTTTGTAAATACCATTTTAATTTTTTTTAAATATTCTTAAATAATTTATATTGTGTTATTAAAGTTCACAAAATAGCTGTGATCTTTGTTGCAGATATAAAAAATTGTGTATCTTGTGATTTAAGGCTGTGAGTTTAGACAGGTTAACCAGAAATGCTAAAAGAAACTGCTGGTACAAGGTTAAGCACAGTCTGTAACACAAACATATTATTACATTTATAAATTAAATTTTGTTTATTATGATCTGTTAGATATACATATTTTTAAATGTATATTGTTAAAAAAGATGTAGGTTCATGTCTGGCTCTCATTTAGTGTTTTTTTTTACCATCCTTTGAGCAGTGGCGTGTTTCTCCTCTTATAGAATATTCATTATGTTAAACATGTTCACTGCCATCTCTTAATGCTAGTATTAATAGTATTGATTTCTAATACATTTGTCTGTTGGGCCAAGTATGAATGTTTATTGACTTTTTTTTCTATACTTCAGAATGCTTATACTTAAAACCTAATAACAAACTGTCATATTTTGCTGAAAACTGAGTTTAGCCTGACCATGAAAGTGTGTGTGTTGCTTTTTTTGTCTATTGTGACCAATAAGGGGAGATTGATAAAAATCAGACAAAGTACAATCTCAGGGTTTTGAATTAGATGTACTAATTGGTTTCTTCATAGTTTATACATTAGATATACCAATTGTTTTTTCATAGTTCATACATTAGATGTACCGGTGGATTTGTTTATATTTTTTTTATTGTTCTGTCAGAAACCAAGACTTAAGAAATGGTTGCTAAAAATAAATATTCAATTTAACAAAATGAAGCTATAACAAAAAATGTCAAGAGTAACTTTTTTGTTATTGTTAGATAGTATTTGAGTGTAAACAATAACTAACATTTTGCATTGTGAGTGGTTCGCAAGAAATTGGTGATTAGAAAAGTGCTACTTAAGTAAAGAAAACATGATGAGTGATAGTTATTCCATTTATAGAATATTTTTTTAGTGTCTAGTATGTGTTACATATTTGTCTGTAATAAATAACCACATTTCATTTACTTAACACATGTACTAACACAAAGTTTAAAAATTGCATTTCATAACTATATTAGAACATTGATGTAAAAGTGGTGCTACAAATTAACTAATACCAGTTTAGTTTTTTGAGTTTCACTCAAGCATGACAAAAATTACCGTTTTTATTTGATAGAATATTATTATAGTTTTGTGTATTGAATATAGTTTATAGCAGTATATTAATTATAATAAAAGCCTCACTAGTGTTTGAAAAAAGATTTTATACAACTTGTTATAACACTATAGTTAATAAAAGTAAAGTTCCCATTTGAACCTGAAGGTCTATTGAAGTAGAGTTCACTTCTTTCTGTGACCTCGACATATGAAGGGATATAATTAATAATATCTAAAGCTAATTACCATTAAATATAGTGGTGTGGTGTATCTTATTATTCGTTGGGGAAATTTTTAAAAATACAAGCGTGTATTATGATGTGTAATAAAAAATAAGCCTGACACTGACAGCTCATTTTTTTTAAATACTAGTTTGAATTTAATTTACTACTGATACCTTGTTATAGGGCATTGTGTTGACATATAGACAATCTAGAAATAACTCAAGAAATTGTGTTTTGACCTCTAGACCAGCTAAATGAACAACAAAAATGTTGTACAAAATTATTTTGTAAAAAAAAAACTTATATTTTTAAATTTTTTGATTGTTTTAATTATTCATTCTGACAATGTCAAAACTTAAAAACAGTTTTTGTTCTATTCTTGAGAATATGTCCCTTGTTTATTAACTTCATTTGATTTAGTTACTTATTTAGGTCAGCTTATTAAATATCTCATTTGATTTTAGCAACAGTAAACATACTTTCCTGTACTGGTTGAAGACTTAATAACTTAGAAGTTTTTAATGTAATGCATATTTTGCACTTTCCCAATTTACTGGTACTAAAAATAGGGATAACAAATTTTGTTTCATTTATCCACTTCTTTAAACAGGTACTTTGTATTTTAAAAGATAAAACTTATAAGATTCAGTGTTTTCTTTATAATCAGATACCAAGTTTTATAAAATCTGCAATAAGCTTGGTCAGTATTTGTTGCATAAATGGTGTTGTCAAAAGATTTCTGAAAACAAATTCTTAGCTCAACTTGTACTTTAAGACCAGAACAAATAAATTATCCTTATGCTTCATGCATTAAGTGCTTAAAATATTTACAGTATTCATATCACTATATATGGGGGTGGGGGGGGGGGGGAAGAGAGCCTGTCCAGATTTTGTTTGTTTTTTAATATAGTAGTCACTTTTTTGTTGGGCGACATCAGAAAATATTTGTATTTTTTGTCACCCAGAGTCATTTTTAGAACTGGTTGATTTATATCCCGGTTTTTTGTTTTACTACAAGCTTTAACTTGAGCATTATGGCATTAATGTGTATGCAAACTTTAAGCAGCACAATTTTTTGGGCTTCCCCTCACAACTTACTAACATCATGTATTTGGAAAGCTGTCAGTTGAGTGTCTTTTAACCAGACGTTTATTAAAGTTTATGACTGCTTTTAGTTCTTTTCTGTTTTTGAGGTTGAATGTTACCAATTACTGTTCATGCGAAAAATATGTTGGTCAAAAGTCATCATGTTGACTCCTGCTTTACTGAAGCACACTTTAAAATGTCAGTAGTTGCCTTCTCAAACTGGAGACATTTGTTTTTTCATTTGGAACCTAACATGATGTCAAACTATATCATACTTGATGCATATCCTGTACAGCTTCATTGGTGATCATAATGATGATCTGGCCTGTAGAGTTATTGGGTTACTCTAACTAGCCATTGTATTTCAAGGTTTTAGGTTATTCTGGGTTGGTTATTTGATACTATCTCTAAAAAGTAAGTTGAACTTACTAGTTAGCACTAAAATAAAACTTATTGTGGTAACAAACTAAGTAAATCTGTCTAATTAGCTGAATGGCTTTTTAATTAAAACTGATGACATAGCATGTTGAGATTAACATAATAAACCTATTAAGTACCAACATTCTGTATTGCTTGTGTAGAGATATAGCATGTCCAGTTTTACATTTGACAAGAACACCAAGACAATCACCACCCAACAAAGAATAGGTGTTAAGTGGCTCACTGATCTAATTATACAACTGTATTTAGCCTTAGTAAAGAAGCATATAATGCCATTATTGACTACATCAGACTATTTTAGTGCTAAAAAGTTGAGATTTGATGCAAGAGATCTTTCAGTTATATACTCCACCGCCTCCATACTATTTAATGCACATTTTTAATATGAGAAATATATACAGGTATGATTCATCAAAAACATTTCCAGTATAAAGAAATTTTCCTTTATAAAGTAAACTTTATGAATTAAGTTTTTAAAAATATGAAAACAGGTTTAATAAAAAAAAAAAAAGGAAATTATTTCCAGCCAGTTCCATTTGTCTGATATTGATAGTTTATTTGAAAATGTATTTTAGAAAAAAAATTCTGATTTTTCTACAGTCCTAACAGTTTAAGAAAAGCATTGATAAAATATAACAAGCACTAATAAGCTGCATTCACAAGAAATTTATTTTTTCATATAAAAAAAAACAACTACCAAATATACAAACTATAATTATAAAATTAAGAAACAGGCAGCATTTTAAAATTCAGCTCTTTTCTACAATCTTTTATACTCAGGATATTTTTTTAAACTGATAGCTGATTAACAAATTACTTTGCTAAAAGAAAAACTGCTTAGTATATAATGGGCAATAATTGCAAAACATTAAACATTACATTTTCTTTTCAAAAAGAAAATGTTTAATAGGAAGGTAATTTTTTAAAATTAATCATTTATGTCATGCCTAAGTTTAGTTTAAAAATAAAAACTTAAGGTTGTTAATCACAATAAAAAAAAATAATTCTTTAAAACCAAAACAAAAACAGTTCACTTAGTTCAAGTTAAAATTGTATGACAGATAAACGTAACTGATGAACAAAATCTACATTTCATCAAAGACTTTGAGTGCTGACCAGACTTGTAGCATGTACCATCATAAGATCAACACCAGTGGAATAAACATTCTCAACAACAACAGCTGCAGAAAAAAAAAACATTTTCAAATGAAACTCTACACTATTGAAAAATAGAAGCAGAAGCCAAGGCAAAATAAAAATGTACAATTACAATATTATTAGTCATTTCAGTTAGAACACTAATTCTAATGAGTTATAAAGTCAAGAAAAGTACCTTAGTAAATTTTAAGAACTGCTTGGGTATTGAGCGAAATTGTAGGCTGTGGTAAGATTTGACTGCTGCTGTGTTGTTCCATAAGCAGCATTTGGGTCTTGAGTGCTATATGCACCATATGTACCACTGCAAAGATTTTTTAAAAATTATTCAAGGAAAAGCATTTGAGAAATTTGACCAATATTTAATAAAGAATCTTGAGCCCTGTGTAGTACAGGTACTTTCCATAGGGCAAATGGAAGTAAAAACATTTAATTATCATTCACATTAAAAAATTATCACTAAGTATTTTGTCAGTAATAATAAAAACCAAATTCATATATAGCTGCTAGCATTTTAAAATATGAAAATCTCATAAATATATCATTCCCAGCTTTTTTGGTTTTTGGCATATAAGGTAGGAGGAGATCAAATCAGAATAAATAAAAAAAAAAATAGCTTACTCTGTTACACCTGTAGCTACTGGATTAGCTGTGTAGAACCCCTGGTTGGCAAATGCAGCATCAGCTGAGTAGTCTGCTGCATTAGCAGAGACATTGCCCATACTTTGTGTGTTGTATGCATAATTGGATATAGATGTAGCTTGATTATTTGCTTGCTGGCCATAACTTGCTGTGTAGTCCTGTTGCTGCCCTACCGCTGGTGTGTTAGAGGTGGCTGTACCAGACTGTGCTGTGTAATCAGTCTGGCCCCAATAGCCATCAGTTAGAGTGGTCCCAGCTGAACCATACGTCTGCTGGGTTCCATAGGCTTGCTGGCCCCAAGCAGTTTGATCATAAGTTGCCTGTTGATTTCCGTAAGCTTGATTGGTATAAACATTCTGCTGAATGGCCTGAGTGCTGTATCCAGTTTGTGGAGTCTGTTGACTATTGTAATCTGTTTGTTGAGTTGGTTGGGTATTGTAATCTGTCTGCTGAGTAGGCATCTGATTAGCTTGCTGATTGCCAAAGCTGCCCTGCTGATTGTAAGTAGGCCTAGAGGAGTAACTATTTTGAGGGGTGTAATTGTTGTTTTGATTTCCATAATTATTTGGATAGCCAAATGCAGTTTGCTGATTTCCAAAATTTTGACCCCCAAAGTTTTGCTGACCACCTGCTGATGCCCCCCTGCCAAAATTTTTGCCTCTTCCTCGGTTTTCATAACCTCCACCCCCTCTATTTCTGTTTTCAAACCCACCACCCCTGCCCCTATCACCGCGGGACCCTCCTCTACCAGTACTCTCTGCATTACTGCCCCTACCAGATTTATCGGAACTGCCACTGCCCCTGCCATGATGGTCAAAGCGCCCTCCTCCCCTCCCTGATTGATCAAAACGACCTCTTCCCTGATTTCCAAAATGACCACCTCTTCCTTGGTTATCTAAATGACCCCCTCCTCTCACAGGATTATCCAAAAGGCCACCCCTTGCTGGAGAATCAAAATAATTGCCACCCCTTGCTGGAGGTTCAAAGAAGCCACCCCCACGGGGCTCAAAACGACCTCTGCCCATGTCATCAAATTGTCCAAACCCTCTTGGGTCATCCATAGGTCCCCCTCCCATATCATCGTACCTATTTCTAAAGCCATAAGAGTCTGCAGGGTAATCAGAAAATCTACCACCTCTTTCTCTGTCATTGTACCCCATAAAACTCTGACTTCTTCCACCCCCAAAGTGTCCACCATGCACTGGGATATCAAACCGTCCCATTCTACTTGGTGGGGATGAACGTCCATGACTGTCACGTCTTTCTCTGTCTCTACTTCTTTCTTTTCTATCTAAAGCCCTTTCTCTGCTGTGTCTAGAGTCATCTGAGACTCTACTGCTTTCTGAGGCTTTCCTAAATCTGTTACCTCTGTCTCTTTTCTTGTCTTTGCGACTTGTATCCCTGGATCGTCCACCCAATATAGGAGCATCCATAAGACTTGGAATGACACCTGCTGTTACAGATTGTAACAATGCAAGTTGTGACTGAATTTTTTCATTCATTTCCATTTGTAATTTGATTACATCAGCTCCAGCAACGGGCACTTTATCCCACCGGCTTCTCCTTTCTCGTTTTTCTCCTTTAAGCCCCTCCAATAAAGGACGAATACCTTCTGTTTTTGAACGAACTACTTCTTTTCCTCTATTACCATCTGGTCGTGATCGATTCATTTCTGCTTTGGGTCTATCTGGTTTAGATCTGTTGTTATCCTTTGATCGCCTGCCATCTAATTTAGGCCTATTTTTGCGATTCTCGATTTCCATTTCTCTTTTGCGTTTGCGATATTGGATTGTCTCATCTTCATGCATATCTGGTACCATTTCATATTCAATTTCAAAAGTTCTTGGCAAAATTTCCCATGGACTCTCTCCAGTATAAGCTTCAGGTTGAACACCATCATCAATATTTTCTGAGATTGATAACAATCATTTTAAGAAAGACGAACATGAGCTAGAATAATTTTTTCACATTTTTTAAGCAAATCAATACTTATTACTAAGCAGTTTGAAAGCTAACCTTCTTTCCAATCAAGGCAAATTCTTTCATCTCCATTAATGTGTATTGCAATATAAGAGTTGCATATTCCAGGTACATTACTTGCAGACGTGACATTCAAATCACCAACCCTAGAGAAAGAAAATGTAATCACATGAAATTGTTTATTGAAAAAACCTTTAACCCATACACTGAACGTTGTTCAGTTACTACTTACTGAACACAATAATTTTTGCTCAAACTGAGTTCAGCTGAGATAATGTGTTAGCAAGACGGTTTCAGTCAAATTAACTCGGCATAGCTTGCACTTGCCAGCAAAACAAAAACAACTATCCATCAATTGTCAACCAAAATTCAAAATAATACCCACAGTTTATACAAACAATACTTATGTTGAAGTTTAGAGAGATCCCATTAGAGATGAGGTCGTTTAAGGTGAGATATCCAGGCCAGTTTTTTCAGGGTTACAGGGCGGATCTCTCACCGACACTCTGTACCCTGATACTGCTGCCTTTACTCACCTACGACCTTTTCCGGTCTTTATGATGTCCAAATTATTAGCAACAGGAAAGAGCACATTGAGCAGCTCTTTCGAAGTGCTCTCTGGCAAATATTTCACAAACAGTGAGCGTTTCTTCTCCTTGCCTGAAATATAATGGAGATGGTGGTAGGAGATTTGGTCAAGGATATTGGAGGGCAGCTTAGGGTCAAAGTCGTCAGAATAAGACACTGATGACTTCCAAAGCAAATAATAGCACGCATGTTTAACATCATTTTTAATGTATGTAACCAAATATTGCATATAAGGTTTATTTAACTCAAGCTCGTAAGATCTCTTGCGACTATAATATAATTTACAAACCTGAGGTTACCTGAAAAATATACATCAAAGGCATATACTTAACAGACAAAAATACAAAAACCTCTGTAGCATGGCTACACAATAGTGAAAGCCATCCTTCATCAAATGGCCTCAGAGGTGTTTTATTGAAAATACTACACATACCTTTAATCTTTTCAAATGTTGGTGTATGGTAGTAGTCAAGGAGCAATGTTGCTGTGGAATAAAAACATTGGAGCAAAATGAAAAAATAGGATATTTATTTTCAGACAAAAACTCAATATGTTTTTTATCAATGTTTTATCGCAGTTAAAGCAGTCTAACGCATTTGGTGAACAAATTGATTGTTTAATATTGCTAACATTTTGAATAAAAGAAGTTTATGCTACTCTAAAATAACAACGGAGACCTATCTAATTGCAATTTAATATTTACCATATAAACAACTTTTTTTTAAAAATTAAATTTGACAATATAACAAAAGTGTAAATGAAGTTTTATTTTAACCGTAAGTTAATTTAAACTGAAATCATCTAATTGTACTCTTGTTTTCAATTATTCCTTATAATATAATACATTCTTTTAAAGATTTGCATGGTAAAAATGTAAGTCTTCAACTGTAAAGAGCCTAGATTTAGATTAATTGTAATTTGAAAGTTTTAGTTCATGTGATGGAAAATGAATGACCAGATTAGCTGCAATTAGAAAGGGTCTGATATTTATATTAAGAAGTATTTTGAATTAATACTTGTAAAAACATTTGAGCCAAAATTAACCATTTTGATAGTTAAGCCACATCATTATTTATGCCTTTGAATAGCTGTAGATAGTTAATAAAAATAGCCTGTATCATATTTTTTCGTCCACAAACAAGACACAGACTGGGTAAAGATGCGTTCACAGTACTTTTTAAATCAGTAACTTTCAGTAAGCTATGTTCCTGCTACGACGTATGCTAGAGGCTATTTGAGACAGGCTGTTAGTGAGGTCAAAAGAGCCAATGTTGCTACAAAGAGGGGCGGGTTTCTCTAGTCCTTATAGTCACCTTTTGCAGTGATTGCAACATTCATTTGAGGTTGCGAAATAAATCAGAAGCAGAGAGAAACTGTAGATCCAGGTAGATTTAAGAACAGAGGGTGAATTAAAATACCAGTAGATGGATTAGGCTTTAGTGAGACTAATGTGAATGCAAAATTAAAGGTAAATAAAGAAAGCAAGCTTGGGAGATGTACTTTCATTTACAGAGTGGCAACATTTTAGATTTCTATTTTCCCTATTTTGGATATTTAACTGAAAATATCAGCCAAATATTCTGACTTAAAGAATAAGCGTTCTGAAAAATTCGGAAATCTGAATCTTGACCTTCATTTAATCTTACTCTAGTACTGTCTGACCTAGTGCAAAAATCGAATTGAAAAGAAATACGCTTATTTGATTGTCCGTTTCACCTGATATCTGCACTGCAGGTAAAGGGTAATACCCAGGTTCAAGTATGTTTTACTTTTAAACTGGCATTAAACTTACAACTAAGTTAACCTGCTAATAAGTAACTAGCCATTGAATAATCTAAGTAGTTGAAGTAGTCAGGCAGTGTTTTACAGACACATTATTTTCTATTAGAGACACTTACAAAAAAGTAAGTACATTAACAAACCTGTTTCTTCAACTTCAGTGTAAGGCATTTTTTCTATCTCTTCTTCGACTTCATCATCATCGGTTTCATTTTCAGTTTTTTCTTTTAAAGATGCCTTGGCTCTAATTTTTTCAATCTGTTCTTTGTTTTTTGCCCTCCTGTTTACTTGAATGGTCACATATCGATAGGTCATGGGAGCATGCAATGTCTTCAGCATGACCATGGCAGCATCATTTGTGCTTCTCAAACACAAGTCAAATGCACTAAATAAAGAAAAATTCTATTGTAAAAATTAAGTTTGGTCGACTTAACAAAATTTATAAAAATCTATTCAAAGCTAACAAAGATAGCTTTTATTACTTAAGTTCTAAAACAATTTTTAAACTTCAAAACACAGTACTTACCCCATCCCATAATTTTTTTTGTCAATGTAAAACCAAGTTTCCTGGGCTATTTTGGAAACTGATTCCAGTACACATGTTCTGATATCTGCTTGGTCTATTGGGAAAATTCTAATATGCCACTCCCACTTTTCTGAAAAACATGTTTTAAAGGATTTTTAATTTTCCAACTAATAAATTCAAATAATAATTTTGGGAAAAAAATCTAGATTTCTAATAGGCTACATGAGAAAATACAATTTAGTTAAATGTAATTTTTCTCCCCCCCCCCCCCCCCCGTTAATTCTATAAATAAAAATATATTATTGTCATGACTGGAACCACTATTTTTCATGAAAAAGAGTTTACAAGATTTGTCCATGCATGATCAGTATTTCAATGAGTAAGATTAAAAATATTTGATTGTTATTTATTTTAAAACCCACAGCACATTCATGGGGCCAAAGAAAGTAAACGCCATAAACCTAATTATTTGAGCATGCCAAACTGCACACCTGACATGGAAGAGGGGGTGAGGGGTGGAGCTCTTATTGAAGAAGCATTTAGACGAGAGGTATAGGATGAAATTTTAACCAGCTGAGTATAAAATTGAGGACTAGGAACCTCAAGTTTACTAATTAACTGACAATTTTGACTTTTATAGTGGGGGGTGGGTGGGTGGGGGGTAAGAGTTTTAAAGAAAGGAAGTAAACTTACCAATCAACTGCAGACTACTGAAATCTGGGAATGTATGAGGCTTATAGGGTATAATAACTTCCTCTGGCTTGTCTATTTTCTTCTCTTCACTTTTTTCAAAATTTTCATCTATGCCCTCTTCAACCAGCATGTCTTCTTTATTACTGTTTGCGTTAATTTCACATCCATTGTCTTGGGTCTCTTTAACAGTATTTTCTTCAGAATCTTCTCTGCCCTCATCTATCTTTGTATTGTCATTCTCATTTACTTCCTGTGCTTCAGTATCCTTGCACACTGACCCATTCCCTTGTTCCAAATTAATGCTTTCATCTGCAGTCTCAAATGCTTGACTTTCATCTGCAACTTCAGAAGCATGACTTTCATCTGCAACTTCAGAAGCATGACTTTCATCTGCAACTTCAGAAGCATGACTTTCATCTGCTACTTCAGAAGCATGACTTTCATCTGCTACTTCAGAAGCATGACTTTCATCTGCAACTTCAGATGTCTGACTTTCATCCAATTGCTTAACTGTTTCACTATCAGCTTGATCTGAGGTTTCTACTTCCATCTTGTCATCCACCTCTTCTGAACCTTTGGCAGCTCTCCTGCCTCTCTTCTTTCCTCTAGCAGATTGTTTAGTTCTTGGCATTATTAAGAACAGAAAGTTCAAAACTAAAAGCCAAAAAACAAAAAAAAAAAGAAAATGAGTTAGAATAATCTATTAGTTGCAGTGTAGGTGTCAAATATTAGACATTTTAAATTGTAACACTAAATTATGTCCCAGGCTTAAGAGGAATTTAAAAGTCATAATTAATAATTATGAAACAATTCACAACATATTAGCCCTAAAAGACAGACATATAATAGTATTACTCGCTAACCCGAAGGCGTGGTTGGTTGCTAACAATATCATGTACAGACCGGATGCATGACTTCCGACGATTTTTTGTCTTAGTTCCAGTGACCTTCTTAGAATTACTGTTTAAAATGTTTACCACGATCAAAATGGCGGGGTTTTCGTGTTATAAAAACAAACCATAGGTGGCAGGGCTATATATGCCAGAAAAGCATTTCAAAGTTTGCGTTGGAGAATGAAGGCTAAATTTAAAAGTTGGTTTTATTAAAAATACTAGAACTTTTTAAATATCAAGCTGAAGAGTACAAAAATGAAATGAAGTCTGTAGAACTATTAGGTTTATCAGTCTATGTAAAATGAAATCAAATATAGCTAACCACTTTTTTTATAAACGATGGCTTTTGAATGATAACCAAATTTATTTATTTTTTTAAACCATGTGACCGCTATTTGATGATCACTAGTGGGGAACTCTGGGTACATGGCCACTTAAAAAGTCTAACCTGATTTGTGGTTTTCTTTAGCTTCAAGCGTAAGAAGAGTTGTCATGGAGAGGTGTGTTGGCCATGGCAGTGAGTGTCAATGAATATTAAATTAAGTAATTTAGTTTAAAACGAACTAAAAACTTCAAAATTAGTGCCTAGTGGATTAAATATGGATGTCTATCATTCAGTAGTCATGTTTAATTTGAAATTTGGGTAAATTCTAGATTTAGTAAGAAAAACTAAAAACTAGTGATGTTTCCAACAGATGCAACATTGCTCATTTACTATAGCAGCCATCTTGTTGAAGTTTTTTTGGTAAAACCTTAGTTTAGCGTCGGAAATTATCGGGTAATGTTTGTTGAGTTTCTGTAACTAGAGTTACGGTAAACCATGGTTTATTTGACCATTGAAATATAAATAAATTGAAAGTCGATTGTCGTAAATTAATGTATTAATTTTTTAAGTTTAATCGACAAAAGGAAACAAGAACAAATATAATAGTAGATCTAAAAATTAAAAAAACAACACATAGGCCTATTAATATAAATAATGAAGTCAAACGTAATAATTTAATGTTTTTGGCTTGCAGCGGATTTGCGACCATTAATTAATTAGATCTAGATCTAGCTAGATATCTAGCTGCTAGGCCAAGTAAAAAAATCTAGATTACGAAAATAGTAAAATGTTTACAAAATGTAAAAATGATTACAAAAATAAATCTATCCAAATTTTAAACATTCTGTATAAAAATAAAAGATGACGCCAAATAAAGTATGGTTTACAGTACTTCCGGTGAATTCCGGAAGTGTGTGACAGACTTTGGCATTGTTTTACTGTTTTTTTTACTGCTATACGATTCCGGAATAATAACCGACGCTAAACTAAGGTTTTACCGGGTTTTTTTATATTAACTTATAGCGCGAGATTCAGGGGAAGCCACTCTAACTTACAGATGGCAGCTTTTTATATAGCAAATCCTGCTCGCAAACACTGCTGTTTAAAGTTAAGTTGATATATTTAACCATTGATTTAGGTTTATTATTCATTTATCTATGATATTTGACACAAATATATCACAATATACTTCTATTACAGCCTTGACAATGAGGTAACTTTTTCGTACATTACTAGCCGCTGGCGATATTAGGTCCTAAAATGATAGATTACCAAAAAAGGTAATCTATCGTTTTGGGTACGTAAAATCGCCCGCGGCTATTAATGTATGAAAACGTTACCTCATTGTCAAGGCTGTAATAGAAGTATATTATGATATGTTTGTGTCAAATATTATAGATAAATGAATAATAAACCTAAATCAATGGCTAAATATATCAATATAGGCCAGAAATTAACTTGAAACAGCAGTGTCTGCAAGCAAGATTTGCTATATAAACAGCAGCCATTTGTAAAATAGAGTGACTTCCGCCTGAATCTCGCGCTATAAGTCTATAAAAATAAAACTTTAACAAGATGGCTGCTTTAGTAAATGAGCATGGTTGCATCTGTTGGAAACATCGCTGGTGTTTATTTATTACTTAAAAGTTTTAGGCCGATTCTAGCCGGAATAAGATACGCATGCGATACACATGCGCAATGGAGAGAAACTACGACTTGCCTTAGCGGCAATGTTTTCGATGGTACTGCGCATGTGTGTGTTTACAACCGCAGAACCCTAACACCAACCATAATCCTATCCTTAACGCCTTAACCCTATCCCTAATCCTAACCCTAATCCTATCCCTAACCCTATTCCTAATCCTACCCCTAACCCTCATTCTAGCCCTAACCCTAGCCATAGGTCACTGCGCATGCGCAGAGCTATCTTTTGCCGACTAAGTGGAGACGTTGGGGAGAAAAATCTTCTTCCGAGTAGACACTTCGAAAGTTTTAATTCAATTGTTTAAAAACAGGTACATAAATGAAACAAGGAAACATTTTTGTATTTTTCAAAACATAAATCCTCCTCAAAATGTGAAATAATTATTAAAATGTAAGGAGTCACCTGTTTTTCACATTACTAGTCGCGGGCGATTTTACGTACCCAAAACGATAGATTACCCCAAAAAATCAACCAAGTTCAGATGGTATTCGTATTTTTCTTAAAATTAAATTGTAAGCAACCTCTATTTTCTTAGGCCATATTTTAAAACAGTTAAATAAAAGCCAAAGCTTCACAATACCGAAATATAGTATAGGGATTCTTCTTTTAATCTGTATTGTAAGACCAATTTGCCAAACTAGACTAGTGATAGATCAAGAATGGCCGCCATTAAAAAGATGCCGATATACAAAATACGGACCACAGTTGGGGGCCAAGCTGGATTTTTCACAAATCTAACAATAATGGTTTCAATAGTATTGTATCACTGTAGTGTGTTTTTAAAAATTAATTAAAATAGATTTAATTACTTGATATATTTAAATGTATCAAGAGTACATTTTAACATACGATTTATTAATTTACAGTTTTACCATCGTTTTTCTTTTCATAATTGGCTTATTATTTTTTAATTCATGCGCACAGAAAATGGCATTAGAGAAACCCACGCATCTTAGGTCTATTGAATGTCGTTACCGAAACACGCCATTAGTTCATTGCAAATATAAAAGTGTTGTTTTTTTTTTAATATCTATTAGAATTTTGTGATTCAAATTTTTCAATAATTTTACCAAAAAAAAAGAAACTATTTTAATTTCTGAAATTAGCTACACTCAAAACACAAAGAGTAACAGAAAACCGCCAAATGTTAAAAACAAACAAGAGAATTTACATTAATTATGCCGAAGCCATTATAGTAGCATAAGGGTGGAAATGGTGTGTAATATGGACATTTCGCGCAGAATTAAGATTCGCCAATTAGATCTAGATTAAACTATACTGAACAGCCGATGGAGCCCCTTCTGATCCACTGCAAGCAAAAATAAAAATCCAAGCGACAATTATTCAATTTAAAAAAATCTAATTCGGCCAAAGGAGTCATCCATCAATAATAAATAACTTCAGGCTTGTTGGACCACGCCCTCCCCATTATCTTAAAAGATAGAACTCCCCTCTAAATTACCATCACAATTCCACATTCTCATCCTTCCTTTCCAATGTTCTATTTTTTTTACTGATCAATTATATTACAATTTGCAAAAAAAAAAATTGAATGCGAAGTTGCAGTGAAATATCCGCTCCAAATAGCTAATTAGCGTAGGCCTATTTAATGACTTCATAAAAGGTTTTATTGAATCTGACATGCAAAAACAGTAAGTCTGTGAGATAAAATCATAAAACTGTTTTTAATTCCTTGTAATTTGTGCATTGGTCTTTTTTTTAATTACTGATCCGCCTTTACCTTGTAGTTAATTAGTTAATTTTCAGTCATCTCTGGGGGTGGGGGCTACCTGTATCCGCCCACCTTACCGAAAGTTTCAAGCCCCCCCCCCTCCCGGAGAAAAATGTCTGAAAGAAACCCTGGTTATGTGACATTTCTAATAATAATATTTTATACTAAATTGCTTTTATTGAAGAATTATCAATATTCGCCAATTTTCTCGGTTAAACTTAACAATTGTTTGATTTTTGGGTATATAGTAAAACCTTTTCTAAAAAGGTAGCTAAATCTAGTCTAGATAAATTTATGTTGTTTCAGTCTGTTGGCGAAGTTAGCATAAACAAATAATATAAAATTATTTTCATACACTTATTCTAGCTACTTAAGAATACTGTCATTTGTTATAGATTGGCCTAGTCTAGATCTATCTATTTTCTTTATTGATTGAGTCAGTATTGAATTGTTTTTCGCTTCTTTTACTTTACTTAACTTTGGCACTTTTCATTTTTATGCCTAGGCATTGTTATAAATATTAATAGATCTAGTAATACTAATAATTAATAAGTATAAGTAATAAAAAATAATAAATAAATAGTAGGCCTAAATAGAAATAGGGGGGGGGGGGCTAATAAATTAATAATTGGAATAATTGGCATACTTTAAAAAATTAGGTAATTAGGTAATCTATCGTTTTGGGTACGTAAAATTGCCCGCGGCTATTAATGTACGAAAACGTTACCTCATTGTCAAGGCTTTAATAGAAGTTAATTGTCATATATTTGTGTCAAATATTATAGATAAATGAATAATAAACCTAAATCAATGGCTAAATATATCGATATTATAGGCCAGAAATTAACTTTAAACAGCAGTGTCTGAGAGCAAGATTTGCTATATAAACAGCAGCCATTTGTAAAATAGAGTGGCTTCCCCCTGAATCTGCGCTATAAGCTTATAAAAATAAAACTTAAACAAGATGGCTGCTATAGTAAATGAGCATGGTTGCATCTGTTGGAAACATCGTTAGTCTTCATTTATTACGGAAAAGTTTTAATGCAATTGTTTAAAAACGGGTACATAAATGAAACAAGGAAACATTTTTGTATTTTAAAAAACATAAATCCTCTCAAAATGTGAAATAATTATTAAAATTTAAGGAGTCACCTGTTTTTCACTTTACTAGTCGCGGGCGATTTTACGTACCCAAAACGATAGATTACCAAAAATTAATAAGAAAACTTAACTTTACTTCAGATTACTTCTTGAAGTGACAGGAGTGCACCGAATTTGACTGAAGTCACTCTGACTCAACTCACTTAGTCACTCAGGCAACAAATTTTGTAGTTACTAGGCTTAACTTGAATACTAACTTTTAATTCTAACTAAATTTTACTAAATGAAATCTTGGTAATCTATCGTTATAGGTGCCAGAATTTGGCCGAGGCTAGTAATGTGCGAAAAAGTTTCCTCATTGTTAAGGCTTTAAACTTTAATATAAGTAGATTGCGATATATTAAATTATAGCCTATAGGGCCTACTATTATGTCAAATATTATAGAGTCTAGATAACAGAATAATAAACCAAAATCAATGGCTAAGGCTAAATATACCAATATAGATCTAGGCCAGAAATTAACTTTAAACAGCAGTGTTTGCAAGCAGGATTTGCTATATTCTATAAACAGCGTAGATCTGTAAGGGTGGTTCCCCCGAATCTCTAAGTATAATTTTACCAAAAAAACTTAAACAAGATGGCTGCTAAAGTAAATGAGCTTTGTTGCATGTGATGAAAACATCGCTAGTCTATATTTTTTACTGAAAAGTTTTAATACAATTGTTTAAAAACAGGTACATTAATGAAACTTTGAAACATTTTAGTAACTTTCAAAAAATCCTCCTAAAAATGTGAAATTAATTACAAAAATTTAGTCACCTTTTTTTTTACACTACTAGTCACGGCAGGTTTTACGTACCTAAAACGATAGATTACCAAAATATTTATAACGAGCCGACCCGCGCCGTATCATACGCCGCTATTTATTTGTTTTATTTTCTGCTTTTCAGTATTTGCTTTAAAACACTATCAGTAGGTCATTAAGGACGATAACCCCCCCCCCCCACCCTCCTTTCCCCCTTCCCTACAAACCCCCCCCCCCCCCCCCCATTGAAAGCAGCCTCCTCTTAGTTACCTCCCCTAAGTTTAAAATCGTTTCAAACTAAATTATTTGCCCCTAATAGCCATGACTAAACCCGGCTCTACGATTGTAAACATTTAGCGTGAACCACAGCTCACCAGACCATTTGGGGGTGGCAGGGATTTGCCTAGAGTGGAGGAGAGGGGCCTGCTAGGCGCGCTTGCAGCTTGGTGTTTTCTAGGGTATCCAAGAAGAGAATTATATATATAGATACTATACTCAAATATAGACAGGGTTCCCGTGGCCTCCTGATAATTTTATTGGTTTTTTTTCCCCGTGCGTTAGATCTATTGGTAGGTAATAAAATAGGTAATCAGACCTGACCGCCCCAGTATAATTTTCTTCTTTGTCAATTCTGTGCATACAAGGCAAAATCTTTATATGTAGATCTATAGTTGTCTTTAACTGGTGACCAGGTGGGTTTAGTTTAATTTTTTCTCACTTCTTTCTACGAATGGGGGGGAGGGGGGGGGGGGGCTAATTTTGATAGGTCTGAAGTTCTTTTTATTTTTAAAATAGGAGATTTCATGTAGACCTAAATTTATTTTTAGCCCAGCTAATTTGAATCTATTGTCCTATAGGCCCTATAGCTTCTTTCAATTTACATTTATGTCTTAATACTACCACCCTCCCATCCCACATCTCAGTTTCTCTTTCTCGTGGCGGGAGGGGAACGCTGGTTGGCTCTATGACTTGAACTCTGTATGACCCACTGTGTGATGTCATCACCAATCTCAAATAGCATTTCTGTACCCTATGACTTATACTGCAGGCCAAATACTACAGCTTAGATTAATTCAAACTGACACAGTGTGACTGTGTCTTGCTGGGGGCTAATAAAAAAAACTAAGAGGTTACTTATCAGAATGACTATTTTTGGCTCTAATGTTTTGTATTTTCAAGTATTATTTTAAAAATGGAGTTTAATTTTCGTAGGCCATATTTAAGCTACTCAGGTTGATCTAAAAAGTTAAAATAACAGGCTATTTACTGTTGAAGACTTCCATGTAAATCTTGATAGGCCTACCATGTCCATCTTTAAAAGATAAGACATGGTTTCAGTTGTTCTGTTTGTATATGATTGACATGTGTTAGTCTGAAGGCTTACTTTGGAGAGGGGTTAAATCACTTTACACTGGGAGATGGTTATGATTGCTAGGCAAAATATGTTTCTCAGTAGAAAAGGTCTAAATTAATTTATTATAATTTTACCAAGTGAATTAACTCATTATTTCTGAGTGGCATGGGAAGTGGGGGTGCCAAAAAGGGTAGAAATTTTTTTTTAAATCTGATTTTAAGCTGACGTATTGCATTATATATAGTCAAAGTTAAGAAAATAAATGGCTCCAAGACACTGCACACTGATTTTAACTTTTCTCTACCTCAATTGTTTGGCACAAAGATAACAATTGTTACAAGATAGTGACTGGTAAAAAGCGCCACCAAAATAACAATATACATAAATGGGAGGGGTGGGGTGGTAAATTGAATCTACTTTAACTAAATAACAAAACGGTTTAGAAACCGTTACTTTTTAAGATTACAAATGCTATGCAGCATATAATTTTATAAAGACCTCATCCTATTTGAGAAATGTCACTTCCTAATCCTTTCAGCGAATGGGTTGAGATGATGTTTCTTTTTTAATATGTTAAATTATGTTCTGAAAAGACTAATAGGGCCTAAATAATTATAAGTTTTAGGCTAAATTTTATAATAAAATGACTATTATAATATTAATAACACTAAAATATAGGTCTAGAATAGATAACCTATTTTAAAACTTTATCTTTGCCAGTATCTTTTTTCTGATGGTAAACTTTTATTTAGTTTCAGATCACAGACATTGTTATTTTCCTTATTTACAGAAATTAAATTTTAAAAATTCTTTGATTTTTTCAGTGGTTGTCAGATACAGTCAGATGTTAAGATTTTAGGTTCTAAAAAATGCCTAAACGAAAAGTGGCTCGTGGTAGACGTGGTGGTGCAGCTAAAAAAGGCACAGCCAGAACTGCAGATGAAGCTGGTTGTATTGAAATGGTAGAACCCTTATCAGAAGCCAATGCAAGCAATTTAGAATTATCAGCTTGTGAAAGTACAGAGTCTCTCTTAGAAACAAAAGAGTCTGGTCAGTCATCATATTCAGGTGTAGAAGATAAAAAAACTGAATTATTAATTGATGGAAGTGATAAAGTTTCCACAGAAGCTAAGGAGGAGGAATCAAATGTTGTAGTCAAAGAATGTCATACTGCGGATATAACAGAGACATCTTCAGAGATTGAGCCAGTAAGTGGTACAAGCAGCACACAAGAGAAATCAGCCAGCCTAGAGCTTCCTCTATCAGGTGATGGAGGCGAAAAATCTAATACATGTGGTATTGATGACAATGATCAGAGTGAGGTTTTGTTGGAGGAAAAAGGAACAGAAGAAGACGAAGATGTCCAGTTATTGGAGGAAAAAGGAACAGAAGAAGAAGAGGAAGATGTGCAATATATAGATGAAGAGGCAGATGAAGATCAGCAGTTGTTTGATGTAATGGGGACTACTAATGACAACACTGCAAAAAAAGATGATGCACAAAGTGAAGCAAGTACTTTTGAAAATGAAGTAAAGCAATTTCTAACAGCTCGTTGCTCTTCATCCAAATCTAAACTATTGGATAATGAAAACTGCACATTTGAAGAAATTTCAGAAGGGTCTATTGGCCAGCCTGAACAAGAAGAGATAAGCAGTGAAACAGCTGGTGATGTTGATGTCACTGGCATGTCCTTTCAAGCTAAAAGCTCTAAAGACAGTCTGCCAGAAGCTGAATCCTTAGAAGAAGTTTTTTTTGCTACTGAAAATGACGATACCAAAATCATTGCTGAGGATAAAGACAATGATGATATTTCAGACACTAGTCTCTCTGATCACGGAGGAACAAATCTGTCACTGGAGGAAATCAGTGATGATGACCTCGAGCCTTCTAAGAAGAGAAGAAAATCCGCAGGGCTTACTTTTGATAAAGTAGCAGCTGTTAAAAATCTTGATGCTAAAAAACCACCTCATGATACAGAAAGTAAAGTAGTTCCAGAAATAGTTTCTGAAGATGATAGAAAACCGTCAGAAACCAAAGTAAATAAACGTCCTGCAAGTTTTGATAAAGACAGTATTGAAGATAATGTAAACAAAAAAGTCAGGTTATCTGAAGGCATGAATGATTCAGACAGAAAACCAGAGTTAGAAAATATGGAAAAGCTGTTAGATCATATAAAGACAGAAAAAGAAGTTAAAAAAGAAAAATCTCCATTGAATGACTCAAAACTTGATAACAAAGGATCAGCTGCCATAAGCGGTGCTACTGTAAGTTCAGAAACCCTGAAGAACAGGAGTACTTCTCAAACAGAGAGAGGTCAGTCTCAAAATTCACGTCATGAACGACAGACGAGTAAAGAAAGACATTACCCAAGTCGAGATTTACCCTACTCTAGTAGAGAGTTCATAGAAAAAAGGCGGAGATATGAATTAATAAATACTAGCACTCAGACAGAACCTAGACAGTTAAAAGGGAAAATCGTCCAGTGTAATATTAATCCGATTAGTGTGGCTCCTCTATATAAGGAGTTGCAAAATGCAGTGGACATGACAGCTTCTTCTTCTAAGCTATTTGAAAAGATGAAAGACCTTCTCCCCTCTAGCATACCAGAAAAAATATTCAAAGATATCACTTCTTCAGTTCCAACAGAATCTGGTAAGGCAATAAACCATTTTTTAAATTACGTGTAAGGTTAACAAAATAATTTATTGTACGTTATCCTCTTTATAATGCTATTATGCTTTAGAAATGACTATACATTTCATTATACTACACACTATCATGCTATATACATTTCATTATGATATAATATAATAGTAATACCCACTTCCTTTTTCTTGTTCAGAAAAAAGCTACACATTTAGCATGGGTCCAGTGACACTATCAGATATGGACAGCACAGAGTTTAGAGAGGTGGCTTTGAAGGGGGCTGACAAGTTCAGCCTTAATTTTGATATGCACTGTCATGGGTGAGAATCTCCCATTTTTTATGTACATATTGAGTGAATGTCTTGTAAAAATAACACTACAGATGACACTTGAACACTAAATACTCATGATCCTTCATTTAATAACTTAAATGCAGTGTTAAAATAGTGCACACAGTATTTGAGAATGAAATACGTTTTATCAATATTAGTTCAGAATTATGAAGCCTACTCTTTAATAATTGTATATTTTAATTTCAATATTTGTTTTCTGGTGTTATTTACTTGTTTAATTTGTTGAGAGATTAGCAATTTTACCTTGTCTTTAAGTAATTGATATTTAATTTCCAAGAAAATATCTATCAATGAAAATATTATTGCAGTATGTTTAAATTTGCTGTTGTTGTTTTTTTTGTAATTTCAAAACTAGATCTTTATGAAATTTGTGAGCAAGTGTGTTAAACTACTTTTAACTACTTTGATAGTCATTGAAATTGAAAGAAGTAGGCTACTGTTATGTTTAAAATTGTATTACATTTAATGAGTATGATATTTTTGTGTTTTTTTTAAACTAATTTCTTTTTAATGTAGAATTTTTAAAGCAGCTTTATCAAAGCATGAAGATATTGCCTCACTTACACGGCATCTTAAGAGATTAGAACTTGGGAATCGTTACATGTGTATGTCATTCACTTATTGCCATGGTACTGACTCAGGACCTATGCTTTGGAAAGGTAATTAAGTACAAGATCATATATAGATATAGTATACACTCCAGTATGATTCTCCTTTTAAACAGTTGTAAATTTTGAATAATGATTATAGCAGTTCATTTAGGATCATGTGACATAAACCTGTTCACTAAGCTTATTATTACTGAATATTTGAATATAATGCAATTGAGGAAGATAGATAAACTGCTGAAAACTAAACATATTTGACTAGATCTGTTAATGAATTTAGAGGCACATCCTGATTGCTGAATTTTATCTCCAGCTACAGTTGTATTTATGTATGAGCAAGATATCCAGCTAGAGAGTCAGGGTCTTGTGAGTGATGGAAAAGTGCGAGCTAAAATCATTCTCAATGGGGTACCTAAAGGCGTGAGCAAAGATTTTATTCATCTACTGTTTCCAGAGGCACTGAGTGTCAGCACTGCTCCTGGCAAGGATGAAGACAGGTAATTTAATGGTTACAAGTATTGGCTGATTTTATTTTTTCATATTAGACTTCAATGTTCAACATTACTTTATAAAAAAAAAAAATGTTTATAATATAAAGCTTTTAAAGCATTTTAAACTTTATTCTTTATCTTTTTATGTCAGAGATTTTTCATCTACCCAAACCATGCCTTATCATAAAACTTCTTTTCTGCTTTAAAAACTAAAAATCAATTTCACACATCTAATTCATTTTGTCAACTATTAATTAATCAGTTTCATCTCATTTAAAAAAAATCAAAATATTTCTTTCAAGGATTAATCGAAATAAAAATTGTTTTAGGGTTGTTGTTCTTGGGTTTTCAAGCACCAAAATGGTTGAAGAAATTTTATCCTGTTATGACCTTGTGGTCATCAATGGCAGTCAGGTCAAGATTTCTTGCATGGATTCAGTTGTGGAACCAAGTGGAGACTTGCCATCAGGTTTGTTTGTTGGGACAGGTTTTTTTCACGCGAAGGCTGACACATTTCAGAAAATATAAGTAAAAACAGTCAGTATAAAGGTAATATGGGACGGCTTGGCCTAAAGGTAGAGAGCTAGACTACTAACCCGTAAGTCTCTAGTTTGAATCCCGTTTTAAGTCACTAGAATGTCCTTGAGTCCACCCAGCTGTGATGGGTATCTCTCACATTAGAGAAAGTAAAGGTTGCTGGGCATATTGCTGACCACACTATCCCTTCATATGCAGAGGTCTCTGAAACAGATGAACTCTACTTCATCTGCCCCTTTTGTCTTGGGCACAAACAGGAAAAGATGATGATAAAGATAAATGTTTTAAGTTGATTTATTCTGGTTAATAAAAGCGACCTTTTTTGCAGGATACACAAAGTAGAGAGAACTTGCTCATCATGTGGAAATTTAAATGTATAATAATTGTAATTGTTGCATGCACTTGTTTCAGATGTGCCAGAAGAAGCAGGCGTAATGATAATTGCAGACAAAGACGACAGCAATAATCTACCTCATGATAATGTTACTGAAGTATCTGAGGATCAACAGGCGCCTGACTCTCAGATACCCACAGATGCTGGTCTGGGACCAAGTTCTGGTGATGCTGGTGCCATAGAATGTATTGACATTAGCAAAACTGGTCCTGACTCAGTGGACATAAGCAAAACTGGTCCTGACTCAGTGGACATGAGCAAAACTGGTCCTGACTCAGTGGAAACTACTGAAAACAAGGAGCAAAAGTTAGCAGATAGTGATAAGGATGTTACAGGTGCTGTCAGTGATGTTACAGATGAACAGTCTAGCACATTAGCTGATGTTTGTGCCAATGTCAAGGATGCTACTGATGTACTGGACCAAAGTGATACAGTTGAAAAGTGTGATGTTGACAATATGGAAGTTTCAAAGTCTCAAGATAAGAGCTTGGACTCTAGTGTCATAGAGCTCAACTCAGATGGTGAAAACATAACAGTGGAGGAATCAACCAGTAAACAGTCCACAGCTGATGCTTCAACTGTTGGCGTGGAACTAGAAGCTGCTCAAGTGGAGAAGAAATGTACTGAAAAAGCTCAGGGTGTAGATAAAGTTAAACACAGTGTGAAAGAAACAGATAATGAACATTTGGAAGATGTTAGTGATGATGAAATGATCAATCAAAGCAAAGAATTGGATATTGATGATGTTGTAATACTGAGAGAAGACAAAGTGAAAAGAGTGATAGCTAACATAGATTTGACCAATGAAGAATCCAACAGCTCAGAAGTTCATGTCCCTGAATCAAAAGATGCTGCAGTGCCTCAAGAAGTGAAGAAAGTGGAAGAAAAACTCATTATGACAGATGGTAGTCTGGAGGTTACCATGGAAGCTATTGATGTCACTGAAGATGATGACGGCTGTGGACAAGTTTTGTACTCTAGAACCACCAGGGCTAGCTCTAAGGAAATGGACAGGATTTTGAAAGAAAGGGATAATGTATATTCTAAATCCTGGGCCAGTGACAGATGGCCGTCGTCTTCATACAAGTCTAAGTATGATCCTTATTACAGCTCTAGACAGAGCTACTCTAAACCTAGCAAAGAATATGCATCAAGATCTTCTCCCCCATACCAGCCCAGTTCATCAAAAGAAGCTCCGTGGCATACAAAAACATCTTCTAGAGAGGACCTTCGTGGCAGGGTACCTGCTCGTGAGGAAACAACATCAAGAAGGGAACCACTACGCTATGAGAAGTCAGTTCTATTGTTATGTCATTTTTTAAATGTTACTTCTAAATGTTACAAATTTTTTTTTTAAATTACATTTTTATCTATAATATATAGGGGAAGTTATTTGTATATATATTTAATCACCAACTTATAACACTTATAACTAATTGAAGCATCTTTAATATTGTTTATTTTTGTAGCTTTTAGAAAACATAATTTAAAATGTGATTATAAAACTTTGCTGCATTACAGAAGTCGTACTCCTTCCCCACGAAGATACTCAAGCTGGTACAAAGAAGCGGACACTTATAAATCTTCTAAACCCCACTACACATCTGAATACTATGGCTCATCGGAACGCAAATATAGTAGTAGCTCACACTGGGGTGGCTACAATGACAAATGGTCTTCATATTATGGAGAAAGCAAAACATACCCTCGACCAGTTGTTGAAACTGAAGCACGTTCACGAGACTGGCACCCTAAAAGTTCTACTTATCATCATAGTTCCTGGAAAGGGGATCGCCATGGAGAGCCAGAGGGCCATCATTATGACAGTAGGAGCCACTGCTATCCTGAGCGTAAATATTCTCCCAAAAGGTCTCGATCAAATTCCTATTCTGACATGTCAATATCGTCTGGTTGTCGCTCACCACACAGACAGAAAGTCTATGAGAGAAGTCCCAAACGTCCTTTTAAGCACACTTCTCGAAGCCCAATTTCAATTTCATCACGGTCTCACTCCTTGAGTCCAGTCTCCAAGTCACCAAGTCCATGTCAGAACATACTTAAAATGCCTGCGAAAAGTGAATTGGTTAAGTCTGTGAAGCAGTTTCTTGTTCTAGCTAAAGACCTGCATGCTCAAGCCAAGAGGAAAAGCAGATCAAGAAGTATTGAATTACATTCCCCCCGTCGTTCTAGAAGTCCAGGCTACCAGAGGATTCGCAGTCCACCTGATAGTCCTCCCAGACATTTGTCTGGTAGGTCTCAAATGATATCTCACAGTCCTCAAAGAGCTCGATCCAGAAGCCCTCCACACTACTGGCGTAGAGACTCAAGAAGTCCAAATTACAAGAGAGCTGCACATTCAAGATATGAAAGGTCTGCCAGCCCTGTATCTGTGGAGTATCCCCGTAGTAAGAAGTACAAGGATCATGTTGAAAGTAAACAGGCCTCTTATAAAGAATTTGACAGGCATGACTCTAGATCACAAAAAGCTCGAAATTACACCCAGTCTTCAGATGACCAACACAAGTCAGGACAGTGGCAGTTTCAGTCTTATTCCAATGAACCCCAGTGGCAACAGTCGTATGGAGGTTACCAGGCTCAGACCAAACCAGCATCAGGGCCAGAGCCACCAAGCACAAACACATTCAACCCCCCCTACCCTCCACCTAACTTTCAACCAACTGGTTACTCCCTGCCACAGCAGGACTCTAGTATGTACCATGGGAGCAGCATGTCAGTCTACCAGTACAATACACCTGCGCAGTATGGTTATAACTCAATGCCTCCAAATGTCCCCAACCCATACCTGCAAAACCCTGCCCCTCCTATTCCACACGCCTACCAACAAGCACTCACTGCTCTCCAGTCAGCTATGACCAGCCAGCCACCCCCACAGGTTTTTGAACCGTCTAACACATCCTCTAGCAATGCCTCATCTAAGAATAAAAAATCATGGTCAATGGGAAGCAATGCTATGGTCTTTCAACGTATTTTAGGCAGTGATGGTAAGAAAAAGAAAATCTAATCTAGTTTTTGTATTGCAGAAAAACTTTACATTTCATGTCTTAATTACTAAGTAATTAGTGATGTTTTTGTAGATCATGTATCAAAATGTATATTGTACATCCATTTTGTATATCAGCACACTGTTTAATATTCATTGTAGTGGTTGGTGTTAAAACTTGTAATATAGCACAAAATGTGATGTGTTAGTGCAAATTGTTCTTGCTAATGTTATGATACATCTGTGCGGTGGTTTGAACAGTGTGGTGATTTCATGGAGTGAGTTTGACATAATGTCCCATTTTCATGTATTTTAAGGTGGCAAAAAGAAAAGTGGCACCATCGAGAAAATTGGGGACCGGGAACGTCTGGAGAGACCTAAACAAAGTAAAGAAGTTCGTGTCCTGACCAATGTTCTGGTGAAGAAGTGATAAATTGTGGGAAATTCAAATGTGCTCTTGGTTCTTCTGACAGTGAACTTTCCTTTCATGGTCTTGAAATTCTTGAACAGTATTCTAATTTAGAGAACAGTGAGAAAATGTCCAATGTTTAGAAAAAATTAATTAGAAATAGGCGTAAATGTGTTACGTAGATGTGCAACTCTGGTAATCAGACAAAAAAATGTGATTGTTCTATTTTTTAATCTCATTATTTAATTTACAGTTTATTATTTGTGTTACAGTTGAATATCAACATTTCTCATTACCATTTCCAATGTTAAAAATTGATGAGCAGGTCATTTTGATCTAAAAAGCATGTATTGTGTGTGACTGTAAATTCAAATTTGTTCAGAGTTTAGAAGCTGTATTGAAATTATTTTTGTATCATCATTAAAAGGTCCAATGAGCATTATGTTGATTACAAATTGTTTTAAATACACATCTGATATATGCTAGTTTACTGAAGACTGGATCTCATTACATTGATTGTAATTTAGTTTACTGTTCTTTTGACAATTGTTAATTTGATGAATTTTTTTTGTCAGAGGTTAAATGGAAATGAGTGAGTTAATAGAACCTTTCTTAAGATTTAAGTTAGCTTTTTCTGTTTGTATTATTCAGAAATAAACAGAAGACAATTTTGTGATTCAAGAATTTTTTTATATTGCTCTTTATTTTTCCAATTACTTTTCTGTTGTTGCTTTGGTCAAATGTTACTTTTTTTCCCCCGCATATTTACACGATTGTAAATGTATTGAATATCATCAAATTCTCGTATAGCCTACTTTATTCTAACAATTTTCTTTGATCTGTTCAATCCCAAGAAGTAGGCTACATATGAACCTAAAAATGTTGAAGACCTTAAGAAATTTCATCATTGCTTCTAGGTGGTGCTTTAATATTTTTTCAATAAAGTATTAACATTAAAAATTGAGCTTTTATACATAAAGAAAAAATCTTTTTGCAGACACAAGGAAAAAAAAAGTCCAAATAATTTACAATGATTACAAATGTATTGATGATGAGAGTAAAAAAAAATAAAATTAATCAAGTGTTGAATTTTTCATTTTACATGAACAGTATCATCCATTAGCAGACTTGAAATCTGGCAAGTCATTCTCATTTTCTACATGATATATGATGTCAGCCAGAGCATATTCCACATGAGCTTGTTCAGCAGCTTCAGACATCTGAGGGTTTTAAACATTCAATTATTAGCCTGATAGTTTTGCTAACAAGAAGTGCTAGCATCTTCATAAAAATAGATCTGACATTAACTTGTGCATTTCAACAGTGCGGAAAGAAAATCAAACTAATAGAGTAGTTTATATTATTGATCATCTGAACATGGGTTTTACTTATTTCCTAGAACCCATTGTTCTTTGGGACAATGATAAAATATAGATTAAATAAATCATAAACATTTTACTTTTTTTTAACATGTGCACATGATTTACTTACTGGTGTATAGTCCATGCCTTTTGGAGGGTATTTAAATTTTGGACCAAAGTTGACTGTGACCTAATCAAAATGAGTTGTAAGAGTTACTTGCATATGGATTCCTGTTTCTTAATAAGTACAGTGCATGTTTTATTTTTGGTTAGCCAAACTCCTTTTCAATTACATAGAAAGTATTTAATATTTCAAAATGCCTAAAGGAAGTCTGCTGTCATTACCTACAAATATACATAATAATTTACTGTCTTAACTTCATGTCATATTTTGTAATTTATAAATTTGAATCTTACTACTGTAAGACATTATTAGTCTTGGTTATAAATTGAGATGGATAAGTTTTTGATGAGTATAAGTAACAGAGGTTTTATTGGTATTTTTGGACTACTTAAACTGCCGTCACAACCTAAGTGAAACAATGTTATTTTTACCACAGTGTTCCTGAAGAGAGAGACGGCTGGATAATATGTTCCCTCAAACACATCTGAGAAAGCTACCCCGGCACATTTTCCGTTTTTGTACATCATCATCTGAAAAAGAAAAATTTACATTAATACATTGTGATTTTTTTTTTAAAAACCCATTAGAACCATTAAGTTAAATTGTAATTATATTAAAATACAGAAAAATTAATTAGTCATTATTTGAAACCCCTCAAAATGAATAACAGTTAAAATACCAGAAAGAAAATCACATAGGGTAACTTCTAGTGGTGTAAAAAAATTTACCTTGCTGCCTTTGGCTGGTTTCAAGGTCTTCTCTGTCTCACTGACATTATCCTTGTCCTCAAAGTAAAGGTGGCTTTTGAACTTTACCAGTGGCTAAATAACAAAAATACGTTTAAGACATTTATTTTGTCCTATGTATGTAATAAATAAAAGGGAAGATAATTAGTTTTTATACACTATATAATATTTAAAGAAGTCACTTCCCCTGATTATGCTACCCACTGGGGCTTTTTTTAAAAATAAAAGTACGTACTATAAACTATAATTATAAAGAACTTTTTAAAAATTAACAACTTTTGTAAGAGCATGTAAAAAAAAACTATAAAGCTTGCTTCATATGTCTATCGTTCTTTTGTCTGTCTATTGTCGTGCTTCGTCCGTCATGGATCGAAACTTGAGAGCGAAATTTTGACCACTTCAAACCGACCAATTTCTCGGAAATTTGGCACGTGGGTCAAGACCCGAAAACAATGCAATCTGACATCAACTGTACGCTTAATTAATTTTTAAAGAATACATTAAAATTTCCTATAGAAAGTACGATTTACCGCGCTATTTTACGCACATTTGTCATTTGGTGCGCAATTGTTTTTAGTCATTGTATTAAAAATTTCAAGTGCTGAAAAAAGTGCATTTAATAACGTTTTAATAACAATCTCATATATAATTATGCACTTAAAAGGAGAAAACAAATGATTTTCTTTATCTATAATAATGAGCTACTATTTAACTAAAAATAAAAGCATAGGTCTTTAAAAAAATTCTAGTAAAAGTATTCAATCAGTTACTCCAAATATATTTTTCAAATCAGTCACACAATAATGGCTTTGGTTTTTCTGCATAGTACTAATAATGCTAAGAACGTGGATACCAATTATATGTCTGTAGGACAATTAAAAAAAAAATTATGCGCCTGAGAAACGTGTGGTTTTTTTTTTAAAATCTTTTTTGGCCTCATGAGGACCAGACTTTAGCACCGATTATATCGACATAGATCTACATTATAACGATAATACGGCGACCCGTGCTTTTTGTTTAAGTTATTTAAATAGTAGTTCCTTATTATATATATTAAAGAAAAACATTTATTTTCTCCCTTTAGCATAATTATATAAACACGTGTTATCAAACGTTTTTAATGCATTTCCTTTGTCAATCTAAACAGCGGCGAAGGAACAAGGGGAAAACCCAAATAAAACAGTTGTAATGTGAAGAACTGGTTCAACAGGAAGAACCGCTTTTGGGAGAGAACTCTGAATTACTTTTCAACTTAGGTGTGTGATTTTATGCGGCACCACATCTGATAACCGCTTTGATAATGAGGAAAAAAAAGAAAAAAAATGCCGACCAGTGTCCCAACATAATCAATACACTTTACTCAGGTTCGCATAAAAAAGTTTATTTTGTAGTTATTTTAACTACAAATACAAAATACTTTACCTAATTATATTAACAACATATTAGATCTAGATCTAAATATTAATCAGGAATGACTTTAAAAAGCATGACTTTTTAAATTTAAACAAGATTTTAAAAACCAATCCAGGCTACAATGGCTTGACGTAACTTTTTTTAGCGCAATTTCCATACTGACAATTGCGATTATTAACTCGTCAAGGATGGATGTGAATCCGATGTGTGTCCGCAGCTTTAAGTCGTGTCTCCTCCTCAACGAAGCAATATCGAGGACTAGTTCCAAAAGCAAATATGTTAAGCAAGTTCCGAGGATGATTGTGGGCCAAAAAAATTCCCGGAACTTCTTCCAGGATTTCCCGGAAAAGCCAAAAAAACTCGAAAAAATGCAGTTTTTGGCCCATATCTCGGCAACCAGACCACTTAGCGACTTGAAACATTTACCAATCGATTCCTGCCATAATTTAGAACAATATTGCCGAAGAAAGTTTTCAAAAATATCCTTTCGTTCGGTCACAAAAAATTAAGGAAATTGCGCTTAAATTGTCACTAGACTTTTTATTAACTTGTTTAACAATACAGCCTACTGGTCACGTGTACATGTGAGACAATGTGTAAGTTTGAGAAAGGGGGGGGGGTTACTTTCATTATTTATTAAAGTAGTAAAAGATTTTTTAAAATAGATACTAAACAGCCCATATTTGTTGTGTGATGAAGGGGGGGGGGGGGAGAAAATAGGATTTTTAAAAAGCGTGTTATCATTTAGGGTCAGTAGCCTACTTTAGTGGATGGTCAGTAGCCTACTGACGGAATAAGATAAAATAGCGTGTTATCATTTAGGGACATGCTACTCAAATACATAGCCTAAACACTTAGTGTTTAGAAATGCCTTCGTCACAAATCTAGTGGCATGGTCAGTAGCCTACTCTAGTGGCATGGTCAGTAGCCTCCTCTAGGTCAGTAGCCAAATCCTGGTCAGTAGCCTACTCAAGTGACATGGTCAGTAGCCTACTCTAGTGGCATAGTCAGTAGCCTCCTCTAGGTCAGTAGCCAAATCCTGGTTAGTAGCCTACTCAAGTGGCATGGTCAGTAGCCTACTCAAGTGGCATGGTCAGTAGCCTCCTCTAGGTCAGTAGCCAAATCCTGGTCAGTAGCCTACTCAAGTGGCATGGTCAGTAGCCTACTCTAGTGGCATAGTCAGTAGCCTCCTCTAGGTCAGTAGCCAAATCCTGGTCAGTAGCCTACTCAAGTGGCATGGTCAGTAGCCTACTCAAGTGGCATGGTCAGTAGCCTACTCTAGTGGCATAGTCAGTAGCCTCCTCTAGGTCAGTAGCCAAATCCTGGTCAGTAGCCTACTCAAGTGGCATGGTCAGTAGCCTACTCTAGTGGCATGGTCAGTGGCCTACTCTATCACAGACAGGAGGGCTGAAACTAACCCTACGACTGCAACATTGGCTCTAGTATGAGACTGATAAGACGGAAGGTCTATAAACAAACGTGTTGTATAAGGGGCGCGAACAACCTTGACTATAGTACGTGCGACTGTGTGTATCTATAAAATTAGCATCCTGGTGTGTGCGTGTCGAGTGTGTAGATGGGATGATTGACACAAGGAAATGATCCGGTCCAGCCAATTAACGTAGGGAAAACATGAGTAACCCATCAGGCGCGGGTCTCGGCCGGGGCAGAATAACTCGGCTCCTCAACTTTATTAGGCTGGAACAGCGGAAGGAAGTGAGTAAAACGAGAGTCATGTTTATTCTGGGACTAAAAATAGCCGCCCACCTGTTGTTGTATATTGGGCGGTGAAAGGAGTTTTCGTAAGGGGGGGGGGGGGGGGTGAAAAAATGTAGGCCAAAACTCAGATAAACCGTACATTCGGGGAACACTATCAAAATCTTAAAAAGTAAACAAAACATTTGGTTTAAACTTAGAAACAGGAACTTAAACTTTTTATAAAACCTTATTAAACGCAGGTCTGTATACCCATGGGAGGCGCGGCTTGTGAAGATTGCTACAGCGTGTTGAGGTCGTGGTAGGGGCTAACACTTGGGCCCAGGCTGGCCACAGTGGATCATGGATTAGTGATGGTCAACATTCTTAGCCTCGATGTGACGTGTGTGCTCTACCTCCCTGCACGCTCAGTCAACTAACTAACGCATTACGGTAGGCCTGGCTGTGTCGCTTGCATTACAACATCGCAACATAACTGTTTTCCCTTGCTCTATCATTTACCTCAGATCACGCAGATCCACGTTTGTCATTTACCTCAGATCACGTAGATCCACGACTGTCATTTACCTCAGATCACGTAGATCCACGACTGTCATTTACCTCAGATCACGTAGATCTACGACTGTCATTTACCTCAGATCACGTAGATCCACGACTGTCATTTACCTCAGATCACGTAGACCCACATTTGTCATTTACCTCAGATCACGTAGACCCACATTTGTCATTTACCTCAGATCACGTAGATCCACGACTGTCATTTACCTCAGATCACGTAGATCCACGACTGTCATTTACCTCAGATCACGTAGACCCAATGTCATTTACCTCAGATCACGTAGATACAATGTCAATTACCTCAGATCACGTAGATCTACTACCGTCATTTACCTGCACGTAGATCTAATGTCTGAGTGTTATTTATACCAAGTATTCTTTAAACAATTCACTGCCCAGATTTTGACGCTATGTAAACACCGAAGTGGGTACCTTTAAATTTAATTAATATTAGCTTGAACAAAATTGCGGTCTTCATGTTGTGTAATAACTGAAACATTTTTTTAAGCCATGAAGACCTGGGGTTGATATGCTAGTAGCTGTACTTTTTTCTTGAAAGTTTTAATTATACGATTGCTTTAGATAGTATCAAATGACATGAGAATGCATGTTTTAAATACAATCAAGATATCACTTGATACGGAAATGGATCGATTTGCATGTCTAATACTACTATATGTATAGAGTTGCTTTAACTCCACTCTCACACAGACCTACCCACACACACAGACCTACCCACACATACAGACCTAGCCACACACACAGACCTACCCACACACACACCTAGCCACACACACAGACCTAGCCACACACACAGACCTAGCCACACACACAGACCTAGCCACACACACAGACCTACCCACACACACACACCTAGCCACACACACAGACCTACCCACACACACACACCTAGCCACACACACAGACCTAGCCACACACACAGACCTAGCCACACACAGACCTACCCACACACACAGACCTACCCACACACACACACCTAGCCACACACACAGACCTAGCCACACACACACAGACCTACCCACACACACAGACCTAGCCACACACAGAGACCTACCCACACCCACACAGACCTAGCCACACACACAGACCTAGCCACACACAGAGACCTAGCCACACACAGAGACCTACCCACACACACAGACCTAGCCACACACACAGACCTACCCACACACAGACCTAGCCACACACACACAGATCTACCCACACACACAGACCTACCCACACACACAGACCTAGCCACACACACACAGACCTAGCCACACACACACAGACCTAGCCACACACAGACCTAGCCACACACAGAGACCTAGCCACACACACACAGACCTAGCCACACACACACAGACCTAGCCACACACACAGACCTAGCCACACAAATAGACCTAGCCACACACACAGACCTAGCCACACACACAGACCTAGCCACACACACACACAGACCTAGCCACACACAGAGACCTAGCCACACACAGACCTAGCCACACACACAGACCTAGCCACACACAGACCTAGCCACACACACACAGACCTAGCCACACACACACAGACCTAGCCACACACAGACCTAGCCACACACACAGACCTAGCCACACACACAGACCTAGCCACACACAGACCTACCCACACACAGACCTAGACACACACACAGACCTACCCACACACACAGACCTACCCACACACACAGACCTACCCACACACACAGACCTACCCACACACACAGACCTAGCCACACACAGACCTAGCCACACACACAGACCTACCCACACACACAGACCTAGTCACACAAATAGACCTAGCCACACACACAGACCTAGCCACACACACAGACCTACCCACACACACACACCTAGCCACACACACAGACCTAGCCACACACAGACCTACCCACACACACAGACCTACCCACACACACAGACCTACCCACACACACAGACCTAGCCACACACACAGACCTAGCCACACACACAGAGACCTAGCCACACACAGACCTAGCCACACACACAGACCTAGCCACACACACACACACACACACACAGACTTACAGAAGAGATTTAGCTTGATCTAACAAAAAAAACTGCTTTAAGTGACGTGATGTAACAAAAAACTGCTCTAAGTGACGTGATTGTAACCAAACAAAATTTTGAAAATGTTTACAAGCTGTGACCACATAAAGGTCACAGTAAAAAAAAATCTACCAAGGAAAGATAAGTGGTTTATTGATCTCAACTGAGCCGGGGAAGGGGGGGGGATTAATCGGCACTTTATCGGTAGGAAATTCGATCATTACTTTTCACATTAGTTAGGCAACATGCACACCCTTTAATCTCCGAACAACGCATTTATTTAGTGCAACTTTGTATGTAATACACACGGTAGTTCTAAAACAATTCACGTAACAAGAGCAGGCTGGTGAATTGCATGTCTAACCCCATACACACTGTCGAATGGTTTAGTCAGCTCTACGGGTTAAACTAACAGCCAGCGTGTGTTTGAACAAGGGGCTGGCTGGACACACTCGCTTGTAGGTATGGGGTACAATCTCACTGGCATGTATGTTAAACTAACAGCCAGCGTGTTTGAACAAGGGGCTGGCTGGACACACTCGCTTGTAGGTATGGGGTACAATCTCACTGGCATGTATGTTAAACTAACAGCCAGCGTGTGTTTGAACAAGGGGCTGGCTGGACACACTCGCATGTAGGTATGGGGTACAATCTCAATGGCATGTATGACACGCCCACACCACTCATACCAACCCGCACCAAACACTCACCAACCCGTCTCAACCACTTGCACCAGACGTCCCCAACCACTCATACCAACCTACCCCAAAAAAACTCACCCCAATCGGCCCAACCACCCACAACTGCCCATTGTTTTAGCACAAGCATTTAGGCTAGTGCTTCAGACAGACCTGAGACATAACATGCACTTAAAAAAGATGGTATACAAGCAGCTAGTTAGGCTAGTGCTTCAGACAGACCTGAGACATGCACTTAACACAAAGAGTTTCGCACATCCTGTCTGCGAACGCCCAACAGACGGCCATACACAAATCAACTAGGACAAGCACCACTTTTATTTGCTACCATATATGGCGTTACAATGTTTATAAAACACCCATCCCCTATTAAGTTGTTGTAAACGACAAAGCCTGAATACATATTATGACCTTTGACCTAAAACAATCGCAAAGCTAGGAAGATATTTATCGAGTTTAGTTCCGCATATCTAATTCATTTTACATCTCTCTTCTCTAGATATAGAATCTGGATCTATAGATCTAGATTTTAAAAAAAAAACTAAAAACGAAATGAACTGCTACACGCTTGTTGGTGTAGGTGTTTAAAAACGGTGCGGGGCGGGGAAGGCGGGAGAAAGAAGGGGAGGTGACTAGCAGCGTCGCTACAGGCCGGCCGTCTGCTAGGTAGGCCTACGGTGTTGTTTTTTTTTTTTGGTGAGTAACGTACACAGATTGTGAACTTTACTTTCTTCGCGATCAACTTTTGGTTTAGAAACGGCGTTGCTTCTTGGAATGTTGAATTCACAGGGAACTTGCGATCTAATAGGGAATAAGTTTAGTGAGTGTTGATTTAACTGTAATACTTGTAGACGGTAAGTGAATAAAAGGCCACCACATGGCTGTAGGACTAGGATTTAGATCTAGACTCTAGATAATCTAGCTAGAATATTAATTTATTAAATTGTTATTAATACATTGTTGCGTAACTTTGTCACATCATTCTTCACGTGAAAGGAAACACAAATAACGTTTCTACTGCTGGGTCACGTGATCTGGGTCTCCAATAATTGTGTAAACGGTTTATTAAGTTAACAATTCTATTTCTAAGCAAGAAGATCTATTCTAGAATCAAGATCTAGATCTACATCTAATCTATAGTTGATTGATTTTTTTTTTTCATTTATTTTTTTGTGTCTGAAGAAGTTAAACAAAAAACATTGCTAGACTCCTAATAGATTCTAGATCTAGATTTATTTAATTAATGAAAAGTTGGCTCTATGTAATGAAGGGAAAAGTTGGCATTGTAACTAAATTGTAGGGAAAATTTGCCATAAATTTGGCCTTCTTTTTCCTCGAAAATCCTTAATCTCTTTACACGAAATAACCTAGATCTATATTTAAACTAGGCACACATACTCAATCTCGCTGACATTAAACTGGTAAAATGTGTATATGGTTTGTAAATAGGCATAATTATTATGTTTCTAAATTGAAATAAATTTCTTGATTCTGATAATTTCGACAAAAAGCCACCCTTCCCTCTGGTAGAAGTAGGGTGTTTTACTAATGTAAAGAGGTTACTTTTCTGTAATCAATGGATGTAGAAAATCTGCAGCAATCAAGTCTTTCGTCTATGCTAGTATATGATAGTCTACTTAAAGAAACAACTTTTTAGCTACCAGAAACTAGTAATTTCGTACAATAGATTGCTAAGACGTATTATATGTGTTAACACATTTTACATGTACACAGTGTTTCTTCCAGACTTCTTTCTCGGGGGGGGGGGGGGGGGGGTAGACTTTCTTCGAGGGGGGGGGGGCGGACAATGTTAAAAGTATAAATTTTCTATATAAATTTCATTTCGTTCGGGGGGGGGGGGGGGGGCTCCGCCCCAATACGGGAAAAAATTTGCGTCGGAGAAAAAGCATCCCACATTTTAGAAATAGTCGAAGGAGGGGGTGATTTAACCGGTCAATGTCCAACAACGTAACGCCATAAACCGAAATATTTTGTGTTATGCAATCGATGCAATCGTTCAGTAACTTTCGTAACTTCGGCTGTTTTATAACTGCTATGAATGAGCTTTTACATTTGTTGTTGGCGTCCCCTA